AACCTGGTATACGTTTTACTCCCGAGTTATTCGCCTCTTGCATTAGTGCAGTGATTCTCAACCACTGTGCCGAGGCACTTTTGTGTGCCGCCAAATTTTGCAAATATTTAAAAATTTTGTCATAAACTATTTATGCAGTGTGTTGTAGTAAGTAAATAATTTTTATCTTTTTCTTTGTGCGCCGCCAAATTTTGAAATCGTTAAATATGTGCCGCAAAAAAAAAAAAGGTTGAGAATCACTGCATTAGTGTATTGTGCTTTGGTCACCAATTACGACATCGTGGTGACGAAAACGAGTGGTACTAGTTCAACTGCTTGTGTGAGGTATCGTCCTCGACTGCCAAGGGTTTCTAAGCCTCCTTCGATATGCTCGAGTCTCTAAAGCAGATTACTGTACGGCACCTCTACGCTGTAGCAAGTCATTTTAAAATGATTTAAATATGAATAAATTAAACTGCATTTCGCTCTTGGGATCAGTGGAACGCGGTCGGGCTATATTACTTCGCCACCACACATACAATATGTGATATATAATTAAAGTTAATTGCCTACGTTTGATTTATGAAATCTTAATTTTCGATCAGTCAAATATCTCACGGGAGTTCGTCATCCTCTGATGCTATGTTGTTATGGGCGTTCATGTGTATACGAAATATATCTTACTAATTAACGGGAATAAATAAATAATAAATTCAGAGAAACTTCGGCGTTGACTCTACTACATCACTAGTTACAGCGCCCGGAATTTTTTCGAGTAAATATTGAGGGTCCACATTGATGTTACGGAATTTGCTTTTGTGGATGTTTTCGAAGTCCCTCTTCTTCGCTAGCTCGTTAATTTCATAAACTATAGCAAATTGTTTTAAAACTGTTACTATGTAAAGGGAACATTGTATATTTATGAAATTCTTGTAGTAATGAAGTAGAATACTTCGGTAAGGATTTATATGTATTTTATATTGAATAAGTCTAACTAAAAATATAATTGTGCATTTTAGCATTCAATACAATAATATGCTAATGATTATAATCTCTTATGGCTACTCCATATTGTATTGAATGTTAAAATGCAAAATTATATTTTTAGGTGGCATATATGTCCATTATTATGGTTGTAGTGAATTTAAAACACTTAGAATCCAACCTCCTGGAGGCATTTCGACGTTTCCTATCACCGGAGAGTTGGAAATGGAATCGACACACAAAGTATAGATTTGAATTTAGAACCTTAGATTAGCATTATTCACTATTCTACTGCGCTTTATTTTGTTTTTTTTTTTTATGCAACTTAGAATAGCAAACAAGCTGACGGCCCACCTGATGGAAAGTGGTAACCGTCGCCTATAGACATGAGCAGTACCATGCACATAACAGTGTATACTGTTTCGCCCATGATACCCCCTATGCGTTGCCATTCCTGAGGACTCGGGTGTTATTCCTCTGTACCCTGTAAAATCACGCCATATCCCTTCAAACCGAAACACAGCCATGCAAACACAACTGCTTCACGCTTGAAACACGAATAGGACAGAGGTGCCCAAGCAAACGACTTTTGTACAAAGTCTCCCTCTGGTACTATAAGTTATACGTTCCAGTTAGATTTATGCCGCCGCGAAATTTTTTAGAGAGCCAATAAAGGCCGATGTTATTGCAATATTTAACATAAATCTTACGGTACAGGTATCATATGTAGGCAATAGTGCTCAAATGGTTGTCTTTACGACTTCGAAAAAACTGATGGCCAGGTACGAGCTTTTTATTTTGCCATGGCTTTTTTTTTCTGTGGTACACATTTACGGTTGCGTGTAGTGTGCACAGTTATGCTTATGACTGATAGTTTTTTTTTATATATATTTATAATCATATATATAAAAAAAAAAAAAAACGATTTTAAACTGGTACCACTTTTCATGTCGATTCAGCGGATATTTGAGAACGCTTTTGCTACTATCTTAATACATTTCATTTCAAATTGAAACCCTTCATTTGAAAGTAAAATATTCGTTACATATTTCAAAGAATGTTGAAATATGTTTAAAATATTTACAGGAAATTTAAATATTGGATTGAAAAATGTGTTTAAATTGCGTGGATTCGATCACGAACTGGTAGCAATCCGGTCGAGTATTTGATCCGGGTTCAAGTATTTCCGGGGGTTGAATGTTTCAATTTAACATTGCACGTACATAGCAGCAAGTCTCATCCGGTTACATAGAATACATACATATATGCGGCACATGCACTGCACATGTTATATATGTCACAAAGGTCACATATATTTAAAAGAAGACATCTAAACGGTTGTAATTTTAAATTTAAAAAGCAACTAATGATTCAATAATGTCAAATTATTACTACAAGAACTGACAGCCTACCATGAAATGTTTTCCGAAATTTCGGAGCCAAACGAAACAGAAATTTGATGTTAAAATTACATCATACATGCTGGAAATATTAAAAATGTTAAAATATTGTTCCTTTGGACTTTTATGATAGGATGTATGACGAACGAAATGTTAAACTCCATTTATTGGTCCGATTTTGGTATAAACAAAAACACGAAATTGAGTCAGAAATTTCGGAATTTCCTTTCATGGTAGACCCGCTGTTTTATAGTTCGTGGACTATTTACGTGCTCGTAGATAGAAGGCAGAAGCCTTCGCAATGAATTTCGATTCCTCGCATACATCTGTTGCTTCTCAGCAGTCCATAGCCGATGGATATACCATTTTGAAAATAACTTTACATATAAAGTAGATAGGCGAGATTTGCCATGCATGTGATAAGATGCCCAGCAGTGGGACATTATGGGATAACATAGAGTTATATTTACCAGAGGGAGACTTCGTGCAAAAGTCGTTTGCTCGGGCACCTCTGTCCTATTCGTGTTTCAGACATGAAGCAGTTGTGTTTGCATGGCTGTGTTTCGGTTTGAAGAGTGGGATATGGCGTGAATTTACTGGGTACAGAGGCATAACACCTGAGTCCTCAGGAATGACAGCGCATGGGGGGTATCATGGGCGAAACAGTAAACTCTGTTATGTCCATGGTATTGGTCATGTCTATAGGCGACGGTTACCACTTTACATCAGGTGGGCCGTCAGCTTGTTCGCCATTCTAAGTTGTATAATATATATATATATATATATATATATATATATATATATATATATATATATATATATATGCAAATGTTGGGACGCATGTCATTTCTACAATTGGAGTGTGACGCTTACGTTGACTCGCTACCGATACATACGACTACGAAACGTAGAAGAAGCGACGCGACGCCTTACTATAATATTAAAAAATCTTTACGACAAGTCTATTATGGTTTGTATAATATTAGAAAATCAAATGCTAAAAATGTAAGGATAATGTTCGATTTGATTCGGGTGTGCCTGCGTGTGCATGTGGGTGCGTGCGTGCGTGCGTGCGTGCGTGCGTGCGTGCGTCCGTGTGTGTGTTATACCATAATGACTTTTAAAATTAGATTTGTCGTTTTTTTACTAACTCTGTGCATTGAAACAGGCGACTTTGTATTTTATTATTGACAATTTACAAATATGTTTGAATATTTGTTACTGTGTAACCTGTATAACGCACACGAGGTTTAACAGACTTAAATAAAATCGCACGATTCGATTGGTACACAAGTAAACCATATCCTAATTTAACATATATGCTACTTTTCATATTAATTCATGCGAACAAAATTGCGGGATAAAGCTTATATGAATATACACGTATTGATAAATATGTAAGAAGCGAATGAAATTCATATGGCCCGGGAAATTTAATATCCTGCTTCTGGCTACCCAAGTGTGCGGAAGGCGATACATGGCAGTGGTAGACAAGCTGCTTCATTAACGAGCTATAGAAATTTTATTTTCAGACGAATGGCTGTTAAAGTGTAGTTGCTATTTGTTTATTGTCGTACACATACATAACAAAGATGTCGTTTTGCAGGCACTATTGATATTGCCACCGTTGATAAGGCGAATTTTTATTTTATTTATTAGGCGCACATAACAGAAGTTTACAAATACAAACTTAAGTTATAACATGCAAGTACATAATGTGTTGATCGGGTAAACTTAAAAGATTCGGTTGCAACTATTAGTGAAAAAAAATTAAACATAAAAAGAAAGTTAAATAAAAAAAAAAAACAAAATTATATAAGAAATTTCTAAATATTACATTACTTTATACAATTGTATAAATTGGAACATCATCCCTTTGGATGTCGCTTTAAAACATAGATAACCCCATCTCGTAGGTTATAGAGTTCTACTTAGAAGGATTGTAACAATATAGATGTGGCGATTATTTAGTTTAAAGAGAGATGGCGCTGTTATCGCAGAATTTTTTGCAAATCCAGTGGTAATTTTCACAATATTTCGTTCCAAATGAATCTGATAGAGGGCGTAGTTTTTTTTTATTTATAGTTTTATTTTTAAGTTAAATACTAAAAAAGTAATTTCATTTCAATGCTCGACCGTGAAATATGGTTTATTCTAGTTTTCGGTTTTATTTTATAAGGGTCGTATCGTATGGTATCGTATCAGCCATTAACTTCACTGCTGAACATAGATTTCCTCCATAAGGGAGCGTTTTGCCAGTAATTGCCACGCTTAGCAAGCGAATTAACAACCAATTTGTCTTTTGATGATTTTAAAAGGGACGCTAATGCCCATTCCTAGACCATTAAGTCCCTTTTATCGTTTCGTACGAGACCCACGGGATACGAAGGGGTCGCTCATTCTACGCCGAGACTACACGTCAAAATGGGTCAATAACGGCGAAAATAACTAGTATGTGTGTGAAAATAACTAATGTAGAATCCTTTAAGATGAAGTTTCTAGCTTCCTCTGTCTTAGTTTAATATAAAGCATTTTTCTTTATAAATTATTTTTATTTCGGCACATGAGAACTCGCCCATGACCTGTTGCTATTTTTGTATGAATCATCTCCGACATGGTTGCATGCAGTATACTGACCTTGCACTGAATATGGTGGCGAGCGCCATGAAGCAGCCGTCGGCGACTCGCGGCGGTCCGGTGAAGCATTTGTCCACTGTCCAGTCCAATAACGGCCCGATATCGGGGTTGCAATCCAGTAATAGTACTATGGTCTCCCGTGCGAGCTCGTATATCTAAAAAAAAAAAAAATTTTTCTATACAACTTACAAAAGCAAACGTGCTGGCGGCGATACCTTATAGAAAGTGGTAACCGTCGCTTGGAGATATCGAATATAATAGATAACGCAAAGTAAACGCCTCATGCGTCGCTATTTCTAAAGACTATAATTGACTTGACCGAGACGTAACTACATATACATGGCTGTATTTTACACATTAACAATGTAGGAAACATAACAAAATAAGCAATGGGTGCACTCACCTTATCGTTAGTGGAAGAGAGCATTTCACTTAGCCACGGGTAGAGGGAGCCGTCCTCGGCGAGGGCGGTCGGCGCGAAGCACGGGCCGCAGCACACGAGTGCGCTCATCGCCTACAGTCAGGACAGACAGTATTAATGAATGCTCTATAAGAGTTACCATTGTTTTAATTCATCGTTTAGTTATATCAACTAAGATTAGGCACGGCGGCTATCGTAACAACACTGATATGGTATTAACACTTAGCTAAAATACTATTATACAGGGGAATTTAAAACCTATTCGTTTTTGAATTTAAAAAAGAATATCCTGGTTACCATAGACACATGTTTCTATAAAATTCAAATTATGAATATAGATTTTTTTTAACTCGTACGCAAGAACTATATACCTGCGGGAAATTACGTCTATGCGAGCGACATCTATAAACTGTTCACCTGAATATAATTCGATATATAAATACATAAATATCCATAAATTTATGATTATCCATAAATTTATGAGTAAACCATTTAAATCAACAACATATTTGAAGTTATCAATGATCCCTCACACTATCTCCCTGGTGGGTAAATAGCGTCCGAAAACGGTGGTCGTGTTGTCTCGCTCTAATGCAACCGTGCAGTGGCTTACTTTTGTTCTTTTTTTAAAGGGTGAAAGTGGAATGTTAACTCCGCCTCCGCTATCGGTGTATGCTGGCGGGGCACTAGTAATAGATGATAGATGAAGATAAAGGCAGATCAGTTGACCCATCGTGAAGAATTTGACAAGAATTAATCATGATAGTTTCCAGGGGGAACTGCGTGGAGGTCAACCTGATAGGGTTGCAGTGGCGTACTAGAGCTGGGTAATGAGCGCGTGCTTACCTTGAGTGCGGACAGGTTGAGCCTCTCGTCGGTTTCCTGCGGCTGCGGCTGCGGCACGAGGGCTCCCAGGTGCTTGGCGAGGGGGCCGCACCACCCGCTGAACAGCGAGAACAGGCTGCGGCACAGCTCCCTCTTCATCAGCGAGCCGTACATTTCCACTGGTGTTCAAACATCAATTCTATTTTATAATAATGAAACGGAAACCACAAAGCGAGAAAGATATGTGAAGGAGGCTTTGTAGTCTATATGGATACCTCCGTCTCACGGGTGCTGTATAGCACCTGTGCTCTCTTTGTATGTATGGGGGTAAATCAAAAAATAAAATCATATTGTATTTATTCGCTTGTTACATGGTACAATAAGAAGTTACATATACAAGTAGGAATATAGCATGCAGCACCCCGTAGAGGTATGCAAATGTTAAACTGTATTTACTCTCTATATTATATTACAATAATAAAGTCCAAACGTTTTTCAAAGAAATGGTACTTAGAGAGTGACACAGGTCTGCGTGATTGTTGCCTGCTTACTCTTCTTAGTAGTAAGAGAGAGAGATAGAAAGAGGCATTATATGAGGATGACGTACGCGGAAAGCTCTTGATGAGCTCGGTGACGAAGTCTGCGAAGGTGAGGCGTTGTTCGCGGGCGGCGGGCGCGTCCTTCTCGGCCTCCACTTCCAGGCACTGCCGCGCACCGTCCAGGTATTCTGTGAGGGTCGGATGCAGGCTTCCGCTCTCCACCGCGAATGTGCTGCATCGAATCATAAATTTAATTATTATTATTTTTTCTGATGAATAACATTAAGATATTATTTGGAAATTACAATTACTGTCCCATTCGTGTTTCAACCGTAAAGCAGTTGTGTTTGCATGGCTGTGTTTCGGTTTGAAGGGTGGGATATGGCGTGAATTTACAGGGTACAGAGGAATAACACCTGAGTCCTCAGGAATGGCAACGCATGGGGGGGGGGGTATCATGGGTAAAACAATACACTCTGATAAGTCCATGGTACTACTGCTCATGTCTATGGGCGACGGTTACCACTTTCCATCAGATGGGCCGTCAGCTTGTTTGCCATTCTAAGTTGTATAAAAAAATTATGGATTTCTCAACTGCGATGGAACGTATGGGATTGATGCTCGAGTGAATGATTCTCAACGCACTATGTTCGCCATCACTTGATAAATCTTTTGAGATGTTTGTAGGTAAAATATAGAGTTAAAGCTTGTAAGTCCATTATTTTTAAAATAAGAAATATGAATTTGGGATTCCGATTATATATAACGCAACGTGGTTGTGGTAAAAGAGTCATATTGTCAGTCGAATGGGGTACACATATTGTTCAACTAACTTCTTTCTGAAGTTGGCTATTTTTTTTATACAACTTAGAATGGCAAACAAGCTAACGGCCCACCTGATGGAAAGTGGTAACCCTCGCCTATAGACATGAGCAGTACCATGGACATAACAGAGTATACCGTTTCGCCCATGATACCCTCCATGCGTTGCCATTCCTGAGGACTCAGGTGTAATTCCTCTGTACCCTAAAAAAACACACTGTTCTAGAACAGTGACTTCTATAATTTATTTTATTGCTTTGCTCTATATTTGTTTTTAAATTGTTTCCAGCATTAAATGACAGCATTTTGTATCATTTCTTTTTAAATGTGGTCTCGAAAATCGAACCAAAAACTAACTGAATGTCTTGATTGCAATATTAACGTAACATTATCCTGCTTACCTGTTAGCAAAGGTCTTCCTCTGCGCGATGAGTAGCAGCATTTTATTAAGGTGTAGCCGGAGTGCGTCGCGTCGCCTACGCCGCCGCATGTTCTCCTGCTTGCGGTCCACCGCTTCGCGCAGCAGCGGCACCAGCTCCTCCATCAGGTCCCTGGTGCAACCACCAATAGTAATGTAATATCGTGTTAGTAACAAATAAAAAAAAAAAATAACAAAACAACCAAAGAAATAATGGGGTTTTATACCACACCATTGTGATATTGCTGATTGATAATGCTAAAAGAGGCTTTAGTTCATAAAACTGCCCGCGTTTAGTGCAGCTCGTTCACTGATTTAGTTGTATAAAATTAAATGCTAGCTCAGGTAAAGTGCTTGTGTAAACACAACTTAATAATATAAATAGATATGGATATGGCTGTCCGTTCATCATACAACCTCAAGAGATCTAAAAGTGAAAGTACATTAGCATATTAAGGTATTTCATGTATTTGACTCATCACAGTAACTACATATATATTTTATACAATTGCTTATCTCTGATATTCCTTGCCAGTAAGTAGCCATATTGTAATATAATTTTTGATAAATCTGATATAGTAGTCTCTTGGTACGCGATATTTTTTTCGATTCGTATAGTATATTGTCGTGTGATTTGTACATTGGATGGGTTCCACTGTATTCCCAATGTTTTTCTTTATTCAGTGCATTTAAATTCATAGGGTGTATTGAACATGTTAGCTGCTAGATTTTTAGTAAGTCGTGAATTAACACTTATCCACTTACGAATGTTCATATCGGCATCATGTACTCTCGATATTATTTCATCTTCTGCATTCTAAATCGAATTAGTTCCTACCAATAGGTCATCCATATAAAATGATTGCTGTAATGCTGCCGCTAGAGGCCATGTTCTAGCATCGTCATAGGCTAAATGTTTTGAAGGCCTTGTGACGTCTGTAAATAAATATTGTAAATATTCATCTCATAGCCACTTGTCAACATCATTACTTTTTTTCCATCAAGTAGGTTAATTAAATTGTACATAGATATTTCACCTCTTTCTATCTTTCGGACTGGACGTATAGACATGACAGCGACGTTTACTTTCTACATTCTTTTCTGCTGTCATTCTCTCATTATATGTGAATAATGAAGTTAGTTATTATTTCCTCCAAACAACTACAGCCTCATAGCTAGGAACAGTGCTGTAGGTGACGGTAGAACGGTGATAGGATTCAAGTAGCTCATGTATTGATTTCCTCCGGACAAAAGACTGATATGGCTAATCCGGTGATTGTAGATATGCACCGTGTAACGAGGTATGTGAATACTGTAGCGTTCCTTGCAACGCTTGGCCGAAAATCAAAGTGACTCGTGCCTGTATAGACGATTCTTACAAATATCCAATTTTGTCAGAGTTGCTAATTTGAAATCAGGTGACGAGTCGATGAACTGTTTGCATTTAATTGCAACAGCTCGTGTTGTAAATTGCATAATGGACACTTATATTATTTTGTAGTGAGTTTTGAAAAAATGGGTTTTAAATGAATATTCAGGGTTTATTTTTTAATTAGACGGTTAAATAGTGTTGATCGCTCTTTGTAGATTTGTTACTGTAAAATAATTTAGAATATAGTTGTGCTTTTTTTTACTTTCTTCTTATACCACGAAGGTAGCAAACACGCATATAGCCCGTTTGACGGTAAACGGTCACAGTAACCTAAAACAGGTTTTTTACTCATTGAATACTGTGAAGTTTATCCTCTAAATTACACTTCTTATATATTTATGTTCATTAAAAGTCTATTGAATGCACTAAAATAAGTTTTTTTTTTATACAACTTAGAATGGCAAACAAGCTGACGGTCCACCTGATTGAAAGTGGTAACCGTCGCCTATAGATATGAGCAGTACTATGAACATAACAGAGTATACTGTTTCGCCCATGATACCACCCATGCGTTGCCATTCCTGAGGACTCAGATGTTATTCCTCTGTGTACCCTGTTAATTCACTGCCATATCCCACCCTTCAAACCTAAACACAGCTATGCAAACACAACTGCTTTACGGTAGAAACACGAATGGGACAGATGTACCCAAGCAATCGACTTTTGTACAAAGTCTCCCTCTGGTAAGTAGTTCCCGTAATATACCATATATGACAATATTATTTCTCGTCTCCTCATATATATTCTTTGCTTAATTATGAAATTTTATTAATGAAAAATATAAATGTGATCTGTCGTTAACATTTGATAATTCCAAATTACTTTGATCAAATCCTCATAAATCATCTAAAAACTGCAATCTCGTCTTCAAATGTTCAAGAGACTTCCTAGTCACAGAATCATTCCAAAATTTACTTCGATTTTGTGCCCATATAGGCATTTGATAGTTTCTGTATTTGATATATGGTACATCTCGTTTCATTTAACAGTTTCCTCTTGTCGGTGCAACTAATTCATGCATCCTCCTCCAGCCAGCTCTATCCCAGGCCATACCCTTGATCTCCCTATACGACATGACACCCAGTGTTTCCTTTATCTGTCCCATGTAGTTAATCCTCGGTCTTCCTCTTCCTCATATGTATAACATATTTGATAGGAGGAAGAAATAAAAGAACCTCACTTTGACTGACGACGCTGCTTACGAATGCTCATGATCCACTATATGATCGCTCTTCTCACTCAGAATAACACGCGACACAGATAAAGTTCAAAAGTTTACAACTAATAAATTAATATGGATTGCCGCGAGGTCCAGAGTTTTCATCTCGAAGGACCAAAAAATGTGGGACTTTATGCCACACCATTGTGATTTTGCTGAGTGATAATGCCAATAGAGGTTATTGTAAATAAAACTGTCCAAGTTGAGTGCAGCTCGTACACTGAATTACTACAACTAAAATAAAATGCTAGCTCAGGTAAAGTGCTTGTGTAAGCACAACTCCATAATACAAATAGATATCTGCAGTTGCCCGTACATAAGTGGATTTGACAGTCACATCGAAATTGATCGGATAATTTTGCGTCTTAGACATTGTTATAGTCGCCATATTTACTTGATATTATCGTCATACAGCCTGTAATAAAACTCGAGTTTCTACCAGAGGGAGACTTTGTACAATAGTCGTTTGCTTGGGCACCTCTGTTTCATTTGTGTTTCTACAGTGAAGCAGTTGTGTGTTCGCACGGCTGTGTTTCAGTTTGAAGGGTTGGATATGGCAGTGAATTTATAGGGTATAGAGGAAAAACACCTGAGTCCTCAGGAATGGCAACGCATAGGGGGTATCATGGGTGAAACAGTATACTCTGTTATGTCCATGGTACTGCTCATGTCTATAGGCGACAATTACTATTTATCATTAGTTCGGCCGTCAACTTGCATAAAAAAAGGTTCTTCTTGATAGAAAACTACAGTCAAAAATCCAGTGGTAGCATCATAAACTCGTGTCTAAGTTTGTTTAAATAACGATATTTCTACTCCATTTCAAATGACAGCTCATAAATTTAAATCACTCAACTCATTTAGACAATACGTTGTCTTTACATCTGAAAATAGTACAAAAGGAAGCGGAAAGGAACTGTTAGTAGTAGAGATGTCCGATGATGGACCGATCTTTACACATACATATGCAGCTACTCTCCGTGAATGTTGCTTGAGAAGCCCCGCAATATTTCCAAAATACTTGTTAATTACAAGCATTTTGTGAAAAACATTTTTAAACTTGTTTCTATGTCTCTCTCTTTGTCCACTTGATTATTGAAGGTCGTGTACTTGAAAGGTGTCTGTTACCTCTCTTATGATATTTCTTTATTTCGAACAGTCTTTAGTTTGTCGCAGGGCAGCTGCAGTTGATAGTCCCGTAACGGCTTTTACTTGGTCCGACCATTGAGTAAGCGATCGTCCGCGTGGTCTTTTCCCCTCTATCTTGTCTACAACCATCAGTTTACCCAGATTGTCGGACTGTCGTCGAGTAATATGACCGAAGTATCCAAGAATCCTTCGACAGCAGACTGTCAAGAGCCTATCTTTTATGCGGAGTTGCGTCAGGATATATATGTTCGTGCGCTTTGCTGTCCAGAGAACTCGCAGCATCTTTCGCCAGCACCACATCTCGAGAGCATCAATCTTATTCCGTTCCTTTGCTCTTATTGTCCATGACTCGACTCCATACAAAAATATCGAGAAAATCAGAGTACGGACTAGTCTTGTCTTGGTGACATTTGAGATCTTTCTGTTCTGCCAAATGCACGTTCATTTTAGTTTAAATTTCTATACAAAACTTATAAAAAATACAAGAAATTTCATACAATTCAATATATATTCATCAGACATCTTCATCATATCATTATTGCGCGGCCAATGGTACCCACCAATGAGTATCGGTATCGAGTGGTAGATTAATGGCAACACTATTTAATACATAAATCGAAGGACCGTGACATACAACATCCCCCGACATTATCCAACTCCTATATTTAGATATCTATGGGTCATTCCATATTCAGTCATTTCTGGAAACCATCGTGATTAATTTTTAGTGAAGTCCCCTTTCAAGTTCTTTCATTTGCTCCTCATGTTAACAGGCTTGACAGAATTTGCCAAGTACTTACCTCAGAACTTACAGCTATGCTTAAAGACATGCGTCAGAATACATTATGAGTATTTTTTAACAAATGCGCCTATGGAAGAAACTTGTTTGAATTCGGATTGCAAGATTTTGCATATACAAACTATCGAAACCATGTAGGGTATTGTACTAACTTGAGTGCGTCCGGGTTGATGTGGCCGCAGGCGCCGACGGCCGCGTCCCGAACCTCGGGCACCTCGCACCGCGCCAGCGGCACCGCCAGCTTGTGCAGCGCGCCAGGAGACGCGTGCGCACTGCGCGCCTCGCCGCCGCTGCGTTCGCTCAGCGAGTCCGGTGATGAGCTGCGCCCGCGCACACCACGCACACACACACACGTACATGTAACGCATTAGCCACCGCATCGGGCGTAGGGACCGATTCTCACGTGCCATTCTCTAAATGTATCTTTCAGAGGTACATTATATGATAATGTTGTGTCAATACGTTTTATTTACTGCGTATATGAAAAGGAACAATGCATCTAACTGTAATGTCTTTTTCTGTCATGAAGGCGGGGGAGAAACTGTATGTAACGACATATTGTTTGTATTTTTTTAGGACAGAATAAAATGTGAACATCACAAGTTAATTGAATCCAATATCATGCCTATATATTATAAGAAATGTATTTATAAAACTAAAATTTAAATTGGATAGTAAAAGTGTTATATTGCTGTCTGACTAAAGTGTTATATGACTAAATCTAGTCACAAGTTTAATAATAACAAATAGAGAATGGGATTATGGAATCGGCCCATTGACAGTTAGTGTTCTACATAGTTATTTACAAGTGTTTTCAATGTTTAATAAACTGATTTGGTATTTAATGAACATAATGTATTTATTAACTAACAAAATATAAGTTCAAAGTAGTTTGCACATAGATTGTACTCTTTTTGTTAAGTTCATATATCTCGCTAGTGGAAAATCGATTTTGATGAATCTTTTTGTAATCGAAAATGTTAACTCCATTGTCGACCCAACACTAATTTTAGTATCACTGCAGTTAGTTTTCTGTTCAGAAATATAAACCTATTTTACTTTAATATTACATGGGAAAATACTAATTTTAAAGCTAACTGTAAACCAGTCGGCCATTGCAGAGTCAAAGTTGTGCTTGCTTATCAAATACCGAGTGTATTTGAATCCAAGAATCGAACTCGGCATCTAATATAGGTGAAGCGAGAGCTTTCAATATTGCACTGAGGGGATCGAAATTAAATTTAAAAACAGTGTATTAATTATACATTAAACAAATTTGAAGCACAGTGTTGTGGTGTGTATTTTTACTTTTGGACAACACATTAGCTTATAGCAAAATTAACTTAACAAAAGCTAGTCACGATGACAAAGTAGATACTATATGACAAATAATAAAGTAAGCGTACAACCTCTTGCAAGACAAAACATCCTGGGCACTGGACATAAATAATAGACAAAATGTCGCTGACAAGCTTTGCATTATGGGACTAACACAAACGGTCACCGTTTGTGTTAACCAATCAAAACATGAGAACAACACAATGAGAATCACACGTGAACATGTTACAGTACATACACCAGTTACTATTTATACCGATGGATGATGTAGACACATTTGATTGAACTACACAATTACCTCGTGACAATTTTATATAAAAGGCATTCGATTAATATCCGTTTAATTTATCACTGGATACCTGCCTAACATAGCTATAGACTATGGCATAACAAAACTATTGCTTGTATTTTTTTACTTGTTTCATTTAGTAAAAATATAATTGGTTTTTTTTTTATTTTAATGTTACAAAAATAAAGTCCAAATTACAAGAATACAAAACCTTTCGATTGCAATTAAATTTGTTCCAGAAATCTCTATTTGAGTATAAAGACATACCGTTTGAATTTATCGTGTACAACAAGTAAGAAAAAACAGTTGACATCAATACGAGAGATTTAATATAAAAAACCTAAACATGCAATAACGACTCTACGGGCATCCACTACATTGTAAGGAGCGTAAACTGCGTGTCAAAAAAACAGGACACATCTACTTTTGTTCTCTCACAATCACACAAACAAAAATAACACACAGAGGAACATGTGTTCGTTACCCCCACAGCGTCTCCGGACATGCCGAGAGGAAGTGCGCACTGTCCAGGCAGAAACAAAACGTGTGACGCGCGAACAACGGCATAGGCCATACGAGTTTGGCCGCAAACTTGCTCTAACACAGCGGCCCAGCTAAAGTATACATCGTGATCACCTCACCGACCACACTCGTCGATATGACGCTATGAACGAATTAGTGTATTTATACGCAAATTTACAAAATGGTAATTACGTGCGAGTCAATTTAATTCATTAATGTATACTTTTGCTCGGCCGCCATTGGAATTATGTACAAGGTTGTAGGATATTAATCGGCTTCAATTAACTACGCGGATAATCTTAGGGACACGGTATAGATTGATCATTTTACACTAATTAGAAATTAGAACATTACGTGTACATACAAAAATTACATCTATTCAAACAATTTTTGTATGTATGTGTGTAACATACAAAAATTGTTTGAATAGATGTAATATGTGTATAAAAAAAAATAATTTCTACCGGCAACTTTGAGCGCGTGGGATTCTATACTTCTTACCAAGTATTACAAATTAATAAAAAATTTAATTTACGTAGAATACTTATTAAAGTTCTTACTTTTCCCTTCTTAAATTGTCATTTCTGTCTGTTTGATCCACTGTTCATAATATTTATAATTTGTTAAATTTAAGACCGATCTTAATGATTATTTTTTATTGGAATATCTTGCAGAGGGGCTCCCACGAAAAGAACAATAAGCATTTAGATCTTTATTACATCTTTATTAATACAGTGAACGCTCTATATAAGCAATTCATTTGAATCAATTTTAATAAAAAAAAATCTTATTTGTAAAAGTTGCTTATAGGGAAAAAAGGAGTATAAAAATACTTACCGTCTGGAAAATATTTTTACTTATTTCTTTTACTAACTAAGCTGAATAGAATAAATAAAATATAAAGAACGTTGCTTATAGAGAAGTTGCTTATATAGAGCGTTCACTGTATTATAAAGAGGAACCATTTGATTGTTTATTTATAATGGATACTACTCAATCGATTTTTTAAATTCTTTCACGTATAGAAACTCTAGTTATAATGTATATATATCGGCGAGTAACACAGGCTATATATGCATATATAATTTTCGAAAATTCTATCTGGACAGATAGAATTCTTCGCACGGGTGTGCAAAGAAGGGCCGGAGCGCTAGTCTCAAAATACTGTTTGATTGATTTTATTTATTTATTTATTTCTTATTGCATTCCATAATTAGTAGATAACGTTTCAACTTCAATTATGGACCCTGTTGGGCACAGCGAGTAGGAGAGAGGGTTAGTAGACAAAGATGAGATTCGTGGTAAAGTCGTGAGAGTACGATCTTTATTCTATTATATATATTTTTTTTATACAACTTAGAATGGCAAACAAGCCGACGGCCCACCTGATGGAAAGTGGTAACCATCGCCTATAGACATGAGTAGTACCATGGACATAACAGAGTATACTGTTTCGCCCATGATACCCCCCATGCGTTGCCATTCCTGAAGACTCAGGTGTTATTCCTCTGTACCCAGTAAATTCACGCCATATCCCACCCTTCAAACCGAAACACAGTCATGCAAACACAACTGCTTCACGGTAGAAACACGAATGGGACAGAGGTACCCAAGCATTCGACTTTTGTACAAAGTCTCCCTCTGGTATATATATAGTTTATCCTAATAATAAGAATTTGTACAAATCAATAATATATCTAAATAATTTTAAACACACAATTGGGACTTAACGCTATGAAAAAGCCTTTGCAGGTAAATAGTAGACTTGGTCACGGCGTGGTGCAATCCACGTAGAAACGTCGGCAATAAAGAAGCAGGTATGTAGACACTATTTAACTGTAAACGTTTTTATATAGCGTTAAATCCCGATTGTGTATTTAAACTATATGTAAACAACGCGAAAGTGTAAAATTAACTAACATATCTAAACCATACAAGTAACGCATCATACACGCAATCATTTGTTCACGAATCTATTTGTTCATTAGTCCGCTTGTCGTCTTTCGGAATTCATTTTTGAAAGGGTCCTGTTTTGAAGACAAGGAAAACTCGAAATAAAACCAGTGCGTCTGTGTAGCAAGATATACCATATATTATTTCTACATCTTTTTCGGCGTAGTGACTTGTGGCCAATAGTGGAAGGGATTGTTAGTAATGGAGACTGAGAATCCCATTGCTAGCAATATGCCCAACCAGGTCAACCTCCTCGCGGTTCCCCCTGGAAACTATCATGGTTAATTCCTGATGAATTCATCATGATGGGCTAACTGGCCTGTTTTCATCCTCATCTATCACCCTTCACTGGTGCTCCGCCAGCGTATCCCGTTAGCGCAGGCGGGGTTACCATACCATTTTCACCCGTCAAAAAAAATAGTGGACGGGAGATGTTGTTAAGGGAAGGGAGTGTAAATTAATTCATGTTGCTAGTTCATTCCGAAGGTAAACATCTGATCAGGTCTTGACTGATTTCCGAATCACAAGTTACTTACGATTTCATAATACAGTAAGTATAATAATTATTTTCTATTGAATTAGGCAAGTATTCTTATTATTAGACTCTAATTTAGATACTAAAATTGTTTATTTCAATAATCAATCAATGTTAAAGAACATTTGAAGGGAAAAAAGCTACTGAGAAGCTTTTATAAACAAACAGTTAATCAAAGGTAATAAAACAACTGAATGGAATGAAGCCATTCATTAACCGATAGAGGGCGCTCGGATTGGTGTAATCATCACCAATAAGGCCGAGAGTACTAGACAAGCAATATTTACAGGCATATGTCATCAAACTCGCATCTACTCTACGTTTGGACTCATAATCGTTATTAGACAAAGCTCGCTACCGTCATGTACAAACATAAAACATATAAGTATTCGCCTCTATGTTAAATCCATACCATGAGTTACGTGATGGCATCTGACCCTGTGACGTAATGTATGTAAAGTCGTACGGAACACGAATGTGGGATGTGGCGGTAAAGTACAGAGACAACACAGCCCTCAATGAAATGACGTCACTCAACACCGGTCCAATATTTATGGTTAACTCAGTACTCGGTGGACATCTTGTGCGCGCTAGCTGTGCACAGAACGTATGCGTGATTATGAGCAATGGCGTACAGTGGCCCTCGCCGCTGGCTTCGTCTCCGATCGACTGAGAGGCCACTGTACACATTCATCCACAATGATGTAATGACCCGATGCCGATTCCACCCGCAGTTTTGCTTCAAAGTTAAACTTAACAATGGTCCTTCGAGCCGGACATCTCACGATTAATCGAGATGGAATCGGCAACACCGATGATGATCAGATCGAATGCGACGTGCACATAGCGAGCGACAATGGGCCACCTCGTTCGTTTGTGTTGTCTGTGCGCGCGCGCATAGCTCAAGGGCAGCGTGAAGAAACCGCCGGGCGCGTTGAGGCTCTCGCTCGACGAACTGAGCGGCGCCTGGCCGAACCACCCCTCCGCCTCAGTGCTACTGGACAGAGTGTTACTTTGCGCCAATACGTCTGACGATAACCGACGCCACCATGCTCTCAATACTACTGTCCGCGGCGAGTTTTCGACATCACTTGATTGTCTCGTTACAATTATGTCTAGTGTAGGTATATTCTATGAACTGAAATACAGTTTTACACACATATTGACATTCCTTATTAACTATACCACTATATAAGATTTTTAATATTATTCGGCTCTAATAAACTAAAATCGATCGATTGTCTACGTAATAACAATAATAACTGAATTTATAAACTTGTAGTGTTTGTGACATGTTTATTTTAGATATTATAAAAAGAACAATTCAGTATGAATAACAAGTGGTGTGAGCTTGTGTACAAAGTTGCCATAATACTCCTGCAACGAATGCATGCGTCTCGTAGTCACATCGAGTCACAGAGACGTGTCTGATGCACTGCCATCTATATTCTACGACACTAACTGACCGTGGGAGGTACACGCAAATTAGATTAAATACATGAAGATAAATTTCATACATGACAGATATTTAGCAAATCAAGGGTCTCTACTGGTCAGCACATCCAGTCAATGACACATAGATATCAAAAGTTACTGCCAATTAAAATAATAGTAACGAATCAAGCGATTGCTACTTCGTAACACGTGGCCTCCACGAACAAGCGGTTCGGTTAGTGCGTTCCTTTCTCTCCGCTGGGACGTTGAAGGTGCGAAAAAGAGATAGGAAAAGAAATCCGACACGCTTGTTTGCAGCAGACACGAGTAGTATAGATCATATCGTGTCGAGTGTCGGTCTGTTGCCTGTGCACCGTCACGATGGATATACCTTGTAGCCTTAACAGAGACACTAACATGAAAGATTTGACGTTATGATAGACTTGAATCGTGAAAATTTGTAGATACTAGTAACTCTCACTGACTTTAAATTATTATTTATATGTTAACGAACGGAAGTGATAGTGACAATATATATATATATATTGCATAAACATTTAAAATTATCACATCCCTGAGTTTTTTAAATTCTAACTTTAGTTCTAATATAAGTTTCATAATTTTCTGCGGTTAAGTTCTTGATAACGTTAATTCGATGCACCATTGATTTAATGTTTTTTTTTTTAAAGACACATGCATAATACATATGTTGACAACATAATTCACTTTAGCGTAAACACAAATTACAAATTGTGACAGAAAAATATTCTAAAACTTTATAATTTAGCGAAAAGATTAGGTTACGTATATAATATTTTTTATATCCATCGTTCAGGTGGTGGTGTGGTACTCGTATGGTGAGGAGTCTATGTGGTAGCGAGGGTCATGTGCAGGCGTTACCTTAGGCTGAGGTCGGGGCTCGCGCACCGTATCACCGGGTTGGGCACCGCGGGCACCACTAAGTATGCCATTGTCATGTAGTACTTCCACACCTGGCGAAGTTATAACAAAGAATTATTATCGATTCAGAGTACGCTCTACAAAAACGACTTTAATGCCTATAAAATTATTATTAGTATGTCAACATGGTAATAAATTTTCGAATAAGGATGAATCATCAGAATTGTGAAGATTTTTGCGTAATAATTCAAATTGCTACCACAATTGGTTTTGGCCACAACTAGGCATTGATGAACTCACGTATGTGTGCCTCGGCTATACCTCTGCCCACATCTGCACGTTCATCCATCAATGCCTCAGTTGCTGGCCGCTGCAGTAATGTACTATAAAAATGCTTAAGTTTACTTCAAAATTATTTATATTGTATACAAAAATATACCAATAAAAATTTACTTTTTTAAGTTAGTGAAAAAGTGAATACCATTATTTCTTTTTATCCTCAGGATGTATGCTAACAGTACACTTCAAGAAGCCACAGTACACTAGTGCAAAGCATTTGCGAAAAAGACAAAGGGATACTATAGTATAGAGTTACTATAATATAGAATAGTAGTCGATGTAATAAATAAATAAATAACAAACCTGCATATAGCCGTCCCGTTCCTTTTCCGGTTTCCGCGGCAGCGCCGGACTCCGAGAGAGCAACGACGCACGATTATCGTTAACAGGTCTGCAACAATGTATCAAATGCAAAATTACAATGTATAATTCTTGTTAAGAAGGTACACGATAAAAATAGAAAAGTACTCAAGCTTAGAAAACAAAACTTTCCAGGGCTTTTAATGAATGATAATGGAATGGTAACCATTGAGTGATGATAGGTGCACCAGTGAGGGATGATAGGTGACGATGAAAGCAGGTCAGTTAGACCATCGTGACGACTGTTTAATATGTAAATAGTGTTCAAGTTTTACAAGTCTACGATTAGGCTAGTACCTCAACTGTGCATAGAATAAGATCACCGCGAGTTAATATGACAATTGATCATGAAAAGCGACGAACAATTTGCCCGGAGCACTTACAAAGCTAGGGTAGAGAGAGACAGCCTATATGCGTATCTGGGCATGTGTGCGTTGGTTTGCCCTTGCCGATTGGGTAGTTCCAAGTTTATTTTACTGAATTTGCAGTAATAACGAATTGTTGTTGTTTTAAATATGATTTTAATATATGAGCAACTGAACTATATAAATTTACAAAAGCATATTATAAATTAAATGACTATTTAAATGACAAAACTGCATGGATTTGAATTTTGTATTAATGTGAATTGTATTGTAAGTGTAATTATTGTATTTTTTCTTAAATCAATATTATTTTCTATAGTAATTATTATAATTATAGATTGACGTATCATAAGTATCTGTAACAGATGTATATGAATAAAGATGATTGATTGATTGATTGATTGAATTAAAGTAAAACGAATGACGTGAATGTGGCTGCTGATTAGAGTGGGTCGTCGCAATTTGCTTCACACTTCACGTTCCTTTCAGCAACCATAGATTATGCAGTAACAATACGTATAGCATTCGATAGTAGAGTGTCATCTTTACATAAATTAACATGTGATCACGGCTGGTGTAATTCTGGTCGAAACATCGAGATAAGAGAGTTAAATTATCATATTTTACTTTAATAAAATGCTATACCATCATCATTATATCGGCCATTCTTGGTAGGCAAGTTGGCAACCGCAGTTACGTCTTGGTGATGTTTTAAAACAGACGCTGCTGTCCATCTCTCAACCATTACTTTCTTTTAGTTGTTACTTATGATACACATGGGAAAGTAAGACGTATCCTATTTTATATCGGGATCACACGTCAAGTAAAATACGATTGATGGTGATGGCGATAGAAACTTACGCCGGTTCGATGATGGTGAAGAGCGCGTGTATCCTGGCGTGCAGTATGGGCCACGCCTGCAGCACGGTGGCCGCGCACCGCGCTGGCACGCGGCTGCGCTCCAGCAGCCCGAAGAGCACCACCTGCACGCAGCACAGCACACAACACTAGTCTTATACCGTAACTCTTAACTAAGATGGACATATATAATACTTTACAAGTGCCACAAGAAAGAAAAGTTTAATTCTGAATTTCTCCAAATATGACAACACAAAAAAAGTTTATTTTTATATAAATTTATTAACGTATTGATGTAAAAAGTACTTCTCTATGTGACATAGATAGGCAGACAAGTTATAAAAAATATTTTATAAATGTCAGTTACCAGAGGGAGACTTTGTAGAAAAGTCGATTGCTTGGGTACCTCTGTTCCATTCGTGTTTCAACCGTGAAGCAGTTGCATTTGCATGGCTGTGTTTCGATTTGAAGGGTGGGATATGGCGTGAATTTACTGGGTACAGAGGAATAACACCTGAGTCCTCAGGAATGGCAACGCATGGGGGGTATATCATGGGTGAAACAGTATACTCTATTATGTCCATGGTACTGCTCATGTGTATAGGCGACGGTTACCACTTTCCATCAGGTGGGCCGACAGCTTGTTTGCCATTCTAAGTTGGATAAAAAGGTAATGATGGTTAATCATAGATTAGGATGATGCTCTTGTCAACTATTACACGTCGTTCCATACAAATTCATTGTACGTAATTCAAATGTAACGAGATTGTCACGTGTCCATGTGTTACATGAGTGAAAATGATATATATGTTATAGTATTAGGTTATATAGATAGAGTGTCTTCATAGAAATGCTTCGAGAAAAACGAGTCAACTTTTTTTATACAATTTTGTGTAATACATAGTTTTTACTTATTTTTTTATTTAATTATTTATTGTTATAATAATATGACAGAGGTAATCAAATGTACAAAAACGAGCTTAACTCTAATAGAGTTCTCTTCCAGTAACACCCAAACTGGAAAGGAGCATCAGTGTCAGCGGGTAGAGCGGTGTACAAATATTGTGACAATTTTTAAACAGACAAAATTAAATTAATTACATTATATTTAATAGTACAAATATATAAATATATATAATAAAAATACATAAATATACACCTAAATCTATGCATATACTTACACACACACATATACATACAATATACCTACATATATAAATAAATAAATATATGCTCATAGAGATAGAAGATGCTCTTTAAGTCTACTCATAAAAATATTCAGGGATTGACTCTCACGGATAGATATGGGAAGAGAATTCCACAATCTAGAAGCATGGACGGTGAAAGATCCACTATAGCGTGTAGTTATGAGTGATTCCTTTATAACTTCTATATTTATTTTGTCTTATAAATTTTGCATCTTTTTAATGCGTAACCACTCATTTTATTTATTAAATAATACGTTAAAACACATTTTATGCGTAAATATATACAATACTAATAAAAAAAAAAAAAACTGAATCAGCTAATTTCACAATTAACTGACAAAAAATTTACCCGTTTTTGAGGGTCATACATATATATGTACGAATTCTAATGTAAAGTATAATACATTTAAACTCCCCAATATAAATTATCAATCGTTTGTATTTTTTTTTGATGTATGAAAACGGTATGGTAAACTCGCCTGCGCTAACGGTATACGCTGGCGGAGCACCAGTGAAGGGTGATCGATGAGAATGAAAATAGTTTGTATTAGATAGTACTAGAATATTAAATAAAGCCTCTTAGAATTTCGTATATTCGTATATGACAGAACTGACCTCCCAAGGGTCGGCTCCGTTGGACGCGCTCCCGCTCCAACTATTCTTCGTTGAAGTTTCGTCGTGTTGAATGCCTGCAAATATAAATATTTATTTAATTGTGTAAAGAAAATCAAGACATATTTATATAAAAAAAAATAACTACAAGATAACAATGAAGTCACTTATTTTTTTTTGACCAATTTATTTTATTTTTTTTACCAATAGACGCAAAAGGTTGTCTGGAAGAGATCGCTCTTAGCGATAAGGTCGCCCATTGTTTTCTCACATTGTGATCATTTCTTGTAATTATTTATATTTATAATAAGTTTACTATTGTAATCTTTTGGAGGAAACAATAAAGAGTATCTATCTATGTATCTATACCGAATTTGACAATGTACGCCTTAGATAAATAACGAGGGTATAGGATTAATCTCAGGCACCCACACACGTGAGGCAAGCATGCGTACTACATATAATATATAATAGTATATCCCTAACAAAATTTTCCTTCAAAAAGTCCCTTCGTGTACATTACTTCAATTTATCACAACAATGAAAAGCCTCAATCTGTTTATATAATTAGTTATTATTTATATATTTATTAATTTAATATATACTATGTATGGTTATTTATATATGTACTGTGTTTGATTTATGTGTGTATATTTTTTGTAAGTACATTATTTTATATGTTTGTATGTTTATTTATCATAAATTGTTATCTCTTAAAATATTTATTTAATTTACTATTTTTTTTTAAATCTGTGCACCGCCACTTGCTCTCTCTGTTTGGCGTGATGGTTGACTGGTATTAAGTCCGCTCCGTAGACATTTTTCAATGTGTGCAAAAGTATAAATAAATAAAATAAATATAATATAGTGAACATAATATATATTTTAGATAGATAGATAGATTTATTTATTTGTCGGAACATTGTTTTTACAGATTATTTACTGGTTATGTACAAGTTATTAAAGATTCTATCGACGCAGTCATTATCACAAGCGAGTCTATGTGCTGAAATAAGACAACGGATATTGCTATCTCATTCTTATCTCACGAACTCTCCAGAGATGACCATTCTATCGATGGATTAGCTTATTATAAATTATTTAAAAAGTCACAGCTAATTAGGAAAATTATACAAAATGTACGTAAGAAGTGGAAGGGGATGCACGAGAACAACCGCGGTACCTGCTGTCCAGACGGCGTGGCTTCTCTCCGCGACCCAGACGAGGTCGAGCTGGCCGGCGGCGAGGATGGCCTGCTTCTCAGCGGGTGGCAGCAGCGGCAGGCATTTCTCGGCGAAGTGCGGCACGTGCGTGTCCGCTGCGTCGATCAATGCCGGCTCGTCCCGCGACAGTTGCAGCTTCTCCAGCAAGTATTTACACTCCCTATTGGGTAAGAGAATTAAAATTAATCCCCACATGACATATTTCGTAGATACAAGATGCGAGAGAAATTACAAAGAGGGTTAACCACCCACCGTAGGGAAAAGGGATTGTAAGTAGTGGGGATTAGTAGCCCCATTGTTAGGAATATACTATATCAGGTCGACCTCCTTGTGGTTCCCCCTGGAAATTATCGTGATTCATTTATTGTTAGATTTGTCACGGTGGGCTAACTGACCCGGTTCATCCTCACCTATCATCCCTCACTGGTGCCCCGCTGGTGTATATCAATAGCGCAGGGGAGGTTACCATTTCAATATCATCCATAAAAGAAAAACCACCCACCGTAATATGTGAACGGCGAGCCGCCTGGGGTATGACTTGCACTGGCACAGCATGACCAGTCCCAGCGCTTCCGCCCCGCGAATGACCGTCGCCAGCGGCTCTGACTTGGCCGGCGCCCCGCTGCTGGTGGGCTCCCCATTACGCCAGCTCGTCAGCAGTTGTAGCAGCATCCGTAAACCGTTTTCAACCAGTTGAGGAGATGTATCCTATGGATGAAATAAATATTGTATTAATGTTTGCTAGATGTGACAAAATGTTTTCGTTGATATGGCTAGCTACCATACGTTTTATATGTCTGTTTTGGAATCCTGCAATGAGGAGGAGGGCGTTGATATTCGCGACACAGTTTTATACTTCTGCGGATATCATCGTTTTTCAATAATGTTGTTTTTGTTCCAAATAAAGAATTGTTATTATTACTTTATTGCTTATTTTTTAATAACATTAGATAATATATAGCAGTGATAGCCAACTTGACTAGACCCAAGACCTACCATTTACTGACAAAACCCTGTGAGATCTACCAATTAAATACTCCTTGAAATCTCAAATGAAACAACATAGTTCAGTACACAATTATGTAGTATTGTAGTATTTTTTATTTTATTAAGAGGGAAAACATAAAACTGCAAATTGTTCTTAGTAACTACTTATCTATATTAGTGTGAGCATTACGTCTGAGCATCTTCCGTTAGATTAGCAAAATATTATATTTTTTGCTTTGTCACGATAGACTGGACGCGTGTCGCGATCGACCGGTTGGCCACCCCTGATATATAGGCTCTATATCCTGACATATCTACTGATGATGAAGACTGTTGATATTTGGAAGTTAGAGTTAGTGGAGTCGGGTATTTATTATAAGTTAAAATACATTTTATCACTTGCACTGGCTCTTATTATATACAAATAAACACGTTTGTAATTTTCTATACTTATAATAAATCTGTAGAGAGGTCAATTCTGTATATGAAATATATTTCCAAAATAACTATCACGGGGTAATTAGTGATCGATACTGATGCCAAAAATGCAATCAGTAAAATTTTTGTCTGCCTGTCTGTATGTTCGTTATAGAAACAAAAACTACTCGAAGGATTTTAACGAAACTTGGTACAATTACTCCTGGGCCAGTTATAGTATACTTTTCATCACGCTGCTATCAATAGGAGCAGAGCAGTGAAGGGAAATGTTGGGAAAACGGGAGAAGTTACTCTATTTTTAAGCTTCCGTCGCGTGTGCAGCCTTAATGGCCACTTTTTAAAATGTAAAAATGTCCACCCGTGCGACGCCGGGACGGACCGCTAGTTTATAAATAAATTAATAGAAATGCTAATAAATAGATGGAAGATTACGTTATGATCTCATATTGTACTGCGTGTGTTTAATTTTTCAAGGCAAATGATAATATTTCGCGTACCACAATTAGAGTTGTAGATACTAATTGGGAAGACTAATCAGTAGAACTGATTAGGAATGCTACACTCACCTGTACTTCTTTGGCTAAGAACTGTGTGAAGCCGGCGAGAACATCCTGCCGCCACTCCGGGAAATCCACAATTAGAGTCTGCAGACTCTGGAAGGAGAGTCCTCGCAGCTCCTCGTCCATGTGCACCGTAAGCCGGCACAGCAAGTCCACCAGCTCGCCAGAGCTCATACCCTCGGGGATAAGTCTGTTATTTAAAGTAGTAATAATATTCGTTATAAGGACAATATTTTATGACAGATTCATTAGTGTTTCAACCATTCAGGATCCAGTTTGAAAGTACTATAAGATGTTTGTACATGATACTAAAATTTCATTGAATACACTCGGATCAAAATGAAAACGAAACTTATGGCTTGGCATCACCATGGAGATGTCAGTCTATAGATGAAATATATCTTGAATTACTGCACGAGACTGCTTTTCGCAGGCCTCATCCAATATTTAATATTTATAAATAAGTTAGAGTCCTTCCTTAACACGTTGAGCCCGGCGCTGAATTTGCTGTCCTTTCCGTTCAGCCGGCAGCCGGCAGCCGGCGAGAGATACAATGCTGTATGCCATTGCCAAGAGATTACTTTAGTACTAATGAGATAAGGAATTCTATGTCGTGCTATTTTGGACGTTTCTTAGGTGTATGTGTAATGTATGTGCGATTCTATTCTATATTTTCCTATGATGTATAGTAAAACCACGTACGTACCTTCGAGAGGTGATCAGTTACAAAAGACCTATCGAAGTATACAGATTGTTCGTAAAAAGAAAATTGAATTTAGTTCTGGAAATAGTTATTGCCCATAACATTGAATATGTCCGACGCTGGCCACACGGAAAATTCTAGTGCCGGTCCCCAGGGAACGACGCTGGCAACACGGAAAGTTCGCTGCCGGTCCCCAGGGGCCGGCGCCGGGCTCAACCTGTTAAATGTCACTAAGTACACTCCACTTGCCTGGGTATAGCGGCGACACACGTGCGGAATAGGTCGATCCTCGGTTTCCTCTCCCCGGTGTTAATCTCCTGCTCCTTTGTAACGTTCTGAGTGTTGGTCAGCATCAGCGGCCGCCCGTAGTGTGCGTCCAGTGCACGCAGGATCTCCACCAGAACACGCCTCACGTATGGAAAGTACGCGCTCATTCCTATTGAGCGGGCCGTCTCGTCTGTCAGCATTTTGTTGAGAAAGGTCTTCTTTACTCTGAGCGTATTGCCTGACGGTAACGTTCCAGCCGTCCTCGGCATGGGAGGCTCCCCTTCTTTCTGCTGTAAACTATCAGCGACTACGAGGAACGCTCGCAAGCCTATGGACATCCGTTCGGGAGTCAGGATTATTTTGATCTGTCGTCCGACCATCAGCAAGTCGAACACTATTTCTCTCATGGCGAAATCTAGCCTCTCCTGCGCGATGAACTGTATGATTTTGACGAAAATGTTGAGCGGCGTGTCCCGTGGCACAACGCCTTTGGATCCTTTGGGAAACAGTGAGTTGACGATGCTCTGGAGGCGAGACTGCGTTGCCGAGTTGCTTTCACATTTGATCCTTATCATGTACACCCATAGCAGACGGTATAACGACTCTGGGGGAATAAAATTATACTTCATTATATCGAATGATATTAGAACGAAATTTAAGGATGTTAAACAGTTTTTTTTTATACAACTTATAATGGTAAACAAGCTGACGGCCCACCTCATGGAAAGTGGTAACCGTTGCCTATAGACATGAGCAGTACCATGGACATAACAGAGTATACTGTCTCGCCCATGATACCCCCCATGCGTTGCCATTCCTGAGGACTCAGGTGTTATTCCTCTGTACCCAGTAAATTCACGCCATATCCCACCCTTCAAACAGAAACACAGCCATGCAAACACAACTGCTTCACGGTTGAAACACGAATGGGACAAAGGTACCCAAGCAATCAACTTTTGTACAAAGTCTCAGTGCATTATAGAAACAGCAATTCGATTGAGTGTAAACTCGTTACTAGTATTGGAAGAGCAGTTGTATATCTTCACAGAAGCTGAAAGCCTGGCTCATTTCAAAATATATAGGTAATTGGCTTAATATGAATTCAATCATATGTTTTACTAGTACAAGTAATGCTCCCATTTTCGTGGGCAATTTTTTTCGTTTCAGCACATTCCGTTCTTTATTACTTCCCGGCATAAGGAACTTTCGGAAACCAGCACTAGGGTATAAAAATTCGACTATCCAATAGTAATTTTAATAAGTTTTCTAGTTATTTATGTCGGCATCACTCACATTTTATATGTGGTGATGCCGAGATTGATGTTACATATTCAGGGATACAGTATGACTCACGACAGTTATTATTCAATAAGTTGATTTGAATGGTGGTTATATTATTCTGAACTGAACATGCGTGAATTAACTCACCTAATGCTACCCTACACATCTTTGGATCCCTGTTCTTGAGGTGCGACAGACACATGGCCAAGAAGCAGTGCCAGTTAGTGAGGAAGAATTGCTTCTGCGAGACGCAGAGGAGACACGTGACGAGCGGGAAGAGCGCCAGCCTGTGCTTCGACTTGGTGCTCGCGTCCAGCGTGTGGCTATACAGCATTTCAACAAAGTTCTTCAAGCACGGCACGTTTACCTCGTTTTTCACAGTCTGATGATTGAGAATTATTTATTATAGTATAAACACTTAAACAGTATGGTGTGTAACGCTCAGAAAGGGGAGGGGACAAGTTGTCAGTAATGCAAACTACCAGTCGCATTGCAAGAGACTGGCTGAAAACCAGCATACTAATGGTAGCGGAATTAATTAAAATAATTATAATTAAAATAATAAAATATTTCTAATTAAATAACTGTATATAAATATAATTTTAAATACAATTTATGATTAATCTAGATAAATACAAATATATATACTAATTTTTTAAATTTTTAATAATTTTTTTCTATTTCGCAGGAATCGAATCCGCAACACTAGAAAGGTGAAATAAATGTTCAGGCATTAAAAGACAAATGTCTTACCGCAGCTACTGGCACTAATATCTCGACGAAGAGCCCGGCGAGCGCGTGGCGGATGTCCTTGTCCTTGACCTCGAGGAAGTACTGCGCGCACTCCTGCAGGAACTGGAACGATGCCTCGAACTCCTCAATGGGCACCATCTTCACACGAAAGAACTTCATTCCCATCAGCAGGGAGATGATGCTCTGCGTCGTGTGAGGGGACGGCTCGCGGGACTTCAGCTCCTGAACATGAATACAGCACGATCAGATGGCACCAAAATAAATATAAAATAAAATGCATCCAATATTTTGTCATTTAGGATTCCTGCATGAATTTTCAAACGAGAGCCAAAAAATTTAAAGCAGTTCTTATTTCTGAAACACAATTACAGTGGCGTTGTGTAGCATTTACTAATTTTATTTCAATTGCTATGTGGTCCCAGCATAGAATAGGCCACCCCTTCTTTTTCTGTTAGTGTCGTAAAAGCCAACTAAGGGAGAGCGAGGAATGTGCAGCAGCATCTCTCTTAAAACATTTCTCTTCAAAGCTTAACTTCAGTTGCCAATCTACCTGCCAAACGTAAAAACTACTGGCAAAGCCACCCAAGAGGGAGGCTTATACAGCGGTACATCGATATAAGTGTGTTTTGAGATACGAGCCGCCGAGCGACCAATATTTTGCTTTGAGACGAGAGCAAGATTTGAGATGCGAGGAATCGCACACTACACCGCTGCACATGACCCCAACATGCGGGAAGGATGTTAGTGTCTAACAGTTTTTCCCACCTCAGACTAACACTCAACAAAAACAACTGAGATGGTTTTTGGAAGTACAGATTAATGGCATTGCAGCTAATTTCAATGGGGAAAATTGCTTTGAGACACGAGCAAGATTACGGAACGAATCACTCGTATGTCGAGGTACTATTGTATTCAGAAGCGATTAGATTATATAGTATTGTTATATTATACATTAGATTTATGTTATATAGATATCCAATGTATATAATTATATATACATTAGATTATAGAGTATTGTTATATTTTAATGATTATACAAAACCGCACCTTCAGTTCAGCGGTGAACCGTTTCTTGACAGAGGCGAACCGCGAGTGCGCCAGGACACCTATCACCTCCGCGTACAGGTCTGCTATTATGTGCACGTTGGCTGCGTTTGGATTCGATTGTAACCTGCGAATATTAGCTTTGTTTGAATTCAAATGGTCCAAAAGATATTATTTTTTCATTAAAATATTTCATACATATTGAAGATTTAGCAATAGCAGATTATTTTAATTACCATTTTATTACTTTGAGAAACAGAAAGGAATCAAAAAAATTATTTTATTCACTTATTATGAATTAATAATAGTTTTTTGGGGGTCACGAAGTTGATTTTATTTTTTAATTGCATATTCATTTAAAAATAAAATACCGATTATATATTAGCATAAATTTACACGGACACATGCATATGTGCTGCCATTTCCAGTAGCTTAAAGAACTGTATGCTGTATAGTAACAGTAAAATCTAAAGAACTCTATAATACCAGTGGCTCAACAGACATGTTTACAGAGCAATGGGTACCAATTTGTCATATTTTCATTTGACACATGCTATAGGTATTGGACAACTGGTTGTTATTCACACTGTGGTAATGGACATATGGTAGATACTTTTTTTTTGATGGGTGAAAATGGTATGGCAACCCCGCCTGCGCTAACGGGATACGCTGGCGGAGCACCAGTGAAGGGTGATAGATGAGAATGAAAACAGGCCAGTTACGCCATCATGATGAATTCATCAGGAAATAACCATGATAGTTTCCAGGGAGAACCGCGAGGAGGTCGACCTGGTTGCTACCAATGGGATACAATTTATATTATGACTCACCCTTCCTTGTAGTTGAACCTTTTGAAGGCCACATTCTCAATGTACTGCACGAGGTCCTCGTGCCCGGGGTGGAAGGGCAGTTGCTTGAGGACCTCGATGAGGGCGAGGCAGAAGAGGAACTCGACGGCGAGGTCGCGCCGCTCCGCCTGCAGCTCCTCGCAGCTGCGCTCCACCGCCTCCGTGCCGGCGCCGCTGCCCGACACTATGTAGATTATGCTGCAACAAAAGTGATATTATAAATAAAAAATAATATGGCTGTGCTCGGTTTAAAAGGTGCAATATGGCAGTAAATATACAGGGTATAGAGGGACAACACCCGAGTCCTCAGGAATGGCAACGCATGGGGGGTATCATGGGCGAAACAGTATACTCTGTTATGTCCATAGTACTGCTCATGTTTATAGGCGACGGTTACCACTTTCCATCAGGTGGGCCGTCGGCTTGTTTGCCATTCTAAGTTGTATAAAGAAAAATAATAAAGACAGGAAACAAATCACAAAGTACCTTAATTAATATCGTCACGTTAATAATACAATGAAATTGTAAACAGAGAATATTTTTACATGGGAGATATTTAACATGCCAATACAATTATTTTTGGAAATTTTACCTGTCTGCCTGTTTGTGCATTTGTTCCGGCATCACGCAAAAACTAGTGCTTTAAATTGGATATAATTTTCACAGCAGTGTTCCTAAAGATTTAATAAAAAAAAAACTGGCGTATGTTTCATTTTAATACGTCGCCTAGACGTGGTCTTTTCATAATACTGCTAAAATCCACGCGTTTGAAATAGCGGGCATAGATTAAATAATTAAAGAAATTAGTGTACATTTCATTGAATAACACGGTTCTTTATTATTAAAAATATGGTGATAGAGATGCCAATATAACTCGACACGAGTCCTCGGTGTCCTCGGGACGTCGTAAGCGGCAAGCAAGGGAACAAAGAACTATAAAACGGTACGAGAGAGGAATAATTTGAAATAAAACCTTATATGTGTATATTATATATGGTGTTAAAACCACTATTTACACTTTCTTGGAAATAATACTAGCATAATTTTTCCACAACCAATAATTTTAATTCTGTGTGCACTGTTCTTATAATTTTAATAATTGTATATTTTAAGTATTCTTATGCTTGTTACTTGTATGTTTTTTTTTTTTTATTGTTTTGTTTGTGTCAGTATTGTTAATATGTAATCGATGACATAAGAAAATGTTGTGCACATCTGTAATTGGTGTAAATGCAAGATGCAAGCCCTGTGTATCAATTAAAATTAATGTCTGTATTTACACTGTTGATGTACCTTTTATAAATAAATAATACATTTTAATAAAATATATAAATAGTTTAATAAATAAATAAATATTTGAGCGTGGTCGCTGTTAGATACAGTAACGCGCAGTTCTCGTATCTACACTACACAGAGGTAAGATTTAATTGTTTGTAACGAATAAACACCAACACAAAAACAAATTGACCGACTTTAAAAAAAAATCACCTATAGAAAGTTAAGAATATCAGCAAGTAACAAAGGGTATATAGTATTTTGGAAAATTCTATCTAATCGTGCGAAGCCGGACCTGAGCGCTAATTGACTAAAAACTGCAACGGTTATTTGATAATGCGAACTGTAGTCATGGCCGCCAGTGGCCATCGACTATATTTAAAACAATAACATCCTTTCGAGCCCAAAGTGCATGCGCCCCCTTATAAACACGGTGGGCTAAACGAGTCATGTTAGCCACGCACGCCGAGAAAGTCCTTGAAGCGGTGACCGCAAACGGGACTATTGGAATAGATTTTTTTTTCATAACAGTATTATTTTTTTTTATTTTTTTTTTTTTGATGGGTGAAAATGGTTTGGTAACCCCGCCTGCGCTAACGGGATACGCTGGCGGAGCACCAGTAAAGGGTGATAGATGAGAACGAAAACAGACCAGTTAGCCCATCATGATGAATTCATCAGGAATTAACCATGATAGTTTCCAGGGGGAACCGCGAGGATATCGACCTGGCTGGGAATATTGCTAGCAATGGGATTCTCAGTCTCCATTACTAACAATCCCTTTCCCCCCTTCATAACAGTATTATAACCGGCGTATGTGATATTAATATAGACAAGCGATCTATCTACCTTCACGTCCTGTTCCTTGCGGGGTGGACAGATGGGACTGAGTACCATTTGTAACTGCACATGCACGCCTTGTACATGCACGCCGATCACACATTGCGACATATCGTATTGTTTATTGTGTTCATGGGTCATGGAAATATGACGTTATCGGCCATACAAATTAATTTTTTCGTAGACGATTTCCGTCGCGATACAAATAATAAAAGCGGCCATTGTATACAAATAATGTTTACGTATGTACCTTACTTATGTACTTATACACCAGAGGAAGACTTTGTACAAAAGTCGATAGCTTGGGTACCTCTGTCCCATTCGTGTTTCAAGCGTGAAGCAGCTGTGTTTGCATGGCTGTGTTTCGGTTTGAAGGGTGGGATATGGCGTGAATTTACTGGATACAGAAGAATAACATCTGAGTCCTCAGGAATGGCAATACATGGGGGGTATCATGGGCGAAACAGTATACTCTGTTATGTCCATGGTATTGCTCATGTCTATAGGCGACGGTTGCCACTTTCCATCAGGTGGGCCGTCAGATTGTTTGCCATTTTAAGTTGTATAAAAAAAAATGTACCTACACTCGTGTGAGCGTGCACTGCCCAATTCGTCATTTGAGCTATCTTCAATATCACATCCATTTACATTCATTACGACTAAACAATCGTCTGCTATTGTTAATTTACATCTTGTACACATACAACTAAAATACACTAGTTATTTCATTGTATACTAGCTTTTGCACGCGTCTTCGTCCGCGTTACCGGGATAAAGAGTAGCCTATATCTTTCTCAATCCCATACCATATAGTACGTATATATGTAATGTTTCTATTCTATTATATATATATATATATATATATATATATATATATATATATATATATATATATATATATATATATATATATATATATATATATATATATAATATATTAAATATTTATTTGCTTTAAACAAACATTTAATTTGTCATCTGTTTAATTACCTTAAAATTGTAGGCATGCAAATTTAATGTATTCATTAATTTTTTTTTATGCAACTTAGAATGGCAAACAAGCCGACGGCCCACTTGATGGAAAGTGGTAACCGTCGCCTATAGACATGAGCAGTACCATGGACATAACAGAGTATACTGTTTCGCTGAAGATACTCCCCATACGTTGCCATTCCTGAGGACTCAGGTGTTATTCCTCTGTACCCTGTAAATTCACTGCCATATTCCACCCTTCAAACGGAAACACAGCCATGCAAACAAAACTGCTTCACGGTAGAAACACGAATGGGACAGAGGTGCCCGAGCAAACGAAGTTTGTACGAAAGTTGTTTGTAGGAATAACACCTGAGTCCTCAGAAATGGCAAAGCATATGGAGTATCATGGGCGAAACAGTATACTCTGTTATGTCCATGGTACTGCTCATGTCTATAGGCGACGGTTACCACTTTCCATCAGGTGGGCTGTCAGCTTGTTTGCCATTCTAAGTTGCATAAAAAAAGAATAAATATCATCGACTCATTTTAATTCGTATAAAATTTACCGTGTCTTGTTGTGGATATGGTTTTATATTTGATGGGTGAAAATGGTATGGTAACCCCGCTTGCGCTAACGGGATACGCTGGCGGTGAACCAGTGAATGGATCACCATCTATCAAGATGAGAATGGAAACAGGCCAGTTAGCCCATCATGATGAATTCATCAGGAATTAACCATGATAGTTTCCAGGGAGAACCGCGAGGAGATCGACTTGGTTGGGTATATTGCTAGCAATGGGATTCTCAGTCTCCATTAATAACAATCTCTTCCCCCCTATGGTTTTATATTAGAGGCAGGTATTCCATACATACATATTTCTAGCAGTGTCCTCCCCACTAATTGAATAACGACGACCGTTCATTAGCGTATCTTTGCTAATTCCTTTAACCTTCCCAGTGTAACGTATACGAGAAATATAGAGTACAAGTACGCAATAAATATTTGATACGTCATTCATTTCCATTCAACCATTCGTGTCGGGGGGGGGGGATTACTAGTAATGAGATTTAACAGTCCCACTACTAACAATACACCCTATCAGGTCGACCTCCACGCGGTTCCACCTGGAAACTATTGTGACTAATATATCGTCGAATTCGTCACGATGGGCTAACTGACCTGCATTTTCATCCTCACCTATCACCTCTCACTGGTACCCCGCCAGTGTATACCGATAACGCAGGCGGGACTACCATGCCATTTTCACCCAATAAAAAAAAAACCATTCGTGTCTGCTGTTGAAGATAAATACATAGGCCAATACTGATACAAGGAATTGACTTGAAACACACAAATAAAATGCTTATCTATCTATCTATACAAGAAATATTTCTGAATATTGTGTATACAACGATTTAGTAATAGACATGAGGTCGTCGCACCGTCTAGTGACGCCTCTCGAATGTTGCATCCGACTTATCAGTTATTGGACATGTGTAGCTACGATAGTGGTGATTAAATTATTTCTAATAACGAACCCATGATATTAATTCATATTTGATTGATGTCGAACGATTATTATCGCTTCCTTTGTGTTTCGAAGTGCACGTGTAGTTGCAACAGGTCTATGACGTGCCTTATCAGAACATTCATGTGAAATATATTTCACATATACCAGAAGGTGGAAACCATGCAAGTAGGGGGAGGGGATTATTAGTAAATATTTTTAATGGATGATAATGGAATGGTTACCCCACCTGCGCTAACTCACTAACTCACTGGTGCCCCTCTAATGTATACCACATTAGAGGGGCACCAGTGAGGGATGATAGGCGATGATGAGCAGGTCAGTTAGCGCATCGTGATAAATTCAACTATAAATGAATCACGACGGTTTCCAGGGGGAACCGCGTGGAGGTCGACTAAATAGGTTACGTGTATTTTGTTAGAAATGCAATTGCTAATCTCCATTGCTAACAATCCCTTTTGCCGCCAGTTAACAGGACTAGCTGCTTCATTGCTAGCAATATACTAATTCGAACTACACCTGATTACCAGGAAACCACCGTACTTAATACCTAGTAAATTCGTCGCGATAGATCGACTGACCTACTTTAGTCGGGGGAAGGGACTGTCACTAATGGTGTCTATACCATATCAGGTCGACCTCCACGCGGTTCCCCCTGGAAACCATCGTGGTTATTTCTAGTGGAATTCGTCACGGTGGGCTAACTGACCTGCTTTTATCGTCACTTATTATCCCTCATTGGTGCCTCGTCAGTGTATACCGATAGCGCAGGCGGGGTTACCGGCGGCATTAAAAAAACCTACTTTAGTCCGTGGAGCGATTGGCTCTAAGCTAGCTCACTACACCCACTGTGTCACCAATTTTAGAAAATACTAACTTTCGATTAGAGGTTATGGATAAATGTATTTATTACCTACATAAATTAATGACCTACATAAATTTAATGAAAATGACGCTGCAAATTCGATTAATGCAACAGATGCTGTTGTATTAGCGCGCGGTACCACATTTTTGTACTGTACAGCGTACGATGCATAAACTCTAGAGGGGTTAATTCTTATCTATCTTCAGGCATTTATATTTCGTTCATGTTATAGCAACTCGACAGAGCACTCCCCACAGACATCAGTAGCAATAACTCAAAAATTCGTCAGCGGCTCACCTTTTATTCCTCAGGTCTTGGTGTGGTTTCTTGGCCTGCTCGCTGAGCTGCGGCGAGTCGGCCATCTGTCGCTCGAGCCAGCCAAAGAGGGCGCGCAGCAGCGACGGCAGGCAGTGCTCGGCGACCGTGCCGAACGCGCACAGTATCTGATCCAGTTGCGGGTCCTCGCCGCGTTGGAGCGTCTTGTTCAACGGCTTCTCCTAATTTCACAAAAAAATTAAGAGATACATAGTAATATTTCAATACAAAATTCACGCTAATCTTCAAAACTGATAATTTGTTTTTGCCTTAAAAATAAAATAATGGAACCAGTAGGGTGCAAAACAACGTTAATTGGGTTAGATAGTTCGAATATAAAATTATAATAAAGTCTTCAAATTAATGAAATTCCATTGTTTATATTTGATTAAATAATAAACATATGAGACGAGTACTTGTTCCTGTACACATTAACGGCCACTTGTCCAGAAGTGATTAAATAAATAAAATAAATTGGATAAGGAAAATAAGCGAACTTATTTATTGTAACCGCTATATAATATTATTAATGAAACGCGTGCAAATAATGGAGCACTGCTTACGAGTGGTTCGGCCATGACCGCTTCCATTTTCCTTTCAGCCTGTACAGTGAACTCAGTGAAGAGCAGTCTCATAACAAATTCGCCGGGCCTCAGGTCGGAGTCGGACGGCGGCACCACCGGGCCCTTGTGCGGGCCCCATGGCAGCATCGAGCCTGCCAACCACACAGCCGTACCTTATGCCACCACAGTCCGTAATACACACAAGGAAAATAAATTCAATTTACAGTAACAGCAAGGAGGGTCAGATGTCAACAAAACACTGGCAATGTTAATACAGCAGTTCAAACTGCAAGTCAGGTATAAACAATACTTTTTAAGTAATTACTCGTGGCCGATTAGTGAGAAACGATAAGCAGATTTCGTATGTTATTCTTATTAAATGTCAACTCTTGAAATATCAGAAATAGAATATAAAAAAAAATATACATAAGTAAATTAAAAATTTTACAAACTGAAGTATGAAATACTGCTACCTTGTCTGGTATCCAAATTAAATAGAATGTTTCCTTATACAAAATGAGTTACCTAATTTGTCAATCTATTAGGGGTCAATTATATGATATAAATAACGAGAATTACTTGTAATGTTACTATAACAACACTGAAAATTGTTACCAGATATACCATACAGTATATTAATAGCATCAAAGTACGATAAAAAGGCGTGTACATTAACTAATGTTTTATATATATTACTATGAACGAATGAAAAGTCTTTATTCAAAGAATGATACGGATTATAAATATTAACAATATGTACACAAACAAAATTAATACATAAACAAGATAAAGACGCAACAATGTTCTTATGTTTTGTTATAGAATTCGGAAGGATAAGTTGGCGATTTATTTGGATGAAAAGTGGTCACTGTCGCCGTAGGCATAACATTTTTCTACTAATTCAATAAATTTATGTTGATATTAAAGATTTAAGTTGAATTTAATTTTGAAGTATAAACTTCCGTCATGAACCACAACGCGCCAAGAGCGTTCGTAACGATGGTATTGCAACGTCGCAATTATATGTCAATAATTGAAAACAACTGAGGATATTTCAATGTTTCAGACTGTTTATTTAAAAAGTGCTCTGCGTACGAACTAAAACGTTATCCAGAGAACACTAAAAACTTTGTACCTATTTCACATTTCGCTTGGAAATTTTTCGTATACATATTTTCTTTTACCATCAAAATAAACATTTTCCGTGACAACTCAATATATTCTGGAATGATTAATATTTCAGTTCGTAGATGGAACGCTTTTTAAATAATTATTTAAAACATTAAAAATTCTTCATACGTTTTTGAAAATTGACAAACATTTGCGACGTTGCCATACTTCATTACGAATTCTCTTAAAGAAAAGTACTAAAACTATAAAATAACACTAGGTAGATTTAGATTAAATGAACAACACAAGAACAACAGTATTGGCAAAGGGAGTTGAGCAAAAAAATACTTAGCATATCGATACGCCTGTTTGGTCTAAACCACCTCAATACTTGCTTGAGACACATACCTCTAGTTGAAACAAGCGAAGACAAGGTGCTCCCAACAGTTCTCCAGTCATTGCTGACAACAGTTATAGGTTTGTGATGGGTATTGTGGGCCGTTTCTGGCGCGGTCCCATCGCTGGGCTGGACCGGAGGCGGGTCTATATTGTCATGGCGCGCCACTTCAGATAACACGCTACCCTCGGACTCTGCTTCACTCGACACCATTGATGATGGAGCTTCTTCAGTACCTGGGTGGATGGAACAATAATTTATTCAACCTCATCACCTCACCACAATACAAGAGTGTACGTCTGACGAGAGACATACTCATACAAAGGAGTGTGTCTGTATTTGTTAGGATATGGCTAGATATTTCAAAGTATAATTAATATAATTAATCACTATATTAAAAATAAATTGTGTTCAAAAATGTGAACATTTTCATTTTCAAATTAATAACATTCTATATTTGTGTAAAAATATAATTGAATTAATTAGTGAAATGTATTGGAAAACAAAATAATATTATACCTATAAAATCGTTATCAATAAAGCAAAAACTTGCTGACCAGTGAATATTGTGTCATTGTTACGTATACTCAATTGTGATGTAAGTATATATGTGTACAATTGTGAACTGATATAAAGAATTGCCTCGATTTCTGTGTCATCAATAAATGCTGAATACACAAATACTTACCTGATGCATCCTCAGGATGGCATTCTGAAGGCATATTGCTTATCGAGTCCGTCTCTTCTGACATCTTTTTAGTTAATTACTTAACTACTGTACTTTTAAATAATTACTGTATTTACTGTAACAATAAATTGACAAATCACAAAATGTCCAATGAAAGTAGCAGTAATTAGATAGATAATATAAATAAAGATATGTCTTTGCTAAAAGTAATAAAATTACAAAATATAAATTTATAACCATTATTTATGCAAGGAATTTATCTTTATTTTCTACAGAAGATGAAAAGAGGATTAGAAATTTTGTATGAAAAGTTAAAAATGTTCATATATTTATATAAAAGTAATAAAAGTACACCAGAGGGAGACTTTGTACAAAAGTCGATTGCTTGGGTAACTGTCCCATTCGTGTTTGAACCGTGAAGCAGTTTTGTTTGCATGGCTGTGTTTTGGTTTGAAGGGTGGGATATGGCGTGAATTTACAGGGTACAGAGGAATAACACCTAAGTCCTCAGGAATGGCAACGCGTGGGGGTATCATGGGCAAAACAGTATACTCTGTTATGTCTATGGTACTGCTCATGTCTATAGGCGACGGTTACCACTTTCCATCAAGTGGGCCATCAGCTAGTTTGCCATTCTAAGTTGTATAAAAAAAAAAACATGGAGTATATCATAAAATTCAGTTATATTTTATTGACATTAAAATGGTTGTGTGATAAAAATTCTTTGGAATCTATTATTTAGATTAGTAGCACGAATTATTAAAAGGACAATTACATTTTAATGTAACAACTACCGGTTTAACATACATATTATACGGTTGAGAAAGGTCGACCAATAGATTACATTAAAACATAATATGTACTTACGAAATCTTCAACAATAAAATAGAACCATTATCTTACCTCTATCTACATAATTGTATACAATCCAAAGCAGATTCATTGCTCCTAAAACAAAACATAGACATGATTTCAAGCTGTTGTTGCGCCAACTAAACTCTATTTTAGTACTATTTCAGTATTTTCTCAATGCTCAGCTCATATTCACTTGTAAAGATTGTATCTCCTTCAATGATTACTTTTCATAATATTATAAATAAGAAAGTGAGAGTTATAATGAAATGTTGTTTAACTATTGGTATCTTAATGGGTCATTAATCATCACAGAGTGTAGTATTTAGTATCCAGAAGGATATATATATATTACTTTTTAATCTAGTCAGTCAATGTCTTGGTCATAAAGTCAGTTCAGGATGGCTCTTAATGATATTATAAATGTGAAAGAGTTTGTTTGTTATCTCTTGACACTCTTAACACAGTATTTCCCAACCTTTTTTGTGCCATGCCCCACTAGAACATTTCTAATATTTTTATGCCCCCATACATAATTTTTCCCAATACAGTTTACTTGATGACTCTAATCGCCCAGTTGATATTTTGGTAACGTCAAACGAAATTATACCTAATAAATTTTTACAGCATTCTTTTTTTTAATTTACTTTTTTGTTAAATTTGGCACCGATAATATCTACTCCTAGCATTGCGTTTAAATGGCCTGGAGCAAAATGGTTAAAATCTCTTCGAGTTCATTTTTTAATTGCCCCTCTCTTAACTATCAAATTGCCCCTCTGTGGGGCATGGGTGTTATGTTGGGACACACCACTCTAAAGGCTTAATATATCATCATGATGTTTAGCAAATACATTATATTGAAAACTAGCTTTGTAGCCCGCCCCTTTGTACACGAGACTTTCAGAAGAAAATCAATTAAATAAACTACTTTTAGATGGCATAGCAAGATAAAATGTACACCAGTTCGTAAGTCAGATTTTCAGAAATATAACTAAAAACTATAACTGAAAAAATATTTAATCAATTTATAAAATATTTTCATTTATAGAAAGCTACATAAATTAGTGAGTGACATGGGCTTTATTTTATTAAAATAAAAAAAACAGTCAATTCATGATGAGTCACTAATAATGTCATAAATATAAAAGCAAGTTTGTTTATAATCTGTTGACATTTCAATGCAAACCAATCATCGAGAAATTTGGTAAACTGTATTTGAAATGGAGAATGATATTTCATCCAACAGTACTTGCATCATTGTCCATAAATATGTTCCAATCATGTACAAGGACATTATCACAGTAGTAACTTTTATAAGCAATAAATTTAATAATTTAACATGATTAATAGTCAGTAATCATATTTGTATAAGTATATATATTAAAGTTATATCAGCTGGCACAGAGAAAATAATAAAATAGGTAAGGTATAAGCACTGATACAATTCGCATTGTGTACCAAAATATTAAGATCATTATCATAATTAGCAGGCTTGCAGCAAGAGTATAGGACGCAACTGCTATACATACCACAAAACTCATATCACACTGCACTAAATTGACACAATCGCATAGCAACAAAAAAATAACATACATTGACATAAAAATAAATTAAGCACAGACTTACAATAGCACATCTGTTTGTGTTGATTTATAACACCAGTAAGGTATTATTGTTGAACATATAAAACCACTAATAAAAATTTTGTATATCAAATTAGATAGTTTTACAACAACAGAAATGTTTATATGTGTAATTTAACTGTAGTCTTGTGAAACTAGGACGACTGACAGGGTATTTTGTAATGTTATGGCTGTTTATCAGCTGTGCATACGACCAAGCCTCGACTGACCGGCGCAGCGTGCGGGGGACCAATTTGCCTTCATCAGTCACAATATTATAAAAATATAAATATCTTTAAGCACTGAGCTTCAACTCCACTACACTTGATTCTTTGTATGGATACTTTGATATAAGTAAACATTGGGTCACCACAGTACGCTAACGGTTGATATACATTATATTGCAGTTATAATTTAATAATAGATAAGAAACTCATTCACTTTAAATTTTATCGCATCACAACGCACAACATTAGTCACAAAGTCATTACAATATCTTTCAATGTTATTAATATTCGTCTGATATTCCGTACAACCGGATAATAGCAGAATTATTTTGGTTTGTGTTATTTTATTAAACGACAGTTAGATAAAATACCCACTTAAAAATAGTATTTTATACCTTTGTCTTCTAAATCTATAGGTTACGGAATACACTTATCAGTATCAGCTGCATTTTTTCTGTATATAAAAATAAAGCTTATGCCTGATTTATGACTAATATTGGATGAAAACAAAAGGTAACAAAATTCTCTAGAGTCACGCAGAGTTGTCGCAAATTAACTTTTTGACATTTCTTCCCATTACTAATGTATTATGCAACTAAACGTAGAGGTCTATTTGCTATACCACCGACATAAGTTTCTCTGACATCTCTGAAATTGATCGATTTATATTTTGTTCCTCTACAATGCGTTCCGTTTCATGAATCCGTTCGAAAGTACCGTAATGTTTGAGACTAGTGTAATATGGATGACTGAGTTTGAGGTTTTTTGAATTTTAATGATTGTATGCAGATAATTACTTTGACTAAAATCTAATAGAAAAAAAAACAGATATATACAAAGAGTTAGGGCTTTTATGTATTTTTGATCAATTAAGTGGCGTGTTACATTAATTGAAAACCTTCGTAGTAGCTTTGTTTATTTTAAATTTGGTAGAATGTTTATTAATAAATTAAATCTAAGAATATATTTTTCATTTAATACGTAACATATATTAAGAATAGTAAAGCTACGGTCCTGTACTCATTATACTGTAAACATTATAACTACAGGTTTTATTTTAAGGATTACTTTTTCCACAATATTTGTTGCCATCTATCGGTGACAATATGAATAATTAGATGATAAGCACAGCTTTTTGCTTTAATTCATATTCCTTCCAGTAGATGTCACAACGTAGTTCTTTACTATTTTATAATTGATATAGTTTATTATAGTTTAACCAGAAATAAATAAAGCTGACATTTCTAAATAAATACATATATAGCCAGACTATTAATACGCACATATTTATTTTTTTATTTTTGAGAGAACCTTACAGTTATAATAATTGAATAATTAAACGTATATGACAACCATAAGCTAATTAAAAGTAACCACATATAGTTAACAAAAATTGAATTAGTTACAGTCTTGATAATTAATAAGTGTACAAATACTAACTAAACATCTTTAAAATTACTGAGTAAATAATTTACATTACATTTAAATATAATATATTCACTTCATTATCCCTACTACATACATAATTGAAAATAGTGGAAGCTCTTACAGTGAAGCAATTGTTTCTGAAGTGTGTGGGAGTCAGTAAAATATACAAAAGTCTAAAGTGACGAGAAAATATTAGGAATAGAAGTTATTATTGCTAGATATATCACACACCACTATCTAGTCTCAAACTAATACGAGCTTTGTACTACGGATAACTACCAGATGCAGGGGGGAAAGGGGTTGTTAGTAATGGAGTCTGACAGCCCCATTGCTAGCAATATGCCTTATTAGGTTGACCTACCGTGGTTCCCCCTGGAAACCATCGTGAACAATTCTTGTTGAATTCGTCACGATGGGCTAATTGACCTGCTTCATCCTCACCTATCATCCTTCACTGGTGCCCCGCCGGTGCATACCGATAGCGCGGGTGGGGTTACCATTCCATTATCATCCAGTAAAAAAAAAACTACCAAATGCAAGGGAGAGGAATTGTTAGTAATGGGTACGCTAGTCCCTATTGTCAGTATCTTATCCAGTCGACCTCCATTCGGTCTTCGTGGAAATTATCGTGGTTATTTCTGGCGAATTGCTACGTTGTTGGGCCATTTGACCTGATATCGTCCTTAGCCACCATGATAACTCATCGTTCATCAATCCGCATCAAAAAGGTCATCTTAAAAGTCATGCTCTCAGCACCCACTCAATGTTGAAGCCCAAATCCATCATCCATATTATAAGACAACCAGCTGCAAACCTTGGCATACGCGAGCGTACACCAAAAGCGTAAACGCAAGTGCTTGGGAACTCAAATCCAATACATAGCACAAAAAAAAAGATATCATCCTCAGCGAAGGGACTCATTTAGAGCTGCTTTCATCCTCATTTTGGGGCATCACCAGCATGTTTTGATAATGCAGGCGGGTTTATCGTTCTATTATCACCAATTAAAATAAGACTTAATCCTCGATAGCGTAAACGTATACTAGTAGTATAGGCCTCATCCCGTCTGTCATTCCATTTTTATCCTATTAAAAAATCTACCAAATGTCGTAAGAGGCGGCTAAGGGAGGACGAGGAATGGGCAGCAGCATCCCTCTTAAAACATCACCAAAGCTTAACGGCGGTTGTTAATCCACCTGCCAAGCGTGGCAACTACTGGCAAAACCCTCATAGAGGAAGGCTTATATTCAACAGTGGACAGCTAACGGCTGAAATAATAACTTGTATTTGAGTGAGTAGTATTTCTTATTTTTTTTTATACAACTTAGAATGGCAAATAAGCTGACGGCCCACCTGATGGAAAGTGGTAACCGTCGCCTATAGACATAAGCAGTACCATGGACATAAAAGAGTATACTGTTTCGACCATGATACCTCCCATGCGTTGCCACTCTTGAGGACTCAGGTGTTATTCCTCTGTACCCAGTAAATTCACGCCAATCACCCTTCAAACCGAAACACAGCCATGCAAACACAACTGCTTCACGGTAGAAACACGAATGGGACAGAGGTACCCAAGCAATCGACTTTTGTACAAAGTCTCCCTCTGGTAAATTCTTATTATATTTAGTCCTCATGATAGTGTAACTCGATATAACTTCTGATATAAGTGATATTCTTGTTCTGTTCTCTCTCTCTGTGTTATTTCTTTTTCGTAATAAACGCATTTTAATTTAATTTAATATTATTTCTATTTACTTTGCTATTTGGAATGTTTGGATTTCAGAAGTAAGAAATTCAATTAAAAAAATCACTTTTAATATTATGTATCAAAGTAAAACATAGATTAATATTTAACTTAATTCTTCAAGAACACAACTGTGAAAACTACATTAAATCCGGCGCAGTAGTTTTTGTGTAATGACGGAATAAACATACAGACTGACAGATAGATACAATTGCTCTTGTCAAGAGCTCTCAAAATATTTTTTCTTAAATATCTCTCGTGTACAAACATCGTATAGTTACAATTTTATTATATTATATTATCTGTGTTATTAGTAAGAAACAGCTAACGGCGAAAATTAAAAAAAAAGCGTATAAATCCAAATACTTACCTTACTGCCTTTGATATTGAAGACTCCAATTATTGACTCGTTAACTGGCATAATAGAGTAATATAGCTTTTAATGTATTATATTAGAATTCAAATTTGTGTGTAACGGGTAAATTAGTAAGTATGTCGGTTTGTGTTTAGCAGTCTGACGGTATATCGGTGCAGTGTATCAACAAGAGCCGTGGTGGTCGGTAGCGTGGTCTCATCGCACTAGGTGAGTGAAGCCATACTTCTGAGTCCACCAATTGATCTCATTGGTAGGCAGGAAGCCGGCCGTTTGCTGCGACCTCAGTATGGCTGCAAGCTGTAACTGATACGATGTGGAGCCTCAGAAACCAGTTTTGGTGACACCATTTCTCTTGGTTATGTTTATTCCATTAATGTTTGTTGACAATTTTTTAATATGCTTAATGTTTTCTAATATGCTTGTAAGATCATTATTTATAAATCCTTTTTTTGTACTGATCTCACGCGCCATGTATTTTCTTTCAGTCCTATGTTCGATTCCCAAGTCGAATACAATTTTTTTTGTACGTAATTAGTTAATCGAATTTACGCACTCATAATGATTTCAAAGGGTCATTATTCAAAACTGAGTTTTGTCTCAAACTATGTGTGTGGAGGCTGAGACAGAATGCTAATTTTTTTAGGTCTATATGACTGACAAAGTTCGGTTTAAAATAAAAAAATCTGTTTTTTTTTTTGTGGTAAGTAAATTGAAACTGAAAACTTAAATATTGTTAAAGATAATCAATTCTTGTTCAGGCTCAACATGTCAAAGAAGAGCGCATTGGAGGCGAAACCGAGCAGGTCTATTGACGCGGAGTCATCCGAAACAACCCCGCTCGTAGCCAAGAACGTAAGTGATACGCTTAAACTTTAACCACAAATTAATATATCATCCGATGCGCTATTAAATACACATTTGATTTCATATGCTTTATAGGAATATTTTAACGATGTTATGATGTCTGTTTGATCGTCGATAAGTGTTTATTTTGTATGCGGTTAACACTCATATATTCCTTCTTCGTCCTTACAGGCTTTTAGGTGCGTTAAAATACAATCAATGGCGTAATTTTTAGTCCAGTCATTATAAAGTCCCCAAAAATGCATGATCCAATGTACGCATACGATTTATATACAAGATACTAGCTGACCCCGTAAACGTTGTTTTACCACTTATTGCGAAATTTAAAAATCGCGATTAAAATACAGGGGTTGATCGTAAAACGATGAAAATTTAAAGTTGTATGTATTTTTCAATGGTAAATTATAATAAAATAAAAATAAAAAAAATTGTCAACAAAAAAATATTTTGGGGTGGGTCACCCTTATCACTTATATGAACTTATATACGGGTATGAAAAATAGATGTTGGCCGATTCTCAGACCTACCCAATATGCACAAAATTTCATAAATATCGGTAAAGCCGTTTCGGAGGAGTTTGGTAACAAACACCGCGACACGAGAATTTTATATATAAGATATATTTGTTAATTTACGTGTGTCATAAATGGCTCAAATAAAGTGTTTATCTATATATCTATATATTGGGAATTTTGATTTGCAAAAAATATGTTTTTACAATGTAAATAATTAAAATGTATTCCTCTTAAATGATATCCAAAAGTTTCTTACCTAACCATTTTTTGAAATAGCTCCAGTAAGGTTCTTTCTTCATATTTAGGCAATTCTGTTTGTAATTAAACCAATATAGGATAATTTTATCCCAATTTATATGGACAAATCCGCGGATTGCAGCTAGTGGAGTGCAAGTAAGGATCTAAACTAAGTAAGTGAAGGTTCATTACGCTGACAATGGCAGTGTAACACTATAACGTAATCATATATGAGCTCACTACACACTATCAAATTTCATATGTCTAGTGTCATATGGAAACTGGTACAAATGTTTTGAACGGACAGTATGCCACGGTCATTATATCAGAATTATATTAATTATATCATATCAGCCCTTAATCGTCCACTGCTGAACATAAGCCTCCCCTCGGGGGATTTGCCAATAGTTGCCACGTTTGGCAGGCGGTTACCGAAGTTAGGCTTTAGAAATGTTTTAAGAGTGACGCTGCTAATCATCCATCACCGTCCCTTAGTCGCGTCTTACGACACCTACGGGAAAGGAAGGGGTGGCCTATTCTATGCCGGGACCACACGTCCGGCTATTATATACTACTTTTTATCTAGAACTAAACTAGGGGTGCAAAAGAAAAAAATGTTGGCATGGTTACCCCGTCTGCGTTATCGGTATACACTAGCGGGGTACCAGTAAGCGGTGATAGGTGAGGATGAAAAGGCAGGTCAGTTTGCCCATTGTGACGAATTCAATGATAAATTGGTCACGACAGTACCCAGAGGATATTGATACCAATGGGGACTATACTCTCCATTATTAACAATGCCTTCCCCCCAACTTGTATTTATTATTTGTTAAATATGATACGCACAGCACGCCGCTAGATAATGTGCGTAAAAAAATTGAAATTACGGAATGTAAATAGTGTGGTCAAGTATGCACTGACACACACACACTGGTGGAAACCTTAGACGGTGCTCTGGCCACCTGGCTGCCTGGCCTATATTTGAATCAATACATTTCCATTGCTGTTTAAGGGAGAAATGATTTATTTTACTTAAAAAAAAATCCTTTAATGCATTAAATATGTACGTATCAAATTTTATAATGTTCCATAAATATTGTGTAAACAGATCTTTGTATATTATTTGTAGGCTTTTATTTATTTTTATTAAAGAATACGTTTGATATACGTTAATTTAACTTTCATAGAGTGGAGAAAGTAGCTATGGAATTCCGAGATACAACGAGGAAAGCGGCGGGGGATTATCTGTCAAGCAAGCGACCTTCCTTATCGCCGGCGAGATAGCGGGCAGCGGGGTGCTGGCGCTCCCAAGGGCTCTTGTCAGAACTGGTACGAATCCTGCAGCTCCATAAATATTTCGTCATAAAACACAAAAGCTATAAAAACCATCAAGGTTATCTGATATTTAAACTGTTAACATTCATGAAGAATTAGTGATTAAACGAACTTACCCAAGTGAAGTTCTATCACAATTATACGAAGCGCTTCGTCCGAAGAGATTATTATTTGTAGAATATAAACAACATGTAGTAACGCACAAGTGACACCGCCCCTGCACTATTGTTGAGAGAGGGATTCCCCCTTTTTCCTTTTTCTTTTTATTCCCCGGTAGGTACATAGTCTACTTAGCCCGTTCATTTCATTTCCTGTTCATTAAGTTCAGAGTTAAAAATTATTTAAAACTTATGTTTGACCATTGAAATATTTTTTGGTACAGTTCTGATGGGTATAATTAAACTGGGTCGGGAGGGAGTACATACTAATCTCTTCGGACGAAGCGCTTCGTATAATTGTGATAGAACTTCACTTGGGTAAGTTCGTTTAATCACTAATTATACTTCGCGCTTCGTCCTCGAGATTATTATTTGTAGAATATAAACAACATGTAGACTTTGAGAGTTCCAACCAAAAAATATTATCAATGAAAACACTTCTTTTATTATTGTATGTTTTATTGGATTACAAAGTGAACAAATAGAACTAAAAATTAATCGACATTATGTTATTCTACTATTAATCTATAATAGTACATAATCTTTTTTAATCATCACACAATTCGATAAACATAAAATTATTTTTGATTATTATTAATTATCGGCTTAGCAAAGGACGAATTATCTGTATTAATCATAGGCCTACTGCAAAATTTGGCGAAAGCAGTGGAGTTGGCATTTCAGCCGCAGCAGCTCCATTTAAGTATTGTATCTACACTGACACCTAGAGAGCGTGCCCGGGACGCGGCGGCATGTCGCGTGCTGTGCGCAGAGAGTACAAATATGTACGTCCAGTCCACATTCGTCTAATGTCAGTTTCACCCATCGGCTAATAGTTTGTCTACCGCTTTGTGAGGTCGACAGACACCACTAAAAAGATTATCAGAATTCCTTAGAAGAATTGTTCTATTTAAATGACAATCTGAAGTTTTTGCTGGACTTGCTTGCTTTGAGTTTTCTAAGAAGAAAGGAAGAACAATAATCGGTTGCTTAGAACCTCTTCGTGACGTTTTAAGGAAGTCAGGAATTTTAATTACTATATGGTCATTGAAAAAAATCTATATTTTTTATATCAATTTTGGATAGAGTTTGTATTCTATGAGCTATCGTTATTGCTATTAAGGTAATGGTTCTCTTTGTTAATTTATCTAATGATAATTCTTCATTAGGCCACAATGTGCTTAAATGATCTAAAACAGCATTGGTATCTCATGTAACGTTATACTTCGGAAGAGGAGGTTTCAATCGATATACTCCATTGAAAAATCTTTCTATACTATCATCTTTTGATAAAATAGGACCTAAAAGCAAGGATAACGCCGAACTTTATTGAATTTAATGTTCCATATTGATAACCGTCATGGAATATCTGAGTAAGAAAAGAAATTATGATAGGAATCGAAGCTTTATAAAAATAAACTGAATTGTTTGTACAAAAATTCCACCACTTTTTTAAACAAGTATCATATTGTCTAATTGAGCTATCAGAGAATGATGCTAACATTATATCTAAAGAGGCTGGTGGAAAAATTCTCCTGGATAATGCTTTCCTGATAACACTCCTGTAACCAAGGTAAGCGTTGAGCCTACACGTTGATAACTGGAACTAAATAATAAAACATTATCCGCAGGATAAAAAGTTATTAATTCAGAGACAAGGAGGTTTCTGAATAGTGGGTACCACGGTTGTGTAGGCCATAGAGGAACAATAATTATACCGCAAGCTTTATCAGAAATGATCTTTCTAAGCGTCTTAAGAATCACTGCAAATGATGGGAAGGCATAAAAGTAAAACTTTAGCTCAATTGATTGTGAATGAATTAATAGCAATTACGTCCGGATCCCTATGCCATGTGACATAATTTCACATTTTTTGTTTATGCGATTTGTAATTCGATCAACCTCTGGTACATAGATTTTTTTTTTTTTGTCAACTGGTGAAAGGCCCAATCAGCCAGTTCCCACTCTATATCTGGATGGATTTGCGTGATTCAGCATCTGTAGACTTAATATAGGAAGCGAATATAAAGAGCCTTCTGTTCTCACACCATTGCCAAATCTCTCTACTTATTTGAGTAAGATGAGGAAATTGAATGCCATCCATACGATTAATGTAAGATATTACAGTAGTATTGTCTATTTGTATTATTTGACAGTATTTGGCAATTATGTGAATCTCTGGCAAAAACTTTTAAAGCCAGAAAACGCAGCGAAAAGCTCCAGATAATTTATATGATGCTTTAGTTCATCATCTGACCATTGGTCGCTAGCAATACTATTACCATAATTAGCCCTCCACCCCGTAGTTGAGGCGTCAGAGTAAATTTCAATGGCATACGTATCATCTCTGATACGATGACACACAGAGCTATCTATATTATTTAATCACCATTGAAAGTCAGAATATACGGAACTAGGTATATTCCTATACTTATCATAATCGTTATGATTTTTTAGATTAAGAAATTTTGAACGCTCCAACTCTTTAGTGCAAAATCATCCATACTCAATGGCTGGACAAGCCGACACAAGTAAAGCTACCAGTTGAGCAAATTCCCTGATTAAAATACGTTCATATTGACAAAAACTTTCTGATTGAGATCGAATTCGTAATCTATTTTCGAATGGTAAGCTTAATTGTAGACTGTGTGAGTCTACAACTATTCCCATAAATTTACAAGATAATGAAGGCTCAAGATTACTTTTATCCTGATTAATTGTAAAACCTGAGGAAGATAGTAGTTTGGAAGTCATCTCAATATTTGTCAAGCATTGTTGATAAGAATTACGCAATAAAAACCAATTATCTAAGTATAAGGTAAATAAAAAAATCGCCAGTTTTTAAAAGTCTAGTAATCGGCTTCATTAATTTAATAAAAATGTAAGGTGCGGTAGCTAAACTAAATGGCAAAACATTAAATTGATATAATTTATTGTCAAAAATAAATCATATATATTTTTTAGATTCATAATGAATGTTTATTAAAAAATAAGCGTCTTTAAGGTCTAATGTTGCCATATAGCAATCTTTTGATATTAATTTTAATGCAGTTCGTAAATCTTCTAATTCTTCGTAAATAAATATTATTCGTATATGATCCGTCTGGATAAATTTATTTAATCTCTTGAGATTCAATACGAACCTCATTTTGCCATTAAGTTTTTGTATTATATTAAAAATATTAGATATAAACTGCCCTTATAAGGTATACACTCTGAAACAGCGTCAATTTGTAGAATATTATTAATTGCATCAATATATTGATATTTTTCTGAATCTGTATGATTCTTGATAAACAGGTGACGAAAAAATTATTTTGTAACCCTTAATCCATGAAAGGATCAAGTGAACATTTATGATAATAGACCATTGATCATAAAAGTGTGTTAAACGACCTGCATACTTAACTGGAATATACGTATCTAGTAACGACGTACATAGTAACGACGACGTGGATGTTGTGTCGGAGGAGGTGGCGACGGCGGCTGCGGTGGTGGTGGAACCCACGACGTCGCTATGTGCCCAGCCGGCTGCGTTGGGAGAATCAAGGGTCGTGCTGCGGCAGGCTGACGGAATCTCGCTCCCATGCCCGGCTGCTTGCGTGCCGGTGCTGGAGCTCTCCGGTTTAAAGGCCTTGAAGGAAGAATGTCGGTTCTTCTTGGCAGGTTTTTGGTACCACCAGAAACCACCTTTAGGTCTAAGTCTGATTTGTTAACAGCTTCGGTCGATTTTATTGTTTCAGCCAATTTATAGCCAAATAAGAAGGTATCAACTTTTGTGTTTGTAAGATATTCCTTTATATCCTTCTTTAAAGCACTTAGAATGAAGTGTCGTCTAGTCATGGAGTCGCTATGCTGTATGTCACACATTAGACGGCTGAGATCCATAAGTTTTTGTAAAAGTTCTTTATCTCTTTGATTACAATTAAGCTATGTTAAAATAGCTTGACCTAAACAAGATATGGCTGAAGCCATTGGTTTCTTTTTTATCTCAATACCTTTATCACGCGTAGTAGCTAGTTCTGGAAGCTCTGCTTTTTATCTCGGGATTTATTGTGGGAGCACTACAAGTAAGCAGTTAGCTAGTAGTGGGTATTTATTTACTAATTATTTTTTAAGCTCTTTACTAATTCCTTCTTGGGCGATGTGTTGAAATCGCAATGGCAATTCTTTATGGACATCGCTACCATAATTATTAGTACACGTTGGATCGACTCCAAGAATTTCTAAAGTCTCAGTATCTAGCTACTGAGGCTCCACATTTGACGGGCCTGGACAGTTTTGACCAGCGTCTTGATCCGTAATCGGATTATTTTTTACTACAGACTCCCTACCGTCTGGATACGTTAACGCATCGTGAATCACATCTACATCGTCTGATGGAAGGTTTACAGTCTCTGGTTCTAGTATCTCTTCCTCAGGAGGATCTATTAACCAGTCTACTGATTCCGCTATTAATTGAGGCGTCTCTGACATATGCATCATATAATATATAAATATATGATGTGTATATGCATAAATTTATGCAATTGTATAAAAAAGTATAGTATGTGTCGAGTTCGTCCTGATAACGGCTCTGGGTACATACTAACATTGTTAACGTGGATACGTTAAAACCTAATATTTTTTGTCTCCAATAAGTATTATTGTTTATACAATACACCCCTATAATCAAATATTCTCTATAACTGAAATCAAAAGTAACGACTTCTCTTTTATATATATATTGCCAATAATTTATTTAAAAATATTTTATTAAAAATGAAATTCTATATTTATATTTATTATATCCTTTTATGGGTGTTATTTGAAAATGCGATAACGAAAGTTATCGAAACACGGCTGTTGTGTACAATTCCCGCTGAATTGCACGTCAACCATTTCGTTTGAATGCGGTGATATAGCCCATATGACTATCTCGATTGCATTCTTCTGGAGACAAAAATTACTTTTGTGTATAGATATAGTTTTGAAAATAAATACCTGGTCTACAACGACACTACGTAATGTTGAATGTTGGGTCGTTGAGATCACTACTATTCCTTTTTGGCATCTTTTTTTTTTTTTTTTTTTTTTATTAACACGACAACGCGATGTATTATGTGCGGAGCGGTGAAGCACTAAATTGCGAATGAACAGGAAATGAAATGAACGGGCTAAGTAGACTATGTACCTACCGGGGAATAAAAAGAAAAAGGAAAAAGGGGGAATCCCTCTCTCAACAATAGTGCAGGGGCGGTGTCACTTGTGCGTTACTACATGTTGTTTATATTCTACAAATAATAATCTCGAGGACGAAGCGCGAAGTATAATGTCGTATTTTTGGGTTTTTATACCCTGAGTATAGAAACAGCTAATCCTGGCGCCAGGTCTTAATATTCTGTCTGTAATTTAAAAATAAAGACAGGTTAGTTAGGAGCTAAGGTAAACTAGATTATTGGATATATCTTCAGCTGATGCGAATTAATATGTTAATACTCGTAACATAGTTTTCATACTTACTAGTTGGTAGGTGAGTTTGTTTATTTGTTGCAGCGAAGTATGCTATGCGAATTATATATATGTATACTGATATAGTTTGGAATTATTTATCCTTTCTTGGAACTTGTTAGATCCATAAATAAATAAATATATATATATATATATATATATATATATATATATATATATATATATATATATATATATATATATATATATATATATATACATATATATATACCAGTTTTAATATGTTTTCCATAGATAGGTATTAATAAAACATATTGAAAGAAAATAAAAAATCGATCGTATAGGCGTCTCTCACTTTCATTTTCAAACAAACATTCCAGTCATATTGTCGTATATTGTGAAATGTTTTTTTTTCTGATCGAAAAATGAACACGTGCCTCATTTACGCAAAGCCGCATGCCTACCGCTGTGCCATTGTGGTCGGTAAATTTAATTCAATAATTAGTAATCGCTATTTACTAATTAGTTAAAAATTATAAGGTAGTTTCAAACAATGCTTCTATAATATTGTACGCTAGTCTCTACCAAAGCACACATGCAATAAATGAAAATTAGGTAATGGGATACGAGTCACATATACATTGTAGTATATATATATATATATATATATATATATATACACATGCCTGTCACACCTATCTTCTATTAGGGTAGGCAGAAACAATGGTACGCCAAATGTTTCGATTCAAACAAACCTCTTACGCTTCTTCCACATTCATCAATCTTTTCACACACGCTCGCCGGTTACGGGTACTTTTAATTTGGGTCTTCTTCAGCACGTCGCCTATTCGGTCGACATAATGTCCGTCTAGGGCGGTCCCTACCGACATCTCCATTCATTCTTGCTCGATAAATCTCTTTCGTAATTCTTCTTTCATTTATCCTCTCCAAATGGCCAAACCAACGCAACATTCCCTTTCTGACTTTTCTCACTGATGTAGTGTCTATCAGTTCACACTTCTCTGTAACCACACTGTATTCCACTTTACAAGTAAAATATAAAGATTTTATATATTAGTCACTCAAAATTGGTTGTTAAATTTATATTTAAAGTATTCTATATGGACTAAATAAACAAATCGATTTTTATACATAATTTTATATATAAACAAGTATTCTAGATATTTTATGTTTTTATTATCTATTTAACTATTTCGTTACAATTTTCTAAGAGAAAAGTAGATATAACTAATACTCACGTATATTAATATGTAACACGGCTAACAAGATCATTATGGTAATGAATTGACCTGCCCATTGACAAATTATCTCTCTCGCTGTATAATTCCACAGATTAATTTGTTTAGAATAGTGTATCAATTTAAATTTATTTCTTAAAAACATCATTAGGTACTAGAAAAGAAGAGCATACTCTGTGACTATCTCCATCTTGATTCGGTCTCATAAAATAAGTTCTGCTATACATGTATTACTACATTAAACGTAAGTCGGAGGACTAGAGTTCCATTTTTGGAGTGAGCAGGCATTAATAATCGGTTCGAACACGAAGATAATAAATAATTCTTCAAAAAGTTAGAACATATATACATTAATTAGTATGTTTACATATTCATTCTCTCTAAGTTAACCTTAGGGAAGCGTTTCATACATATAATACTTGTATATACAACTGCAACATTGATTAGCAATGGAGTTAAATTTATATAGAGTTTTTAAGCGTTTTCGAATAATTATTAATTACTTCAATTCGCATTTGTAAGTGTGTTATAATTTATTTATTATATATACATATATATATATATATATATATATATACATATATATATATATATATATGTATATTATTTTTTTCATGCGGAGCAATTTGTTATTCAAGCACAGAAGCGCGTGCTTTGTCATTCTTATACAATTTACCTAATTTTAAAATATTTATTCTTCGATTATATGTAGGTTGGCTGGGCGTGCCGATCATTGTGGTGATGTGTGCGGCGGCGGCGTTCAGCGGCAAACGTTTGGGTGACTGCTGGTCCATCCTGGAGGACCGCGATCCCAAAATGAGGACCAGGAAGAGAAACCCTTACGCTATTATTGCCGAGGAGTCTTTAGGGAAGATGTGGAGGTGAAAGCATAACACTTATTGGAAACTACATGTTTGACGTCATTTATTATAATATTGTCTTTCTTGTTTCTTTCTACATGTGTTGGACAACTTTCACTTAAATCGTTTAATAGTTTACTAATAGTAGTGGCCATAAGTTCGTCTTTTATACTATCTAGGTGTACTGAAGTAAATCATTTATACATCTGTGAAAATCAACAGTAATTTACTTGTTAAGATAACAAAAAATAAATAAGCTGAGTCATATATCCATTGCTTCTAAATAGGAACAGCCCTACGCTACATTTTATGCCTCTTGTGCATGAGTTACCAATCCATATTTTCGCTGAGAGCTGTCACAAAGAGCGAAATTGTTGTCGTATCAGATTTATTTTCTACTAATTAACAGGAAATTTTACCCCTTCTTTGCATGATTTTTTTAATTGGTGAAATAAATCAAGGTGATATAATTCATGCTCAAAATTAAAGGAAAAAGGTTAAAAAATTAAATAAGACAGCTATATTTTTTTTTCTGCAATGTATAATAAAAAGGTATCTAGACACGATCAACTTAAAGTGAACTTGTTCTTCTTTACGTTACTTGTTCTGAACTTCTTTTATATAATTTTTGGGTATTCAAAGTTATGATGGAAATTTACACCATTATGCAAAGAAGGGTTAAAATGAAAAGCTTTTACTATTTTCAGCCAGATGGCGCATCCGGTGACAGAATTCTTACTTATAATTCTATTATTTCAGCCGTTAACTGTATAACTAGCATAAGCTTTTCCCATAAGGGGAGGTTTGCCAGTAGTTGCCACGTTTGGCAGGCGGGTTGGCAACCGCAGTTAGGCTTCTAGAGATGTTTTAAGAGGGACGCTGTTGCTTATCACTCGCCGTCCCTTAGTCGCCTCTTACGACACCCACGGGAAAGGAAAGGGTGGCCTATTCTATGACGGGGCATACACGACCACTAATTACTAATAATATAAATATGAAAGTTAGTTTGTTTGTTATTTCTCGGTGCTTTAACGGCTTAACCAGTCATCATAAACTATGGTGAACACGTACCATATGTGATGGAGAAGTACGTAGGCGGTAATACAGAGCGGTGGACTGTGATGAGATGATGAAATGATGTAGACACGGAGTTTAGTAGCGAAAAAATGCATTGACAGCGAGCAAGGAACAGACAATGTGTCAAAAAAGTATATAATTAAAATAACAAACAATAGGAACATTCTAGAAGTGAATGTGTATAAAAAAAGATAAATAGATACTCTTTATTGTTTCCTCCAAAAGATTACAATGGTAAACTTATTATAGATATAAACAATTACAAGAAATAATCACAATGAGAAAACAATGGGCGACCTTATCGCTAAAAGCGATCTCTTCCAGACAACCTTTGGATGGAGAGGAGTAATTATAAAAAAGTATAATAATATCTAGAATTTGCATTGGCCGTGGCCGGTCGCCAATAGGCGGACTACATCGTGGATTAAGCTAGTTGGTATCTATAGTAGTGTTTGTTTGTAGTGTGGTGGTGTCGGTGGCGGTGACGGTGACACTGTTCGGCGCCTCGGTGGTGTACTTGTTGCTCGCCGCGCAGATCGTCGAGCAGGTGTTCCTCTCGCTGGTGCCGAATGTCACCTACTGCGCGTGGTACCTCATCGTGGCCGGGGCGATGACCCCGCTCATGCTCTACGGCACACCTAAGGACATCTCGTCAGTACTATTCTCTTTTTTATACACACCGTGTGGATGTTAACTTGATAGGGTAAAATGGGGGGGGAGGAGAGGAAGGGATTGTTAGTATTGCGGACTAGCAGTCCCATTGCTAACAATATACCTTGTCAGGTCGACCTCCACGTGGTCCCCCCTGAAAACCATTGTGCTCAATACCAGATGTATTCATCACGATGGGCAAACTGACCTGCGTTTTCATTCTCACCTATCGTCTTTGATCGGTGCCCCGCCAGCGTATACCATTAGCGCGGGCATTACCACTCCATTGTCATCCAAAAAAAAAAATGGGGTATAAGGAAAAAAAATTATACAAGTTAACTTGAATAAAAATTCTTAAGGTTATTCTATAGATTAAAGCGATTTTGAACAAGCATTTTTTTCATTGCTGGCAAAGAGAGAGTTGGAGATCCTACTTTACTAACAATCCTTTCCCTTCTAATAGATACGTATCTCTACCGTGAAGCAGTTGTTTGCATGGCTGTGTTTCAGTTTGAAGGGTGAATTTACATGGTACACAGGAGTAACACCTGAGTGCTCAAGAATAGCAATGCATGGGGGTATCATGGGCGAAACAGAATACTCTGTTATGTCCATAGTACTGCTCATAACTACAGGAGACGGTTACCACTTTCCATCAGGAGGGCAGTCAGATTGTTTGCCATTCTTAGTAGCCTAAAAAAATACTTGCACGCATCATCTTTGGTCAATTAGCTATTCGTTCTTAAAAGACCGTTTTTTTTTATTTACAGTTTTATAGGCGTGATCGCGTTCGGTGCCACTGTTGTGGCCTGTATTCTCTACTTCATCCAGATGATGAATGAGATCAGGCCGTTCGTGTTCCGCTATGGCATCCACGGTTTCCAGGAGTTCTTCCTTGCATTTGGTACCATCATGTTCGCATTCGGTGGTGCTTCCACCTTCCCTACTATTCAAAATGACATGGCTGATAAGACAAAGTTCAATAAGAGCCTGCAATATAGTTTTCTCGGTAAGTACATTTTAATTTTAATTGATAAGCACATTATTTGAAAATCATTGATTTTTATACTACAAAGATGGCAAACAAACATACAGCCCGTCTGATGGTAAACGGTTATTGTAACCTATCGATGCTTGCAACTCCAGGGGTGTCACGTGCACGTTACCGACTCTGAAGAAACCTTAACATAACCTTTTCGAAGAACCCCATGCTGTAGTCTCTAGTGGAAACCTCGGTAGGGAGCTCATTGCACAATCTGAATGTTCGTGGGGGGAAATTTCTCTTTAAACCGCACTGTACGTGCCCATATTCATAAATAAGTACCTATTGAGTTCTAAAAACAATTTCTATGAAATGAATCGACGCGTTTTGGTCTCAGTTAGAAATGAAGTAGGTACCTACATAGGCATTAGCCGTGAATCTTGTCACTGTTCTTTTACACCTAATAAAAATATAGTAGTTATAAAAATCAAATTCAAACCATCCTTATTTAAATAGAGCGCCACCTGCCCTTTTCTATCTGTTCTCCCTTAACTAAAGGTTGTCTGTAAGAGATTGTCCTAGCGATAAGACCGCCTTTTGTACCTTTATGTGTATATTCCAATCTGTATTTATGTTACTGTATTTCATTTGAAAATTTGAAAAATTTACTGTATTTCACTTGTCATTGTATATTTTTATTTATGGTGCAATAAAGAGTTAAATAAATAAATAAATAAATAAATAAATAGAGTTGTTTATAAGCACTTTTAAATTGTATTTTTATTTTAAATCTACTGCAGAGTTCCGTAAGTTGTTATCTGCTGAGAAGAGCCCGCAAGAAACTCAGCAGTTACTCTTTTAAACTTCTGTTAACTTATGGAGTACTCATATGTTTATTTAAATGTTCTATGTCTAAAATTACATGATCATTGAAAAAAAAAACCCTGCATGATCGACTAATACCATGCACGTTTGTCATTCAAGTAATCGTTTAGTGTGTTTGTTCAATAAGTGTTTTTAAAAACAATTATAAATTTATTAAAAGGTAGATCCAAAATAATCTTCGGTATCTTATCCCATAAAAGACTTAATAACATTTTCATAACATTTATAACATATAACATAAATATAACATTTTCTAAACGATATTTCGGAACAGCAATTTTGTATTTGTATCTAGTATTATTGAGGTCGCTGTTTGTATACCATAAAACACCATCGCTGACTTTTGTAGTTCTAATAAAGAAGAACGATTCCATTGTACATTATTTTGTTATATAATACTCGTATTTTAGCATTTTTGATGAAATCTCCCAATCGACAGGATTCCTACCGACATCTTGAACAGTTATCAACACAAAATTATATTAAACTATTAAGCCTTCCTGAATCACTCTGTCTACTGATGAAAGTCGCAATAAAATCCGTTACATAGTTTAAAAAATCTAAGAGTACAGACGGCCGCCGTCTTTGTTTTGTAATTATGTACAGACAAACAGGACATAAGGTTATGTTCTATGCAAACTCTTATAAGGAGTATTTCTTTTAAATATATTTAATTTTTTTCTTAAGTATAACTAGTATCGAATCTATGATTCGAGTATGTCTGAATAAATGAATGAATGTCGTTGATAAACCTTTGCAATAATCTACATACTTGAATTGTATTCTCGTTTCAGCAATCCTAGGTATATATTTGCCAATTGCTATCGCCGGTTATGCTGTGTACGGTGAGTCAGCGGCGTCCAATATATCTGCGTCTCTGTCCGCCACGCCGCTCACGCTGGTCGGCAACATCTTGATGGCATTGCACCTCGTCACAGCCTTTGTGATCATCATTAACCCTGTTTGCCAAGAGATGGAGGAGCTTTACAATATATCTAGAGGTTAGAATATGAAAAAAACGTCATAATACTGGATTCAAAATATATTTCAACAAGTATGTATTTTATGCAATAAAGGCAACAGATCGTCGCAGTAACGAACCTGATGAGTAGAGAAAAACTTGATATTGCTGGCAATATCAAGTTCCTTACTCCAACTCCAAGTATCCTTTTTGCTTTTTAGTTAACGGTTTTTTTACAGTTGATATTTTTAAATGGGTGATAAGGGAATAGTATCCCTGCTTACGCTAGCGATATACATTGGCAGGGGCATCAGTGAGGAATGATTGATGAGGATGAAATGGCTGGTCAGTTAGTCCATCATGACGAATTCAACGTTAATTTAGTTTGCAGGGGGGACAGCGTGGAAGTCGACCTGACAGAGTACACTGATAACAATACGGACAAACTAACCCATTACTAACAATACTATCAATACAATACAATACAATACTATCTTTACTCCCTATAGTTGGTATTTTTTTTTAATGGGTGATAATGGAATGGTAACCCCGCCTGCGCTATCGGTATACGCTGGCGGGGCACCAGTGAGGTATGATAGGTGAGGATGAAGCCGGTCAGTTGGCCCATCGTGACGAATTCAACAAGAATTGTTCACGATAGTTTCCAGGGGGAACCACGTGGAGGTCGACCTAATAAGGCATATTGCTAGCAATGGGACTGTCAAACTCTATTGCTAACAATCCTTTTCTCCCCCCCCCCTATAGTTGATATTATATAATAGTAACTTCGTATGCGCTACTCGAAGTACCCTAACGAAGCACCAGTGAAGGATGATAGTTGAGGATGAAGCAGATCAGCTGCTCTAATATGACGAATTCAACAATAATTAACCACAAAGGTTTCTAGGACAAACCGAGTGGAGATCGACCTGATAGGGGTCACTTGGTCAGTTAGACCCTATTGTTAACCATCTGTTTCCTCCTAGACTCAACGGGTTGGCGGATGCTGATACGCTTGTCGATTATGCTCGGCATCTTATTTATCGGAGAGAGCATTCCTCGGTTCTACACTATCCTGGCGCTGGTAGGCGGCACTACTGTGGCTCTACTCACTTTCGTACTACCCTCATATTGTTACCTGAATCTCATTAGCCAGCCTCTCAGGGAGGGACAGACACCTATGTGAGTATTTTAAATGTGATATAACATTCATCACATCATCATCACAACATAACTGTCCACTGTTGAGCATAGACCTCTCCCAAAAGGGGGTCTTGCCAGTAGTTGCCATGCTTGGCGGGCGGGTTATCAACCTCAGTTAGGCTATTAGTAATATTTTAAGAGGGACGCTGCTGCCTATCCCTCGACCTTTGAGTACCCTTAGTTGCCTCTTATGACATACTCGAGAAAGGAAGGTAAGATTGCAATATGTGAATCATACCTCCGACATTGTAAGTGTTCATTTACCAGAGGGAGACTTTGTACAAAAGTCGATTGCTTGGGTACCTCTGTTCCATTCGTGTTTCAACCGTGAAGCAGTTATGTTTGCATGGCTGTGTTTCGGTTTGAAGGGTGGGATATGGCGTGAATTTACTGGGTACAGAGGAATAACACCTGAGTCCTCAGGAATGGCAACACATGGGGGGTAACATGGGCGAAACAGTATACTCTGTTATGTCCATGGTACTGCTCATGTCTATAGGCGACGGTTACCACTTTCCATCAGGTGGGCCGTCAGCTTGTTTGCCATTCTAAGTTGTATAAAAAAAGAATCATGAGTTTTGAGAATGACCATTTAACAATAGACGGATCTATTTGTCATTTTCGTTTTTTTAAAAATGATGTACTGGTTAAAAGATGTTTCAGCTACACTTATTATGCTGTTCCAGTGATACACAAGGATGGAAGAAGATGGTATGCTGGGAAATAATCGCTGTCGGCGTGGTCGGAGGCGTGATTGCAACCTACAGCGCAGTGAGCGCCATCTTCAGCACCTCGCAAGCAATACCCTGCTACTTAAGATAATTACATATACCCTTTGCTTGTTACAAGATTGATTTTATATGACACTGCCTTGAGCATTTTGATATTTTCTACTCTACTTATACATTTATAAGTTATAATATATTGTTAAGCTTCATTGATTAGACTTCAAGCCTGCTGCGCTGGTTGGCTGGCTGACTGACTTGCCGAAATATTTAACAAAATTTCTCTAGATAGATAGTAAACGAATCTATCAGTAGATACGTTATCGCTGTCGCATACAATGTATAGAACGAGATATTAATGTATGGGGTTTTTAACTTTCTCCTGCATTATCGTCATAAATGTATGTAATCGCAGATTGGTGTGATAAGTTAGTTAAGTAATATTATTATTTACGTTTCACTAGGCGTGGTGGTCGTTGTATATAGTTTGTGTTGTACATACACTCTTTTCTAATTTTGTAAAACCTTAAAAAATTAATACGCGATACCAGCCTGCTACCAACTGTAAACTATAGGTGCGAAGCGCGGGTTTATAGTAACAAAAGTAAATTAAAATTAAGGGCGTGTCAGCGAGCCTTGGAGAGAAGTAGCTTAAATAAAAGAAAAATACAAAAAATAAATAATTGAGGATTACAAAGAAGAAAACAAAAGTAACTGATACACTCTTCTATACATTAAGACTGAGGGCTGGACATAGAGCCGGGCGTAAGGATGGTCATTTAAAACTACAAGATGAAAAGGACCATGTGGTCAAGGGAAACCAGGAAGTCTAAAAGAGCAATGGATAGATGACATTTAAGACATCTCAGGAGATTGACAGACTGAATTATACGAGCACAGAATATACATGGGCAAAAGAAACCAGAAAAGGCCCGTACCCGAGAAGGGGTTTCTATCCAAACACATACGAAAAGATAAGAAAATAAATAGTTTTTTACAAATCAAGTACTAACATTAAATATTAAGGTAATTTATTAACACAAATCACACTCAATATGTACTTTAAATAAGGACAAGGAAATAAAAGACTCTATTGTTATTATAACTCAAAGTGTAATTTAAATATGTAAATAAAATTTTCTATTTCGAATCTGTCTCTTTTTAACTGCCAGTACCGTAGTGGTAAAAATCCAATTTGTTTTATGCAACTTAGAATGGTAAACAAGCAGTCGGTCCACCTGATGGAAAGTGGTACCGTCGTCGTCGATATGGCAGTGAATTTACAGGGTACAGAGGAATAACACCTGAGTCCTCAGGAATGGCAACGCATGGTGGGTATCATGGGTGAAACAGTATACTCTGCTATGTCCATGGTTAGCGACGGTTACCACTTCCCATCAGGTGGGCCGTCAGCTTGTTTGCCATTTTAAGTTGCATAAAAATAATAATAATAGTATATCTGTAACGAATGTAAGGTTTGTATAATGTAAGATATGGCCGCAATAAAGATAGTAGTTAAAAAATTAAACTAGCGTGTGATTATTTGGCGCGGATATCTTTGTTTCCAAGTGGACTTATTGATATCGACACTCATAAGGGTCGAAAAGTCTATATTATTTAGGTGATTAGAAATAAACAAGAGACTCGAAATGATATCAGTGAATTCAAATACACAGATACATATTAAAAATTATGCCTGTGTATTTAAAAAATAAAAAAAAAAATCTACACAATAAAAAAGAAGTTACTAAAGAAAATATTATATTAGAGAAACTAAACATGTTGAAAGTTACAATATATATATCAATGTATGTATATCAATAATTAGTAGTAACGCATTCGAGTATTCTGACACTTCTCTATGGTTGACTGGGAGAGAATGCTTTTAGCATTAAGTCCGCCATGTACACATATTTGTACTAATGAATAAATAAATAAATAAATTATATTCTATTGTAATAACTACTGGTTTAAATTACGTGTAATATAGTCGAGAAAGCTTGACTAGTTTCAGGACCATTCGGGATCCTTAGTCTCGAGCAGCTGTGACACGAGTGCAAGATTTTATCGATCAAATTAAATTGGTAGTTATTACATTAAAACTAAATATTTGTCCAAAAAAGAGGTTGAAAAAAAAACAAAACAAACAAAGGCATCTCTCATACTATATGTGACCGTTGTCAAATTCGTGCTTAGTGGGCCAAACACTTTTATTCTAAATTAATGAAAATGTGACTGTCACGCGGACGAAGCCGCGGACGGAGCTAGTCCAACCATATTTTCCATTAAATATTTTATTAACTTTGACCTACTGTGCAAACATTATTTGTGTTGTCAGAATACGATGGAGTTATCGGAATACTACCAGTTGGTATTGTCTCGAACGTTACGTCAGCCAACAGCGACCCCCAGCGGCTACAATAACGTAGATAAGCTATCCAACTGTGATAAACAATAACTTGTTCCATCAGTTGCGGTAATTAGGGAATAATATCGAACATCTATCGATACTTTTGAGCAATATTTCAAAAGAGGTTCTCAATGTATTTGTATTTTTTGTATGTTTGTTACCTCATAACTCCTCAACTTTTTTCTGAAAAGATATACTTATCAGTACAGATTGGTCCTATAGAACTTTTCCCAAAATCGGTTTAGTAGTTTAATTTTTAAATGACAATAATTAAAGTTTTTTTTTATACGACTTAGAATGGCAAACAAGCTGACGGCCCACCTGATGGAAAGTGGTAACCGTCGCCTATAGACATGAGCAGTACCATGGACATAACAAAGTATACTGTTTCGCCCGTGATACCCTCATGCGTTGCCATTCCTGAGAACTCAGGTGTTATTCCTCTGTTCCCAGTAAATTCACGCCATATCCCACCCTTCAAAACGAAACACAGCCAAACACAACTGCTTTACGGTTGAAATATGGTGAGATAGAAGTATCCAAGCAAACGACTTTTGTACAAAGTCTCCTCTCTCCTCTGTTTTTGTGTTGCGACGTTTATCTTTGTCTGGTGGGGCGTGAGCTTGTTTGCTATTCTATCATAAAGAAATTAAATTAAATATATACACTGAACGTTTAATTCCCAACACAAACTCAAATAATGTGACTGTTTACAATCGATTGATATTTCGTCACTACTTATGTACGCAACGGCGATAAGTGGTAGCCGCGTGGTGACCACGCTGCACTCAGGACACTCACTGATTGTCGCCCCACAACGACGCACGTGTCCAACTCTCTATTTGGACTTCATCTCGGCTTAAAATAGGCAAGTATTATCCGATAATATTAACAAAAAAAATATAGCGAATTTTAATATTATCTGCACATGTAAATATTTAATCATTTGTGTTAATTATTTATTATTTTATTTTTTAAAGTTATAAAGTGTAATTATTTTAAAACATACAAAATAAAGTGATTTGTCAAATCTAGTATAAGATGTGAGTTGCTTCATGTAATGCAATATTTTCCTAGCGATTTTTTCCTTTGTCAGACATAAAATAAAATGTTTCTTTTATATGTCACAATCTTTGGCTACTGCTCATACTATAATAGGTCAATGTTATATATTGATTATAATTCCCTGATATATATATATATATATATATATATATATATATATATATATATATATATATATATATATATATATATATATATATATATATATATATATATATATGCTACAATGTATATGTGACTCGTGTCCCATTACCTAATTTTCATTTATTGCATGTGTGCTTTGGTAGAAACTAGCGCACTATATTATAATAGCGTTGTTTAAAACTACCTTATAATTTTTAAATTTTTAACTAATTAATAAATAGCGATTACTAATTATTTAATTAAATTTACCAACCACGATGGCATAGCGGTGGGCATGCGGCTTTGCGTAAATGAGGCACGTGTTCATTTTTCGGTCAGAAAAAAAAAACATACGACAATATGACTAGAATGTTTGTTTGAAAATGAAAGTGAGAGACGCCTATACGATCGATTTTTTATTTTCTTTCAATGTGTTTCGTTAATAACTATCTATAGAAAACATATTAAAACTGGTAACGTGTTGCAGATAGCAAATTTTTATGTGTACGAATCTAATTGAAGATTTTAACGAGTGCTTGTATTATGTTATTACAGTGTAACAATGGTGCTCAGCGGTATAGTGCGAGTGGCGGCGAGGATGAGCAGGAGTAGCCTGAGAACACAGTGCTGCCGCCAAGCGGCGATGTACAGCACGGCCGCAGACAGTAAAGGTTGGTTCGTTCACAAGAAATTACTACTAATAAATCGTATTTCTTTGAATGCAATTTTAAATTTGTACCCAATATTGATGTCAAAATTTAGTATATAATTTTCTAACATCAAAGCAATACCTGATTTCCTTAAGAAATGGGATAATTTATAAACCTGCGGTTTCGCACGCGCAGTGTCGGAAAATATTCAAAAAGTGTTTCTTAACTTACTTGTTTACGTTATAAAATAAATATATGTTCCAAATATCAGCTTTCTAGACTTTGGTTCAGAGTTGATAATCAGTGAGGGCAAACATTTGTCTGAGTGTAGATAGTCAAGTATCTCAATTGTAAACGCGGAGTCTGCTGTATAAAATACATTTTTTTTAGATAATTCGTGTTACGACAGTCCGGTAAATAATATAATATTTAAACTTGCTATTCTGAAGTGTTGTTTAGAAAAAGTTACTAGGTTTTTTATATGCATTAAATATTACAATAAGATATCGAAAGATATTTTGGATCTAATTTTTTAATAAATTTAAAACTGTTATTAAAAAACATTTATTGAACAAGGCTTATTATACACTACACGATTACCTGATTGACAAATGTGCATGGTATTAGTCGATCATGCACGGGCTTTTAACGACCATGTAATTTTAGACATAGTATACTAACTAAATTAAATAAACACACATGATGTTAACAGAGATTTGAAAGAGTAACTGTTGAGTTTCCTGCGGGCTCTTCTTAACAGATAACAACTTTCCGAACCTTGTAGTAGATTAAAAAAAGAAGATTCAAAAGTGCTTGCAAATATGTCTATTTGAATAAAGATGATTGAAATAAAAAAAAAAATTCGATTACTTTTATGGATATTTAAAAACAAAAAACATTTTTCAAACTTTTGGTTGTTTTACTTTTTTTCGTATTTCTATAATAAATTTTTTAATTACTTAAAAATGAGCTTAGAAACTAACCTATCTACTGTTATCGCCTGTTGACGAGGTCGTCTTGTTTTGTCGGATATAATTTAAATATGTTTGATTTAATCTCGCCTCAGCATGCCGCTGGCACGCAACCTCGTGATGCTCTGCTACTGTCTGTCCACATTATCAATGACAGTACCATTGTGCTTAATTAAAAAATAAGCACACTTAGTGCGGCTCGTTATCGACTAAGGGCAACTTGTGTTGAATGTTGATTAAAGTGATCAGTAATTACGACACGTTATGTTTTTATTATTACATTTTGTTGCTCCATATTGAATGCAGACTTACCTTTAAAAATATAAATGAAGTTCAAATATAATTTTTTTCATTGTTTAAGCCATAAGAAGTATATAGAAAGAGGTATAGAGATTTGATATTTAGCATGGGGACGAAAAATTTTTCTTTTTTTCATGCAACTTAGAATGGCAAACAAGCTGACGACCCACCAGATGGAAAGTGGTAACCGTTGCCTATAGACTTGAGCTCTTTCACCCATGGTACCCCCGATAGTATCGGATTGAAAGTCTAGAACTCACGATAGGTTCTTTATAGTTTTCTTATTAATATTATAAATGTGAAATCGAGTATGTTCCTTTGTTATCTTTTAGTATTTTGAGGGTTTAGGTAATCAATTCAATCTATACAATTTGGTATAGTAGACATATCTACTAATTATTTGTAATGAAGATGGAGTCGTGAATAGGTAGTAGTTGCATAATATATTGAAATAAGTTTGGAATGTATATTTTAATGAAGTATCAAGATTGCATGATATGAGTTTAATGTTCGATTGAGTAAAACTATGTGAGAAGCTTGCTTATTTTCTTCCTGACACAAATTTTTACAATCATTTTACAATCATTTTATGTGTGTTATAGTGTATATTTTTTGTTTTCATATATTTTACGACGCTATTAGGCGCAGCAAATTGATTGTTATTAGTTTTTCGATTGTTTATATCAATAATTATTATAACGTTTACATAGAGGAGTGATAATAGATAATATGTCATTATGTTTTATGAATATGTAGGAATCCGAGTAGAGTTGCGTAGAGCTTGTGACCTCTACCTAATTATAATTCATACGCAACGATAAACTATCAATAAAGTACTAATTCTAACCGTCGAGTTCGAATTTGGTTAAATATTACGAGTAATTACAAAATATATTTAGTCACTGTTGAGAACGGTAGAAGATATTATTCTTTAATTTCAATTCTGGGGAATGGTTTAGATCGGTGTTTCGTAACGTGGGGCCATTTGATAGTTAAGGGGTGGGCAATTAAAAAAAGGACTCGAAGCGATTTTAATCCTCTTCCTCCTGACCATTTAAACGCAATGCTACGAGTACATATCGGCGCCAAATTTAACAGAAAAAAGGAAATTAAAAATATTTTAAATATTTAATAGGTATAATTTCGTTTGACATGACTAAAATATCAACTAGGCTATTAGAGTCGTCAAGTAAACTTTGTCGGGAAAAATAATGTATGGTGGCATAAAAATTTTAGAAATGTTCAAGTGGGGCATGGTAAACACTGGTTTAGATGTTTATTTTTTTTATCACACAACTCTTTTGAGTACAATGAAACACTTAAAATAATACCATAGATACATCAAAGTTTTAGAGAACTGGTGTCTCAACTGGATGTCCGAAGAACTCGTATCACAAGTCACCAGGAAATGGTAAATGTAACATGACATGATGATGGGTGGGCGTATTGGGAGACTGTAAGGCTCACCCAGTGGATGTAATAAATAAATAAATAAATGAGGCGATTGAGCTCGCATAGATGAATAGCAAACAAATCTATCTATTATTTACATGAGGAGAAACAAGAGGTCTATTTTTCCAATATTTGAACATTTATATCAATAGTAATCAGTACAAATACAAACGAATAATTGGTCCGTCCACAAGACAGTTCGCTGATATCTTAATAATACCAGTACAAATAAAAAATTATTGATTGAATGTATTAGTTTGTTGTTACTTTCATTTATAGTGTGTCTCTATGATGATTCCAATACGACTTGGTTCGTCATACCATCATCGTATCAAGTAACTGTTTAACTGCTGAATATAGGCTTTCCCAAGGGGGGTTTTGCCAATAGTTGTCACGCTTGGCAGGCAGCTTGGCAACCGTAGTTAGGTTTCCGTGATGTTTTAAGAGGGACGCTGCTGATCATCTCTCGCCCTCTCTTAGTCGCGTCTTATAACACCCACGAGAAAGGAAGAAGTGCTCCATACTACGCCGAAACCACACGGCATATAGCATATAGTGGCGAGTTATTAGTATATAAACTTTTCACTGAATATATTAGCCTTGCGAATTTGCTACTAGCACTCGTTTATGTAACTAAATATCTAACTAGTATTTGGCTAAATAATTATGTTTTACTCTTAGCTGTGCCAGTGCGAATGTGTTACTTATTTTATTTTTTCTATCATGTTGGGTATATTAAGAAAGTAGATACCTATATGTTATAATTCAAGTAATTTTGAATTTTAACTATGCAATTCAAAGTTATAATTTTCATGGCATCATTTATACATGTGCCATGTGGTCCCGGCATAAAAAAGGCCACCCCTTCCTTTCTCGTGGGTGTCTAAGAGAGGGCGAGGGATGGGCAGCAGCTTCTCTCTCAAAACATCTTTAAAGCCTAACTGCGGTTGCCAATTCGCCTGCCAAGCGTGATAACTATTGGCAAAACCCCCCAAGGGGAGGCTTATGTTCAGCAGTGGTCAGTTAAAAGCCTGATATGGTGATGATGATGATTTATACATGACATAAAAGATTTATTTATATAACTTTTTATCCACGTACATAATTTGTTTCCAGCACGATACTTCACGAAGAAACACGAGTGGGTGTCAGTGAGTGAAAACATTGGTACAGTCGGCATATCAAGCTATGCACAAGTGAGTCCATACTCTTTATATCTTTAATCTATAACCTCATTAGCATAACATATTGTTTCTCGATAATGGCTTTTCAATTTAGCGGACAATATAAATAAAAATATTTAAAAAAAGTCCAAGCTTCGTCCAGCATGCCTACTATTTAATTTAATATCGATTTTTTTTCAATCTAATGTCAATGACATTTTTTATTTGACATGAACATAAAATACATAACATGAAATAACAACTAGTAATTAAGTTTTTTTTTATACAACTTAGAATGGTAAACAATCTGACGGCCCACCTGATGGAAAATGGTAACCGTCGCCTATAGACATGAGCAGTGCCATGGACATAACAGAGTATACTGTTTCGCCCATGATACCCCCCATGCGTTGCCATTCCTGAGGACTCAGGTGTTATTCCTTTGTACCCAGTAAATTCATGCCAAAAGTTAAAATTGAGAACGGTTTGGAATAGTTTGCATTGGCATGTTGCACTTATATGCATCTACCAGAACAGTATACCGGAACCGATATGTCGCTACTATTGCAATTCGAATGTTTCACATTCCAATTCCAATATCGATCTATTGGACTTTATAAAAACAGTAACCCCACTGGTCCGTCCTATCGCAAAACAAATTAAAAATCTTCTCTTGATTTTCTAAAAAAAAAACTTTGTTATACTATTTATTTTAAGGGAGGGCGAGGGATGGTCAGCAGCGTCTCTTTTATAACATCTCTAAAGCCTAACTGCGGTTGCCAGTTCACCTGCCAAGCGTGGCAACTACTGGCAAAACACCCCCAAGGGGGAGGCTTATGTTCAGCAGTGGACAGTTAAAAGCCTGATATGGTGATGATGATGATGATGATGATTATTATTTTATAAAAAAAATCAATGAGCAGACGTCTGGAATAATGACATATTAGTTGCCCACAATATATAGGTGCAATATAGATGTAAAATATAAAATATTAAGGGCGATCTTAATAGCTGTTAAAACATTGATTATATTAATATATTATTTAACAAACGGACGAGACGTTACATGGTTAGGGGACATAATTAAAGTTATCACTAATTACCTATTGTAGCGGGCAAATCATTGTTAAAAACGACATAGTTATCGTCAAGTTTATCGAAAGGGATTATCGTTGAACAAGCTGGAATCGTTTAGATATAACTGGCTAAACTGCTCGATACGGGAGGTCATTACATCGGTCTCCAAAGTTATAGTACATATTTATGAGGGTTTCAGTTCAGTTATAACGCGAATACTTTTTGACGAATACAATAAAGTTTATAGCAATAGTGCTAGAGGTTAAAATTTGCCTGGACTCCGTATATACTCTGGTACATATGTTTGGATTTCACATTTTACAAAGTTACGGAAAATTGACAAGAAAGACGAGAAGCTATAAGGAATCCCATAGGTGTAATAACATAACCTTAACAGGAGAGACATTATCACCTTCTTTAACTTATACCGTTATCATAATAACTACAAGTTTAAAAGAGTTCTCATGGATTGAATCAATTAAATGTATGTATTAAAGTAAGACTACTTACTATACCTTGATTTAAATGGAATAATAATTACGTTAGTTCGCCGTGTGGCTTCGGCATAGAATAGGCCACCCCTCCCTTTCCTGTGGGTGTCATAAAAGGCGATTTAGGGAGGGCGAGAGATGGGCAGCAGCGTCCTCTTAAAACATCTCTATAGTCTAACTGTGGTTGCCTATCCTGCCAAGCGAGGCAACTACTGGCAAAGCCTCCCAAGGGCGAGACTTATGTTGAATGACAGTAGTGGACACTTAAAAGGCTGATATGATGGTGATGATTTGCGTATTTTAAATTACTATTTTAATATAATTACAGGATGCATTAGGCGAAGTGGTGTATGCCCAGTTACCAGACGTGGGCAGGGAGATAACGGCAGGAGAGGAGACCGGCGCGTTAGAGAGTGTGAAGGCAGCCAGCGAAATATACTCACCGGTTTCAGGAACGGTCAGTTGTAATCCCATTTACATCTAAATATGTTATACAATATATTACAGAAAAGGGGAGAATACACAATCGTGACTTAATCCTTCTTTGCATGATTTTTTTTATTGCTGAAATAAATCACGATGATAATCATGTTCAAAAGTAAAGGAAAAATGGTTAAAAAAATAAATTTGACAGCTATGTTTTTTTTTCTGCAATGGACATTAAAAAGGTATCCAGACACGATCAACTTAAAGTGAAATTGTTCTTTTACATATTTTTTTGGCATTCAATGTTATGATGGAAATTTCCACCATTATGCAAAGAAGGGTTAACGCGATGTAAGATAGCCTTTACAGATAAATACTACTTACATACCCGCTTCTTTATTGCCGACGTTTTGACGTGGATTGCACCATGTCGTGAACAGGACTGAAGTAAGTGGCGTTTTCGTCTGGCAGCTCGCGCATTACCCGAATTTACTGGGTACAGAGGAATAACACCTGAGTCCTCAGGAATGTCAACGCATGGGGGATATCATGGGCGAAACAGTATACTCTGTTATGTTCATGGTACTGCTCATGTCTATAGGCGACGGTTACCACTTTCCATCAGGTGGGCCGTCAGCTTGTTTGCCCTTCTAAGTTGTGTAAAAAAAAATAGACTGTGTGGGCTGTCGCAGGCAATAAAGAAGCAGGTATGTAGGTACTATTTACCTGTAAACGTTTTGCATTGCGTTCCTCATACCCTACAATCTAAATGGTCCCGTATAACGCGGTTTCAAAGATGTTTTCTCCCACGAACATTCAAGTTATGGAATGAGCTCCCTGCCGAGGTTTTCCCAAGAGACTACAGCATGGGTTCTTCAAAAGGGGCGTAAAGAGGTTTCTTCAGGGTCGGCAACGCACGCGTAATGCCCCTGGTATTAAAGGCGTTCAAAGACTACGGTAACCGCTTACCGTCAGGTGGGCCGTACGCTTGTTTGCCACCTTAGTGGTATAAAAAATAGTAGTTTTAACTATCTAGAGTCGATTGAAAATATTTTTATTGTTAGATATTTTACAACATTTTATTTTTAAATATTATTCTTTAATCTGAACTTCGTGTGAGGAGATTATTGTGGTTTAATTATAGGGTTGCTAGTATAATTAGATTATTACCCAATTATTTTATAATTATACTCTATTACATTGACTTCCCGCGATTTCCTTTGGAAACTATCGTGGTTATTTCTTGATGAATTCTTCTCGATCCGAACTAACCTGACTTCATCGTCAGCTATTGTCATTCATTGATACAGGATGTATTGATTTGAAAGTGTAGGCGGAGTTACAGCTCCATTTTCATCATAAACAAAAAATAAAAGAATTAGATCTGTTGAGACGCTTAGATCGAGAATTAGACGCCACCTTTTAATCAATCTTATATTTTGTTTAAATACATATTTTAGCCGTGCAACACAAGTGATAGATAAAACCAGAGAACGAAAGCAATATGGCGTGCGCTGGGTTCTTCCCAAAGCGATAATAGATGGCGCTATGTGTTCCCTTTACAGAAATATGATTATTAAATTTAACCTAATTATAACAAGATAAACTTCGTAGAAATAAGCAGTTGCATCAAGCCGACTGGTCTAAATCTGACACTTATTCAAACCAATTAATTAAGTATTCTCCATCACCATAAAGCGTTGTACTAGTGTATGTATATACATGATATTTATTTACACGACTAGCTTTATGCCCGCCACTTCGTGTGTGTAGATTTTGAAATTAGAAAAATCAATTTAATAGACTACTTCTAGATAGGGCACCAAGGTATATAATACACATTTTGTTTTTGATGGGTGAAAATGGAATGGTAACCCCGCCTGCGCTAACGGGATACGCTGGCGGAGCACCAGTGAAGATTGAGAGATGAGAATGAAAACAGGCCAGTTAGCCCATCATGATGAATTCATCAGGAATTAAGCATGATAGTTTCCAGGGGGCACCGCTAGGAGGTCGACCTGGTTGGGTATATTGCTAGCAATGGGATTCTCAGTCTTCATTACTAACAATCCCTTTCCCCCCGTACAATATACATTAGTTTTTAAGTTAGTCTTCTAGGAATACGACTGTGAAAACTGCATCCAGTTGGATGCAGTAGTTTTTGTATGATATATAGATATTGTATAGTTACAATGTTATTATGCTAGTAAGATGATACATGTATGTTATTCGTCCACAGGTAGTGGAAAAAAATGATTCAGTCGAATCGACACCGGCACTAATTAACAAATCATGTTATGAGGAGGGCTGGCTGTTCCGCGTCAAATTATCAAAACCTGAAGAATTGAAACTGTTAATGGATAAGGCAGCCTACGACAAATACTTGGAAGAATCACATTGAAAGCTGGAGACACCATCCATGCCATAACACAAATCAATACTCAATTTGTTTCAAATAAACTAACCTCTTACTTATAAAAATATTAATCGATCAGTGAATAACGATTATTTTTACAATTAATTATAAATAAATACATAATAATATGAAACTGAATGTAATGTAGCATTTACAAGTAAGAGGAATAAAGTATAACATTCACAGTGACAGTCCAAACCAATTGGTAGTTCCCGACCTCAATTCTGACAGTATGCATGTAGCGCTAAGTTCAAGTGTCTTGTGTCCATTGTCGAGTAAACAGAATATAATTTAAAATTATAAATTTTACATTTGTCTATGTTATTTAGTGTTTGGTTACTTTGAATATTTTGTATAGTGCAATAATAATTAACTAGACAATGGAGCAAGGACTCTTTTCTAGAATAATATTCTTTCGAATTAATTTATACTTAATTGCCCTCGACGCGGGCTTATAAATAGACAAGATTTTATTTTTATAATTTAAAACATATTTTACATACGAATCATGTTTTAAATACTATTATTATAAGATTTAATATGTTTGAAAAAAAAAAAACAGCAATGTAAAATTAAATACTGTAAATACGAATTTATTGTTATTCAATTAAATGACAATTATCTATATTCTACTAAAATCTGTTTTGAATCAATCGTAATAATTAATCATTTACCAGAGGGGGACTTTGTACAAAAGTCGTTTGCTTGAGCACCTCTGTCCCATTCATGTTTCTACCGTGAAGCAGTTATTTGCGTGGCTATGTTTGAGTTTGAAGGATGGGACATGGCAGTGAATTTACTGGGTACGGAGGAATAACACCTGAGTCCTCAGGAATGGCAACGCATGAGGGGTATCATGGGCGAAACAGTACACTCTGTTATGTCCATGGTACTGCTCATGTTTACAGGCGACGGTTACCACTTTCCATCAGGTGGGCGGTGTTTGTTTGCCATTTTAAGTTGCATAAAAGTAAAAATAAAAAGTCATTTAATCAATCTCAGTATCTTGACTGATTGAATGTAAGTATATAAAGATAATTTTACACACTACTTAGCATTTGGGAGGGAAAGGTCATTAGTAATATATACTCTGTCAGATTCATTGGTTATCCGGAAAGCGACGAGGTACAATTTCGGTTAATTCTTAGTAAATTCACCACCATTGGCCAACTGGCCTGATTACACAGTAATCGTTTTATCCTTAATTGGCGATCTATTATTGAATATCATTAGTACAAGCGGATGCACCTTTCAATCTTCATTGATTGATAAAATAAATCCTTTGTAATAAGACAATGAGAACATTGTAATATGTTTACAAAAGAATAAATTAATAAAAATAAAATTTACTGAAAATGAGAATTCATTAAATGTCAAAGTAATCATTGATTGTAAATAGAGGAAATTTATATATTCCTTAAGAATAAAAACCGCGCTACTGACAGCGAGTGGGTTTATTTGAGTGCGGCGGCGCCGGATATGATCTCGATGAGTTCCCTGGTGATGACGGCCTGCCGGGTCCTGTTGAACAGCAGCGTCAGCTTGCGGATCATCTCGGCAGCGTTCTTGGTGGCGTTGTCCATGGCGGCCATGCGGGCCGACTGTTCGCTGGCGGCAGCCTCCTTCAGTGCGTAGTAAATAAGCGCCGCGAGGGTCCACTCCGCGTAGCACTCCAGCTGGTCGGCCTCCACGTCGTCGAACGCATTTATATTGGGCGCTGACTGTAGTACATATAGAATTATAATTACTAGGCTTGGGGGTTAACGAGTCTGTTTGAAATTAATTTCATTAAGCTTTTATAGCATATAGGTTTCACCGTTAGACTTTGGGCATTATAAAGGGCTTTTACGACAATCGACTTGTCATGTGCAGTTTACGAGTTCTTGTGGCTACCTTTTGTCTTGATCGCCAGACTAGTTCGATGGTACCGTAATATTTTATTATAATCAAACGTACATGCCAAATTTCTGCACGATCAGACGTCAGAAAATAGATTGCAAATTTTAAACGGAAAGACCGAAAAAGCGTTAAAGTTAAGTTACATTATAAGTTGTAAAAAAACCACATCACATGACTCCTAGTATAGCCCGCCAAGATTAGAATATACCCATAGAAGTTCTGCATAGTTGTAATTATTTGCATGTATGCTCTCACCTCGATTTTGAACTTATTGAAGAAGGGCACAATGGTCATCTCGTACTTGACCGGTGTGAAGTACTTGTTGTAGTATATTTCGCCCACGTCGTACGTATAGCCCGCGTCTGTGATCGCCGCCGCCATGATGGACGCGTCCGTAAACACAGGAGCTATGCGACCGATCTGGACAATATATCATCAGTGTAAACCATCATATCAGCTGTTAACTGCCTACTGCTGAACATAAGCCTGCCCCATAAGAAGGGAGGAAGGGGGAGGAGAGTTGTCATTAGTTGGCGCGTTTATCAGGCAGGTTGGCAACCTCAGTTTAGTAATGTCTTAAGAGGGAAGCTGCTGCCCATCCCTCGACTATTATGTTCACTTAGTCACCTTTTACAACACCCACCGGCAAGGAAGGGGTGGCCCTTTCTATGCCGGGACTACACGGCGAATACCATCAGTGGTAGTACTAACTAAATACTCAATGGTAAATGTCAAATGAGGACTAGTGTCCTTAAGCCAACCCATCATAATTATATCCCATCATTTCCAAAGGTAGAACAAAGTCGCCTGTTTGGTACTTCTATCCTAAAGTTGTAAAGCCGTATCGTAAAGCAGATGTACCGTAAAGCCTAACTGTTTCGGCTAGAAGGGTGAGACACGGTAATGAAGTTAAGAGGAGTTCTCTTCTTTGAAGTAATAGCTCCATATTTTCTATTATATAGTGTTATTCTCTGTTGTCCATGGTGCTTACTATGTATGCCTATAGGTGACGGTCTCCAGCTTGTTCGCCATTACATGTTGTATACAAAAATCATCTTACATCTAGGAGCATCGTCTAGACAACAGTTCAGTTAAAATATTTATTGCATTCTACAATGCTACATATTTTTATAAAAACTAGCAGAGGATATTATAGAACCTATCTAGTATATTAATTACAATTGATCCCGGTATAAGCCGGGGAGGCTTATGCCGGGATCAATTGGCCATTGTAATCCTTTCCCGTGGGTGTCGTAAGAGACGACTAAGGGAGAGCGAGGGAAGGGCAGCAGCGTCCCTCTTAAAATATCTCTAAAGCCTGACTGCGGTTGCCAATCCGCCTGCCAAGCTTGGTAGCTACTGGCAGAACCTCTCCAAGGGGTTAAAATTGAGTGAGAATTTTTTTTTACTAAATATACTTATTCATTAATAATTACAAAATATTAATTCTCAGGTTCTTGAGTGGCAACCGCGTACGGATAGATGCGCTGTAGGACGATCCCCACTAGATGGTGTGACGACCTTAAATGCATTGCAGGGAGACAGTGCATGCAGGTGGCGCAGTACCGTTCCTTATGACAGTCTATGGGGGAGACCTATGTCCAGCAGTGGACAGATAATAGCTGAGATGATGATAACGAACACTCAGATCTGAACTAATTTATTAAGTTTTTGAAGCAACGAGTTAGACTCCATCTGCTGAGTTCGATAGGCTTCTCACGCTGAGCGCGTGGTATATTTTTTTTTTATTGGATGAAAATGGAATGGTAACCCCGCCTGCGCTAACGGGATACGCTGGCGGGACACCAGTGAAGGGTGATCGATGAGAATGAAAACAGGCCAGTTAGTCCATCATGATGAATTCATCTGGAATTAATCATGATAGTTTTCAGGGGGAACCGCAAGGAGGTCGACCTGGTTGGGTATATTGCTAGCAATGGGATTCTTAGTCTCTATAACTAACAATCCCTTTCCCCCCAGAGCGCGTGGTATTAATATAGTAGTGCATTTAAATAGGAGGATAGGAATGTCCAAGCCCTCTGATTAGTCGTTAAATTAGAGACAAAGACAGACTTACATCCTTGACGCTGACGAGCATACTGTCGGAGAAGGTGCGGTGGAGCAGTAAGCGCGATTTGTCCCCGATGCACACCAGCTTGTGCGTGGGCGCCTCCGCTTCCCTGGCGGTCATCTCGCGGCGGATTCTTCGCGCCACGCCGCTGTGTATACCGCCGCATAAACCTGTCACACAAATATTGCATTGGGAAAAGTCGCTTTTAATTTTTACATTTCTTATAGTCTAAACTTAAAAAAACAGATATAGATATGGCAATGAAATTATAGGGTACAGAGGCATAATACTTTAGTTCTTAGGAATAGCAATGCATGGGTGACAGTATACCGTTCTTGTCTGTATGCGACGGTTACCACTTTCCATCAGGCGGGCCGTGAGCTTGTTTGACATTTAAAGTTGCATAAAAAATAGAAAAGAAACTTTGTTTATATATAAAATGTGTTTTTAAAATGTTATGACCTTAAAAAAATAACTAAATGGTTGTAAGCTCGCATAAAAAAACTTTTTAATATAAAAATTTAAATAATTTGACGTTAGTGATTGCAACCCCCATTTTCCAAAAACGACTAAAGTTAGGCGTTTGATAATTAGTTAAAAAATATTTCCAACCACCAGCGATATATTAAAAGCACCAATGTGCCAACTAAGACGTCAGTGCTGATTTCATATGGAAACACGGCAAAACGTTCAAGTCTAATAATAATTATGGCAAGACAAGGAACATTTAAAATAACACAAAAATATTAGAAATTTTTTTTATGAGGAGAGAGACGTGTATCCACCAAGTATTTTGGGTTTTCATTCTTGAGTATCATTAATTTAACAAAAGTAGAAGAAAGTCTTGAGCAGATTGTTTACCAGATGTAATCCACAAGGTTTTATCTTTTATTTTTAATTAGCTTTTATCGTAACTTCTGTATTTTTGTTTTATATAGCTATGCATATGTTTTTTTTTTATATATAGGATATAGTATATTTATTTTCATTCTCTTGATTGCTGTTTCCATAGTATTTATATTGCAATATTTTCTTCGTATTGCAACTCTTTCTGAGGCCCTTAATTATCCAACGTGGTGTTCTATTACTACTTGTTATTATTATTATTTTTTAGGAAAACTTAACTCATATTTTGACTTGGCTTTAGTAGACCATTTACGAGAATTTATTAAAAAATATATTATATTTTTTAATAATGTCTTTCTATAAATGCTTGGCTAAAAAATTAGAAGTTACACGTGTTTGGTGTTAGTCGGCCATGCACGGGATTTTTAATAATAAATATTATATATATATATATATATATATATATATATATATATATATATATATATATATATATATATATATATATATATATATATAATAACAATACAGAGGAATAACACCTGAGTCCTCAGGAATGGCAACGCTTGGGGGCTATCATGGGCGAAACAGTATACCCTGTTATGTCCATAGTACTGCTTATGTCTATAGGCGATGGTTACCACTTTCCATCAGGTGGGCCGTCAGCGTGTTTACCATTCTAAGTTGTACAAAAAAAAAACATATAATCAAACAAATACTCATATGGTTAATTTTGAAAAAGTTGATTAAGAAATTGGTGAGTTTTATGTAGTTTTATTTCGAAACTACTGTAGAAAAATAACGATCTAAAGTAACTTTTATAGGTATAAGCCGAGGATTATTTAACTAAAGCTTACTTTGTAAACTTTAGTTAGTTACAACTTTATCAAAAGTTGATATAAAGTTTCAAGTATGAGTGAATGAGTCAGCTTTTTTAATAAATGTTATTTCAACATTTGTTGTTATTGCAAGGTTAAAGTTGATGAAATAAAGTGATCTATTTCATGTAAAGGAGCATAATATTTACATGTGAGGTAATGGCATTATAGGTTATCGCCAACTTAATGTGGGAATTTTGAACATTTAACAATCAATTGACAGTTTTCGAAAAAGGAATGTATGCAACTTAAAATGGCAAAAATTTATAGACATGAACAGCACAGAATACTTTATTGCAGCCATGGTTCTCCTCACATACTATTCACTCTGAAGACTTTTTCTGAATTGGACTGGTTTTTCTTTATGTTCAACATATTATATTACAACAAGATTTTTCAAACTGGTTCGTTCGGAAGTTTTATTCATTTGTGAAAAACTAGTGGAAACGTACGTAAAGTAAAATAATTCTTATTGTACGTGTTTTTAAATTATTTTACAATATGTTTATTATTATTTCACCCACTAAATGTCCACTGTTGGACATAAGCCTCCCCTTTAGGGAGTTTTGTCAGTAATTACCACGCTTGGCAGGCGGATTGGTAACCGCATTTAGACTTTGGAGATGTTTTAAGAGGGACGCTGCTGCCCATCCCTCGCTCTCCTTTAGTCGCCTCTTACGACACCCACGGGAAAGGAAGGGGTGGCCTATTCTATGCCGGGTCCACACGGCAAGAAAAAACTTCTAGCAACCTTAATAATATACAAGAAAAAAAAATGCCAAGCAATTATTGAGAGACGCACTCAGGTTACAACGATCATTGTGAAGCATTTAATTGTTATTTGCTATAGGTAGATAAAATGTTTACATTATTATGAAATGAAAATATTCCGCGACATTAGCCGCTCAACGCGAACCAATCAAGGACGCAGAGACAAAAACTATCTGTATGAGTATATAGGTACTTATATGCTGTTTGACAAGAATACACAGCGGTTTGTTTGTAAATAATGTTTATAAATACCCGGGGCATGTTTATAAGCCATTTAGATTATAACATTAAATATAATCTGATGATGAAATCACGACGTTACGAGAGAATATGATGTTGTATCTCGTGGGTGTCGTAAGAGGCGACTAACGGAGGGCGGTGGGATGGCCAGCAGCGTCCCTCTCAAACCATCTGTAAAAGCCTAACTGCAGTTGCCAGGGGGGAAAGGGATTGTTAATAATGCATGCTACTAGTTCCATTGCTAGCAATATACCCTATCAGGTCGATCTCCACACGGTTCCCCCTGGAAACCATTGTGCTGAATTCCAGGTGTATTCATCACGATAGGCTAACTGACCTGCTTTTTTTATTCTCACCTATCATCCCTCACTGGTGCCCCGCCAGCGTATACCGTTAGCGTAGGCGGGGTTACCAATCCATTAATCATTCATTAAAAACTGCAGTTGCCAATCCTCCTGCCAAGCGTGGCAACTACTGGCAAAATTCCCCTTATGGGAAAGGCATGTGCAGCAGTGGACAGCTAATGCTTGAAATAATAATACACAGAGAGTACAGAGAAAGATGCAAAAAGAGATGGATGAATTACGAACAGATGATATCATCATAGCAACCGTTGACTCCACGACTGAACATAGGTCGTCCCCATAAGGGGAGGGGCTCTGCCAGTATTTGCTACGCTTGGCGGGCGAGTTGGCAACCGCAGCTAGTTTTTGGGGATGTTTTAAGAGGAATAGATGCAGCCTAGCCCTCGATCATTAAGCTCCCCTAGTAGCCTCTTACGACACCCACATGAAAGACGACAAATGTGATCAGATAGAAGTAACTACTACTCCTTTGAGATGACTTCGTAGTCATAGATGATTTTAAAAAGAAATTAATGGAAAATAAAAACATGAACCCCGAATAGATGTGGGGAAAGGGTAGACAGACGTTGATATTTTTTCTTGTGTAAATAAAGTCCTGGTTAACAGAGTCGCGCTAATTTAAGAAATTAAGATTTCGGTTCTTTTTTAAATAACTTATTTAACTTATAGGACTTGACAATTTATACAATTAAGTAGCATTTCCATTATTATAATAAAGTCTTGAAAATTTTGCATTTAATATTGACATTTCGTCAATTAGTTAGAATTTTAAAAATAAAAAGTAAAATTTAACACGTACAGATAAAATCTATTTTTACTTACTTCGTTACTATATTGCGGCTTAATCATTTTTAAGGTCGTCGACTTCAATTTCGACCAAACTATTGTAAGATTAGATAGAGAGCAACTCAAAATTAACGAACTACAGTTAAACTGAGAACCTTTTTTTAAAAAAATAATTGTTATCACTAAAAGTCAGTACGAACCGGTGCGGTCGACTTCGCGGGTCAAAACTGTAGATATACATTTCGTGGCAAAAGAAAAAAAAACAAAGATACGACACCAGTGAAGTCGATTGTTTAATTTTTAATGGCCATCGGCCACGGTGCCTATAGTGTAACAATATGATCGCGTTTCGTCATGTGTTTGCAACATAGCTTATTCTACGCACTAATTTTGTTGTTTTGATAAATGGCAATGCAATAAATAAACCACTAGTTTCATCTATCATCATAGATATGATAGCATGTTTAATAAATAATACGTAACATTGGAATTACCACTCGTGTTTCTACCGTGAAGCAGTTGTGTTTGCATGGCTGTGTTTCGGTTTGAAGGGTGGGATATGGCGTGAATTTACAGGGGTACAGAGGAATAACACCTGAGTCCTCAGGAATGGCAACGCATGGGGGGTATCATGGACGAAACGGTATACTCTGTTATGTCCATGGTACTGCTCATGTCTATAGGCGACGGCTACCACTTTACATCAGGCGGGCCGTCAGCTTGTTTGCCATTCTAAGTTGTATAAAAAAAAAAATACCGCGCGATTCCAGCACAAAACTGGCCACCCATTTTCTAATGGACGTTACAAGGGACGAGTAAGGAAACTCGATGGTCGAGACATAGAGATCAGGGTCCTTCTTAAAACATCACCAAAGTGTAACTGCGGTCACCAATCCGCCTGCCAAGCGTTACAACTACTGGCAAAACCTCCCTTCTATGGGGAGTCCTATGTCCAGCAGTGGACAGTTAAAGGCTGACATGATGGTGATGATAAACATTGGAATTACACATAAAATGATTAATATAAAGTCGATTTCGAACACTATAGCTCTGTAACATTAAATCAAATTTGTTACATAAATTAATGTAATTATTTATATTTATAATAAGTTTACTATTGTAATCTTTTGGAGGAAACAATAAAGAGTATCTATCTATCTATCTAATGGGTATAAGTTGGCTCGATTCTCTGAGCAAATGACAAATAAATCTAACGCTATAGATAGGTTTCGTCTTTTTTTTTAATGAATGTAGATGAAATGTTACGTCCACTTATATGGAATGAAACTGAATGTGTAACTATGAGAATGATGATGTTAGCTCACTTGAACCATTATGGCGAGATCGAGAGGAATTAACCATAAGGATTATCAGGAGAAATCGCGTCGTGATAAACTTGATAGTCAATCCCTGCTCTTTGCCAAACGTTGCTGTCTTATTTGATTTCACGCATGTGGTAACGTCAATATATCTATCTATACTTATAATAAATCTGTAGAGAAGTCAATTCTGTACATGAAATATATTTCCAAAATAACTATCAGGCGGTGATTAGTGATCGATACTGATGCCAAAAATGCAGTCAGTAAAATTTTTGTCTGTCTGTATGTATGTTCGTTATAGAAACAAAAACTATTTGACGGATTTTAACGAAACTTGGTACAATTATTCTTTATACACCTGGACAGGTTATAGTATACTTTTCATCACGCTACGATCAATAGGAGCAGAGCAGTGAAGGGAAATGTTGGGAAAACGGGAGAAGTTACTCCATATTTTAAGCTTCCGTCGAGTGTGCACCCTAATGGCCACTATTTAAAATGTAAAAATGTCCACACGTGCGACGCCGGGACGGGCCGCTAGTGTATATCTATAACTGCTGTAGTGAATATTAAACACGTGAAATAATAATGAAAAGTAAAAAAGATAATATAAACAAAAAAAAAAAACATTTGATGAACATCTATTTGATGATTTTTTTTTTATTTTTTTATACAAAAATCCACAGCTATTGAAAAACAACTTGCATGCTAAGTCTCTTATGAATACAGCCAATAATGGATTTTATTTATACAAACAAAAATTATGATTCCAAAGCGAGGTAGGCAAGTTAGAGTGGGTGTATGCAAGTAAAATATGATAATGATTTTTTTTTATACAACTTAGAATGGCAAACAAGCTGACGGCCCACCTGATGGAAAGTGGTAGCCTATAGACATGAGCAGTACCATGCACATAACAGAGTATACTGTTTCGCCTATGATACCCCCATGCGTTGCCATTCCTGAGGACTCAGGTGTTAATCCTCTGTACCCTGTAAATTCACGCCATATCCCACCCTTCAAAACACAGCCATGCAAACACAACTGCTTCACGGTTGAAACACGAATGGGACAGAGGTTCCCAAGTAATCGAATTTTGTACAAAGTCTCCCTCTCTATCAGTCTTTTAACTGTCCATTGCTGAACAAAAGCCTCATCTTTGGGGGAGTTTTGCCAATAGTTTTTACGCTTAGCAAGCGGGTTGGCAACCGCACTTAGGCTTTGGTGATGTTTTAAGAGGTTCGAGGTTTTAGGAGCTGCCCATCCCGTTTACATCCCGTCATGAATATCTATTTATTATCCTATGAGTACAGCTAAACATGTCATGTGTATGTACACATGTCATATTTAGCAGTAGGTTTATTGCATGTACAGTTAATGGGGCGTTCATCTCTGACCCGTGGAGGTGATAACTCCGCTGTAATGGATTGAGACGTCATGTAGACATGACGTGGTAATTAATCTCGTAAATGGAACGGGCTCTACTGTACTGGTAGGGATGGGATTTAATTTTTATGGGGGTAAAAAACAACACCAGTGACTGTATAAGTGATATTACGAGATACAAGACAACAGATTTATGAAGAGACAACCCAGAACACCTAGACACAATTCAATTCAGAACTCATCAAACACCTTTTTTCTTTATTCACGCAAAGCAAATTGCTTTCTACTGTGTCAAGCTTTGAAGCCTAACTTGAAACTAACTAAGCTCAAACTGGAAAGCTTAGAAGCAACAAATAATAACTGGCTCTTGTAGCCAGGATTAAACTATTCGAAACTCCTGATTGAGGGGTTTCAGAAAATCACTCTATGAAATTAATTCTTTTGAGCAAAAATAATATGTGTGTAATTAACAAGAGCTCACACTGGACACAGTAAGTTAAACAAGCATATGGCCTAATTAGGCTTATGCCGTAAAGTGTTTGCAGGTTTTGTCCCAGTGAGGAAGAAACGCTGCAGCACTTACTTTGTAGCTTTAGCTCACTCATACATAAACGATATATCTCCTTTGGCAAATACACTTTATATTCTAAAGATATAGTAAAACATCGCTACAGAAAACATCTTAAAATTCCAATTACTGATGGAATTAGCAGCGAAGTTTAAAAAAGGGCGAAGACAAAAGATCATGGAAGGGTCGCAGCGTCACAGGCTTTTTTGCTTGAAAAAAAAAAAGTCCATCTTTCAATAATATAATAATAAGCACTATGCCAATAAGAATTAGGCATCCTCACAAACTACACATTCATAAAACAAATTTATTTTTATTATAAGTATTTTGTCAGTTTTTTTCTACTAAATTGGTAATTTAGTGCAAAGGAAAAGGTAAATATGAAATAAATGACTTCAACAACTAAGATAGATTTATAAGACATTTATGAATATAGGGATAAGATGTGACCTTTATGTGCGTAGCAACTACTGGCAAAACCCCCTAAAGGGGAAGCTTATGTACAGCAATGGACAGTTAAAGGCTGATATGGTGATGATGATATGACATTTGCACTCTATTCTACAATTTAACTGCTATTTTAGTTCAGAACAGTTCAGTATTTATTCCGAGTTCCTATTTTTTCTTTGTAGTATTTCACCAATAGGTGGTGTATCATAGAGATTATAAATTTATATTTTGCTATAACTCTGAAATAATGAGCATCTTGAAATCAGGACGAAAAACAGAAAAGAAAAAGCATTTGAAGATTAGATTTATACCACAAACGTGGCAAGCCAGCATATAGCCCATCTGAAGGTAAACAGTCACTGTAGCCTATGGACGTCCACAACGAGAGGGTTGTCACGTGCATGTTACCGATCCTGAAGAAAACTTTAAATACCAATTTTAAAGAACCCAAACCTGGCATAAAGAATGGATAAGTACAGAGAGAAAGGTAGATGGCGCAAGTCAGACACAGTAAATATATAAAAGGAATCAAACTAAATTCAAAATACTGTAGTTTTTAGGGAAAATCAAATTACAAGTTGCCAAAGACTACGAATGTTGATTGCTAGCGTTTTATTAACCTTTTGTTTATAAAATAGATTTTATGAGAAAACTATATAAATTGCTCATATCACTAAAAAAAAATGACTAAGAGAATAAATTCGCGAATCAATTATTAAAACGATAGTAAGTGTGATCTCCGTAATAACTCAGATATAATAATAACCTTTTGATTGATAATTGTATTTAATTGATTTTTTGCTATATTCCACATAGATTTTATTACTTTTTTATGACTGTTTATCTTACTTTTAGTCAAACATAAATTCCTAATTAAATTAGTTTTATTGGCACTGAAAAAGTATATTAATGTAAAGTCTCTCTATAATCAAGCCCTTTGTTAGCTACATTTTTATTGGAGCAGCGTCCTCGACATAAATTCTCATTTTTTACTACACTTGTTATCTCTATAGTAGTTGTTCTTTATTCTAAATATAGTTAACTAATCAAAGGTCATTTGAAGAATTTGCACAACACCATTATACTTAGAATTATTTTTATAGAATCCTATATGATCCCTATATGTTTGGATTGGATCCCAGTACAAAATTATACTGAGCAGCTTACTTAAGGTATTTATTACGTACTGTTTTTACCATTGGTTTTTCTAACATGAATACTGTAAAAATAATAATAATGTCATAAGCACTGTAGATTACGGGGGGGGGGGTGGGAACCATACGAATAATATTCCATTCTGAGCAAAAAAATATTGGATTACTGTTGTTTCTGGAATTAATTAGTTTTATCTAGATGTTCACAATCATCGGAAAGTACGTAAGAAATGTAAACAGACCGTCACATACGTTCGTATCACCCAGTGATATCACATTTTGTATTTTGCTTCTGGGGTCAGGTTATTTCCTGCTGCACTTAACCCATCGCGTGTACTTTTAGTATGGGCTGTTTACATTGAAGTTTAAGAAAAGATAATCAAGTTTTGCTTAAATGATCACAGAAATTTTTATATTGTATTTTAATATTTATTTATTTATTGAGATCTACTAATCTTTAATAATCTGACTCCAGATAATTTGTCCAAAACAGTCTGACTGGGATGCTCGTCAAAGAATCGCAGTTAGATATCAACAATTTAACTTAAATCCCTCGTTGCGGAGCCAAACATGACTGTACAATATACCTACACAATAACAGTCGATAGCTAAAATTATTTATAAATCTACACCATTGAACATAGGTATTTTAATTTAAGAACTAAGCAACCTGCTCTGGCTATGGTATTCGATGGTAATGTACCTAAATAGGTACTTTTTGAATTTATTTATTACAAATAAAAATCAAGATTATTCTCGTTATAAGTCAGTATAGACAATAATGTATTAGGTATATTGTCACGGTTGTGTTACCAACGTCACTCACCTCTATCAGAAGTGACCGCTACATAAATTCTTCTAACCTTCTTCGTGTCTTTTTCTTCTATTTTTTCTGTAACCGGTTCCGGAGCAGATGGCTCTTTGGCCTTCTCATCCTTCTTAACGTCCACTTTGCCCAACACCAATTGGCTCGACTCGTAGAATTTGCGGGGCCCATATCCGAATGGTCGAGCCGCTTGCAACTCGCGTTCAGCTTTTGTGAACCTGAAAATACAGGTGTAATCAAAATCGCTAGCAGTTGTCAAACTTAATACCTACATAGACTGTAGAATAAATTAGGGCTGAAATTTTCTGAATCAAAAATTTTAAAACGACAAAATATCTGCGTTTCCCATACTAAATCAACAACAGGACACGCCGTTTAAGCTTTGGAGACTCAAAATATTTTATCATTTTCGACACATGTTGGTTTGCTAAAAGTATTGAGTTTCACTGGAGAACATTTCCTCTAAAGAAGCATCCTTTTTTTAACGATTCCAACGATTTGATTTTGACCTTGCTTAACAGCTTCTTCATAATCATAACAACAATCCTGCCCAATCTAAAGCACGGCTCTAAGCTTTTAAGTGGAGTATATAATTCTACTGCTCATACCAAACTGGATTGATAACTTGGTATAGGATTTTATTAACCGATTTCAAAACAAGAAGAGTTCTTTAATTTGGTTGTATTTTTTTATGCTTGTTGCCTCATATCTGCATTATTTATAAACTAATTTTGAAAATGTTGTTTTATCTATGGATTTACTTTCAGATTATTTTAATATTTTACCAGAGGGAGACTTTGTATGAAAGTCGATTGCTTGGGTACCTCTGTTTCATTTGTGTTTCTACCGTGAAGCAGTTGTGTTTGCATGGCTGTGTTTCGGTTTGAAGGGTGGGATATAGCGTGAATTAACAGGGTACAGAGGAATAATATCTGAGTCCTCAGGAATGGCAACGCATGAAGGGGTATCATGGGTGAAACAGTATACTCTGTTCTGCCCATGGTACTGCTCATGTCTATAGGCGACGGTCACCACTTTCCATCAGGTGGGCCGTCAGCTTGTTTGCCATTCTAAGTTGTATAAAAAAAAGACTAAAATATGTTTTTACTGTTAGTTGTTATAATATTTATGTGTGTTGTTTACTAAATAATTTTTCTACTTTTCTTTCTTTCAAATCGGTTTCGTGGTTTGGTTTTTAAATCAAAATGACTGATTTTGTTTAATGATTGAATTCATAAAATACAGAATTTCAGTGGCTACATTAGTATTCTTCTAAAACAACGATATTTATGTCATGTTTCTACAGTCGCCTCTAATAATAATTATTCTCATTCCTTCTGTGAATGGCACGATAACACATTGATAACACATCTCCGACGCCATACATACATATATACATACACGATTGTTTTGTCAACTACGACTGTGATTATTATGGATTTCAGTTGTCGCTTGATATTTGTAAATAGTATCCCAAGCTCACAGGCGGTATCGAGTCTTTAAAGACTTAAGTTACGGCGAGACTTTGCCTTCCTTTCTGTGTTCTACCGCTTGTATAATGGATTGTGTTCTGAGGAATTGTTTGAAATGATGCCTACAACCACCTTTTATCATCGCACCGCTCGCCATCCAGAGGGAGACTTTGTACAAAAGTCGATAGCTTGGGTACCTCTGTCCCATTCGTGTTTCAAACGTGAAGTAGTTGTGTTTGTATGGCTGTGTTTCGGTTTGAAGGGTGGGATATGGCGTGAATTTACTGGGTACAGAGGAATAACACCTGAGTCCTCGGGAATGGCAACGCATGGGAGGTATCATGGGCGAAACAGTATACTCTGTTATGTCCATGGTACTGCTCATGTCTATAGGCGACGGTTATCACTTTCCATCAGGTGGACCGTCACCTTGTTTGCCATTCTAAGTTGTATAAAAAAAAATCTCACATGCTTTAACCTAAATGGTCACGTACAATACAGTTTCAAAGGAATTTTCTCCCGCGAACGCTCAGGCTGTAAAATAAGCTCCCTACGAAGGTTTTGCTTTGGAACTGCAATATGGGGTTCTTCGAAAAGAGTATATGAAGGTTTCTTCAGGGTCGACAACGTGCATGTGATACCTCCAGAGTCTGGCTGTCAGACTGGCTGTATGCTTGATTGAAACCTTCGTGTTAAAAAAATGTATCAAATGAGACATGGCATTTCAGAATATGCAATATTATAAATATTTACAACAAACTTGATAAATATAAAAATATCTTTTTATTTACGTCCTTACTCAACAAAGTAATTCAGTTATCTCCCTGTGTCTTTACGGAGAGAGCATTTACATTGACTGTCCACTACATACTGGAGGACATATATATATATTGGAACTTTCTTGTATGAACATAAATTTTTTAAGGTAAGTATTAGTTACCACATGATAGCAATATATATATATATATATATATATATATATATATATATATATATATATATATATATATATATATATATATATATATATATATATATATATATATATATATATATATTGTGTTATTGCTATATTTAAAGAGTCAAAAGTTATAGATGCAATGCAAGTGGATTGGAAAACTAGGTTTATCGCCAGAAGTTGGTAACCAATGTCCTGAATAACAGTTCTTTTGAATGGATGATAATGGAATGATCACCCCGCCTGCGCTACGGTATACGCTGGTGGAGTACCAGTGAAGGTTGATAGGTGAGAATGAAAGGGCAGGTCGTCGTAACAAATTTATTTACCACCACCATCGTAATAAATTCAGCATAGGAGTTAGAATAGGCCACCTCTTCCTTTCCCGTGAGTGTCGTAAGAGTCGACTAAGTGAGGGCAAGGGGTGGACAATAGCATTCCTCTTTAAACATCTCTAAAGCCTGACTGCGGTTGCCAATTCGCTTACCAAGCGTGGCCACTACTGACAAAACCCCCAAGGGGAAGACTTATATTCAGCAGTGGACAGTTAAAGTCTGATATGACGACGATGGTGGTATTTGATTCATTTTATTTTTTAAAGAGAATCTTACGTGGATCCGACAAATAGATGTATGCCAATTATTATGTACACGTAATTAGTTGAGGTACTGAAAAAAGGCCAAATTAATAACACTCAGAACTGGCGATCTTATACTTGTACGAATAGATCGATGAATGTGGAGGAAGCGAAAGAGGTCAAATGCCTGCATAGCGGCGAGGTTCCGGGCGGTAGGTCTTTGCGAGGCTCTTTGTCCTTTGTGAATAGTATATGATGCGAAACTAAGTATGCTTGTTTGATTGAGGTACTTGTCATGTAATTTATTTTTCAATTTTTTTATTTGTATATTTATTATTTAGTGTTGCTAATTTTGTTCATTCGCGATTAAAATGCCTAATTCAGGAAGTTCTTGCGACTTGCCACTAGACAAAATGACACTCACTGGTTGTTTAAAATTTGCTTGAGTTGTTATGCGAGGCCCCTACAATTGTTCCGGGCAATTGCCCTGTTCGCCCCTAAGACCGCCACTGCTCATGTTAGCGACGGTTACCACTTTCCATCAGGTGGGCCATCAGCTTGTTCGCCATTCTAAGTTGCATAGAAAAAGTCAGTTTGAACCGGAGCTTTTGGTGTTTCATTATATTTGCCTACCTTAATGGGAAACGATGGTTACGGATATGTAATATGCAGGAAAATGTTGAGTTTTAAATAGTTCTATAAACATTTGAAAATAGGATAACATTTACTTGCTGGCTGACACCATTTTCATGGTTTTCGTAATTTTTTGAATGCTCTTGATCGACTTCAGTCGTAACGAGACCTGTTTCAGTTGCACCATTGTTTAATTTCATTTAATTTTAATATTGTGCTAATATGAAATATTAACATTGACATTAATTTTTTTTTTTTTTTAGTACGTTTGTTCCGTTTGGAACAGGCTAAGGTCGGAGACCATGCTGCCTAGTCTTCAAAAAGATAATTTGTCTGGAATATTGACATTAAAATATTGAAATGACATTTTGAGACATTATTTTTTCATTAACCGAAGTCATTGAATAAAAATAGTTTTTTTTTTGCATAGAAAGAGAATGCCAGGTAACTATTATTCTTAATCTTTGTGTTATTTCAATATAGAAATTATTTCATTTCAAGTATCACATAGATTAAGGATGGTGGTAATTTACATTTCATGACTTTTTATTTTATTAATATAATAAAACTGTATTTAAGAAAAATAAATATGTGAGGGGTCTTTATAAGACCAACAGATGTTAAAATAATAATTTTTAGAAATTTTATTTTTCTGTCTATATGTTTCTTCTGGTATTTTGCAAAACCTGTACAAAGTTGAATACGGTGTTATTGTATATGTTTTATAGTGGTGGTAGCGAGCCATCTAGGAGTAGTTTATTTTATTAGGGTTTCTGCTTCTGTAATCTATGCATACAAAGTACGCAAAAAAAAAACTAATTAAAAAATAAATAAAATTAGGCCTCACAATTTTTGTCGTTTGATTTATAAAATTTCTTAAAATAGCATTATATTGTATAGAGCAGGCAGTTTATTAGTTTTAGGTATGGCTACTGACTTCGATTTTAGCTAGTATAGAGTACATATCTAATGCTTATCACGGCTTGACAATTGATCGGAAATATACCAATTGTTTTTTTCTTGTATTCGAGATGTGTATACGCGTATTTACACTTTTTAGTATGATAAAGGAAAATACATCACTATATCAAACAAATTTAATTATTTAAAGTATCAATGGCAAAATTTTTCTTATGCGAACTTAGAATGATACTCAAGCTAACGGCCTACTTAATAGAAAGTGGTAAATGTCTTTTTTTTATACAACTTAGAACGGCAAACAAGCTGACGGTCTACCTGATGGAAAGTGGTAACCGTCGCCTATAGACATGAGCAGTACTATGGACATAACAGAGTATATTGTTTCACCCATGATACCCCCCATACGTTGCCATTCCTGAGGACTCAGGTGTTATTCCTCTGTACCCAGTAAATTCACGTCACGTCACCTACAGTCATGAACAGTACTATAAACATAATATGCTGTTGACATACTGTTTTGCCCATGATACCTTTCACACGTTGCTGTTCCTGAGGACTAAGATATTATGCTCACGTACCATGTAATTTGATTGCCATATCATACACTTCAAGTTGCAACACAGCCATGTAATTACAACTGCTCTACGGCATAAACAAGAATGGGACAAAGGTATCCAAGCAGACGACTTTTGTACTAAATCTCTCTCTAGTTGGCCGACTTGTACAAAATGTCGTATAAGGGGAAGAGATATTGCATTACATCTCACCAAAGGGCTAAGAGTTACAAATGTTTAAAAAAAGATTGCTATATGTTTTATTAACACTGGACATATATTATGTGTATATCTAGGTACCAAAATCGGTATTGATTTAAACCATGAAATAAATCAGGGTCGAATCAAGTGATGTTTATGAAAAAAATATATATGCGAACAAGTTATCGGCTTGACCCGCCATGTTTGCAATCATGTACAAATTGTTTCGCTCTCGGCCCTGACTCCTCAGGGTCGTTGACAACAGAGTCAATTATTTTTAACCGACCACAATGAATGAGGATTATGATTTAAAGCCTGAGGAAACGGTAGACATGGCCGGCGGATATTTCGCAGTATAATAAATGAGAACGAAATTTCAGGAATTTTTAGGAAAAAACTGTACTAGAGTCCTCTGCCTTGCATGACTTGTTTTCAATTTAGAAGGGTGGGATATGGTATATAGACATAAGATCCTAATCCTAATCCTTGGGAATAGCAACGTAAAAGGGGTACAGGGCGCGTTCTTCTGCATCAGATCGAGTTCTTCTCAGCAGATAACAACATCCCGAACTTAGCTGTAAAATCACATAAAATTAACGATTTAAAAGAGCTTTTAAACAAGTCTATTTCAGTAAAGACTATTTCTATTCTATTCCACTGTATCTACAGTCAACTCCTTTGTCATTATAAGTTGCACAAAAAAAACTCTGACTTATATTGCTACATACACGCTGAATCTCTCGTCGGACTTACATCTCTGGCAAGAACAGATAAATGTGAAATAAAATTTAGACCACAGACAGAACGCCCCTCATACTCCCTCGCTGACTATTTCTAGAATAATATTGTCATACTGTACAGAAACATTTTTTCTACGTACCCAATTACGCGTATATAAATTAAATATAATACTTATTGATTAGTGTCGTTTGCTTGTGATAGCTATTTGTTAGCAAAAAAAACAGTACATGCCTGATCTAGCCTGCCTTCTTGCCAGTAAAGATACAATAATAATGTTACCAGTAATTACTAGATCAGTTTATAATATTTGAATAATGGAATAGGTAGCTATTAGTAACATATTTATTGTATGATAAACGTTCACAATCAAAATGACTTGTTTAATACGAACAATTATGTGCCGAGTCATTATTGTGATGTCAAACATTGATCTTTGTCGAGAATAATTGGCAAGAAACTAATTTTTTACCTTTTTTACTCTCTAATATATTAAACAAACATGCTATGGTCTGTAACACGAGAAGCCATAACGAATTTATCTTTTAGTTCCTAGGTGTAACGACAATATATGCGGTAAGAAAGGGCATCATAGTAAAAATTGTTGTGTCAATAATACTATTTTCACATTAGTTCACATTACAGCTAGCTGAGCTGTCGCTCTCCGCTACCTGTGAAATGAATTGTTAATTTTTTGTACTTTTAATACCTATAAAAACAGCGGAAGGATTAAATTTAAAATAAGAACTGGTTTGTTATTATTGTATACCATTGTATACAATTGTATATAGTCCTTTCATTATTTATTATTATTTAAATTTTACAAAAATTCTCATCTCCCCTCTTAAGGAGAGGAGAGGGCAAGTAACCCCCGGCAGAAGCACAGTCGGCTGGAGTTCAGGGCTCCAGGGAGAGAAACCGGCGTACAATGCGGGCAGAATCTAAGTGCACTGCTTTCTGCATCTTTCCCGGGAGTGAGCCGCCTCGGAATCCCAACCGTCTGAGATGTTGTTCCAGACTGGTTGGGATAAGACCGTTCACCGACATAACGATTGGTATGATTTCGATGGATGTCACCCCCCACATTTCGGTGACCTCGTGAGCCAGGTCGAGATATTTTCTCTTTTCCTCGGTTTATATTATTATTATTATTATCTTGACACTGATGCTGAACATAAGTTTTCCTCTTGGGGGATTGTGCCAGTAGTTGCCATGCTTAGCAGGCGGATTGGCAACCGCAGTTAGGCTTTAGAAATGATTTAAGAGGGACGCAGCTGACCAACCCTCGCCCTCCTTAATCGTCTCCTACGACACCCACGAGAAAAGAAGCGGTGGCCTATTCTATGCCAGGACTACACGACTAGTATACCTAGATACTTTAAGAAAATATATGTATCTAATTTTTAAAAGTATAACTGTCGGTTTTTATAAAGCATTGGCGATATTTGAAATATACTTTCTAGCGTTTCTGTTACCCTTATATTCCTGTCTAAATTCATTCTAATTTTTCGACTTTATAAGTTTTACTCACACTACAGTCTCTTAAAAGGATACTAAGGACCTTGATTTCCTTGTTATTAATATTATTTTATATATTATTTATGTATTTAATTAAACAATACCAACTTTCGCCCTGTCAACTGGCAATATTATACATAGATAAATCATAAATGTGCAAATATGTATAAACAAAAATGACGTAATGTTTTACTAATAGTTTTTGTTATGCCCCGACGCTATCAATGAGATGTGAATTTGAACCTGTAACCCTCGACGTCACGAGCACGCCACCAGCACACCGCCAGCGGCCACCGCGCGTCATATCTCGCCGCACATATATGATGCACGCTCGCACCGACGGTTTGTTTACTCGAGAACTGCGCGGGAGCACTGTCACATACGAGCGCCAGTCCCAAGATGGATATCCAAAGCAGGAATCAGGAGCAAGAGCTGTCCACATCGCCACCTGACAAGGTTAGACACTTGTTATTAAATATATATATATATATATATATATATATATATATATATATATATATATATATATATATATATATATATATATATATATATATATAATTGCATTAGGAATAGACGCGCTCGCTTTGCGAAATTCTCTTAATTTATTTGTCGTTCAAATTCGGTTTATTAACACTGTAAAACAAACGAAGACTAGTCTTTATTTTAAACAAAGGACCTACATGAAAAAATATTTTTGAAATCCTAAAGTGATTGTTAAAGAAAATGAAATATATGTTCTACTTACGCTTACACAACTAGTTGTACAAGGTTTGTTATCCATTATCCGTTCTTTATTCCGATAAATGGTTTACTGGCATGCTTGTATATGAAATTGTTTGAATTTTTCATACACGGGTAATAAATGCCTAGAGCTATTGCGAAGCAAGCCACCTAATTAGTATGAATTGCAATAATTATAATGCATTATTTGTTTTATATAGTTGTGAACTAATGCAACGGCATTTTAAAATGTGCAAAGACGTTAAATAATAGAGAGTTTGTGTGACGGAACATAACACTTGAACATTTTTCTTGGAAGATTTTAATAAGTTTATCTTTCGAATCTTAGTTAAATGTTCAAGTGTATATTAGTCTATTTATAATATGTTACCCACATGGAACATTAATAAGTAACTATACAGATTATTTTAGTAACAACATATCTGCGTGTTGGGTAAAATAATGATCAGTGTTCGTGTTTACGAATGATATCAAATAATTCTTGCTAGATTATATTATAAATGTGGACGTGAGTTTGTTTGTTTGTTACCTTATAGCATATGAACAGTTTAACTAATCACTATGAAATTTGGTATACACGTACAATACGGGATGGAGAAGGATATAGGTTTTCTACGTCGCTCATTAAATATGTCCCGGTCACGCGGACAAAGTCGCGGGTCGATGCTATTTTATAAATGCATATTGTATATTTTCTCCATTTAAATATCAATATTATATTCATTTAGAAGTTGTTAGGAGATAAGGCCCCCAAGTTAACGAAGCGAAAGTGTATCTTATGGCTGACGACATTTGTTGATGTCACAGGTTATCTAAACAATAATTCTAAGAGTAACCCGAATATCGGCACTGAAGCGAGACATTATTGTTATCTGTCAATACCTCCTGTCTCCGTATTGCATTAGAATTAATATATCTGGGAGTAATTAATATTATGTTATTTCCAGCCCAAATTGATGCAAGGCGGCAACTACATCCGAGAAGGCAGAGATTCAGCTAAATCTACTTGGCTACTATTTTCCCCTCAAACACCCGATGAGGCTGGATCATTAGCAAAATATTTAAGCATATTTTCAGCTCATGGAGTTAATCTAAGTCATATAGAATCTAGATCTTCAGTGAGAAGACCAGGATATGAGTTCATGGTGGAATGTGAACATGGCATGGGAGATTTCGGTGCCGCTTTGGAAGAGCTACAGAAAAATGTGGGATATTTAAATATTATATCCAGAAATTACCGAGATAATAGATGTGAGTTACCTATCTGTTACAATTAAAGACAATATAATATGTATAGTACTTATGTTACCATTAATTAAATGATAATTTGCATATCTAGTAGGCGGATTACAGTTCAAAAGCATAACACTTTGCTAGGAATAAAAACAACTACATTATTACTATTTTTATGCAGTAAAAGACGATTAAATGCCAGTATAAACCTGTTATTTACCTTACTTCGTTTTTTCTTGACAGCTGCCGTTCCATGGTTTCCCCGTCGTATTCGAGATTTAGACAGATTTGCAAACCAAATTCTGTCTTACGGAGCCGAGCTCGACTCTGACCATCCAGGTTTTACGGACCCAGAATATCGTGCCCGTCGTAAATACTTTGCTGACATCGCTTATAACTACAAATATGGTCAGCCACTACCACATGTGGACTACACCAAGGAGGAAATTGCCACTTGGGGTGCTGTGTTCAGGAAACTGGTCGAATTGTATCCCACACATGCTTGCAAAGAACACAATCATGTGTTTCCTCTTTTGATTGAGAACTGTGGCTATAGAGAAGATAATATACCACAATTGGAGGACGTATCAAACTTCCTAAAAGGTAATCAAATCTTTAGAGATATAGTTTATAGAATATTCTAACTATAAACTCATTATGAATTCTGGCTTATACAATTGATCAACTTTTTTAAAAAGAACATTCTTACCAAATAAATAATGTTTATATGAAAGTAGCAAAATTGTTTTCGGATATCGTATGCTCCTTGGAGAAAGTCCAAAAATGTTATCTTTGGGGTTCACTTAGAACCATTTTAACTTATCTTGTGACTCATCATCGTCTTTATTTCATTCACAGATTGTACGGGCTTCACATTGCGTCCAGTAGCTGGTCTTTTGTCATCGCGCGACTTCCTGGCCGGCCTAGCGTTTAGAGTGTTCCACAGCACACAGTACATAAGACACCACTCACGACCTCTGTATACTCCAGAGCCTGACGTCTGTCACGAACTGTTAGGACATGCCCCTCTCTTCGCTGATCCAGCGTTTGCACAGTTCTCTCAGGAAATTGGGCTAGCTTCTCTGGGAGCTCCTGATGATTATATTGAGAAATTAGCTACGGTTAGTTGAGCGATTATTATGGAAACTTACCTTAAAGTCATTTAAATAGATACCTACATTTCATAGTTTCCGCCTAAAGATTAGGTTTGTCGCTAATTTTTTTATTTATTAATTTTTTTTTGCTACAGTGTTTCTGGTTTACCGTGGAGTTTGGTCTATGTCGACAAGATGGCAACCTGAAAGCGTTTGGCGCTGGCCTTTTGTCTTCCTTCGGGGAATTACAGTATTGCCTCTCAGACAAGCCGGAGCTCAAGGAGTTTGATCCTGAAGTAACTGGCATGACCAAGTATCCCATCACAGAGTACCAACCAGTTTACTTCGTGGCTAACAGTTTTGAAGATGCTAAGGAGAAAATGATGTAAGTACATTTAACTGTGGCTGACTGAACATCTTAAACAATATTTGTTGCCTATGAATATTCCATCTAGAGTATAATTTACGTGCGATATAACAAGACAAGTCGAAATGTAATATAAAACCGGCTTCGATCAATTTAAACTGTATATACGTTTTTGCAAGTAGTTTGAACTGGTTTAGATTTTTCGTTTTCTAGTAAGGACATATAGATATTTGTCATCTATTTATAAAGTTATTAATTAATTGAGTCTCAAAATGATATAATAATTAGAAAGAAAAAGAAAATCCATAAGATCAAGACTATTAAAATCGAAATATCACTATCTCTTTTTTTCTTGCTGGAATATAGGGTTAAGGAATCGGTTCTTAACTGAGTAAGAAATTATTAAAACAGTGTTTAAGACAAGAAATTATGAATTTTAATTCTGCTGATGGTTTTCAATAAAAGGAATAGAAAAGTTAAGTTTTTCCTTTATAATCTGTAATGGGAGATAATGGACGACGGTTATTGTTGCATTGGGGAACATAATTAAAAGAACGATTACAATTTATGTCTTGATATTGAATAGGAGCTAGTTATTAACGTATTTTATGCTATAATTGTAAAATATTTTCCAATTCGGCTAATTCATAATAAATAAGATGTTATAATACCATCAATACTACCAATAAACCAATAAAAAAAAATTAACTCCATAAAAAGTTGTCACTTCAATCAGTGCAATATTAATAAGAGATTAACGATGGTATGGGTGTAGGAGTAATCAGAATTGATGGGAAATTAATAGCATAATATACATTACATTACATAATTGTCATTGTGACGTCCTTCATATTTTAAAGGACTGTTACCATTTTCCATCATGTAGGTCATTATTTCGTATTTCGTGCCAAATGAACAAGTTTTTTTTTTTGCAGTAAATTCGCCCAAACGATACCCCGTGATTTCGGCGTTCGGTACAATCCGTATACGCAGAGCATTGATATTCTGGATTCCTCGAAACAGATGAAGGATCTGTTGCGTGAAGTACACCAAGAAATGGACTTACTCCTCAACGCTATGGAGAAATTATAGGTGTATTTGAGCGAAGGAGTTTATAGATAGGATAGTAGGTATAGATAGTAGAAAATGGTATATCATTTCTTCTAATTGCCCCGTGTCTGTTTCTAAGGTATACCTGCTTTAAGAATACGTCAACTACGTTTTAGTATTAAATTTTTTAATAAATTTTTATCTAGTATTACGATAGAGTCGAGCAAGATTGAGAACTCTAAGTTGATTTCAAGACTAAGTGTTTTTTTTAATATAGCTATGTATAATGTATGCTAAATTACAATTAGTTTAAGTTAGGTATTTATTAAAGTGTACTTTTATAAGCAATTAAGTGTACATTAAGTTATTACATTACTTTAAATTGTTTACTTCCGTAATTAAATATTTACTTACTTGATAGAGTCGTTTGTTTTCCTGTCCACCATCAAGTTTCTGATTTGTACTTGATTTTTCTGATTTATAAATTGTTATGTTGCAACTTGTTGGTATGAAGGATACGGAGACAGTAATGCTTGGAATTTTCCTGTATGACGCACTGTCTGCTGGATCGGTACGCTGGCAGTGATTTAGTTGTATTGCTTCGATATGTGATAGAGAATTAATTAGTCTGTGAATTCTAGGGAATTCAATAGCACTTAATTCTAAAATCGTTATGATTTTAGAATTAAGTGCTATTGTTGACCAAATATGATGATTTGAAACAATTTATTTATTTTCAAACTATAACATTTAAGTCGATTGGTACACATGTATGACTGTAAGTACTAATAAACTGTCAGTTTTTCTCATATTGGGTTTTCTGGAAGAAATCTCTCTTGGAGATAAGCTCGCCCTTGTGCATTACGTTTGTTTTTATATTTCAGTAGCCTTTTGTGTACAATAAAGAATAGAGTTCTTATGACATATAATATTGTAATAACATGGCGGGTTTAATTTATGACAGAACCGAAACACTTTATTAGTAACGTTTACAGATGTTCAGATTAATTTTATCGAGTATTTCGTTACAAATGAGAGTCGTAAAAATGGTCAGTTTTACACGTCCAAACCAAAATTGAGTTTAAAATTAATTACAATACAATATTCTCGCTCTCCATCTTCAGAAGACGGATTTATAGGGCATCCTGATTCTCATATTGATACTCGTTTTCACCGAAAAGTGAAATAATAATTTGGTTTCATATATTAGATTATATCTGAAATTGTTAAATCTATGTCCCATATCCCGGTTAGTTTAGTTAATAGTTAGTTTGTCGTGTCCTCCCGCCATAGAATAGGCCACCCCTTCCTTTCTCGTGAGTGTTGTAACAGGCGACTACGGGAAGGTGGAGGGAAGGATTGTTAGTAATGAGATTTTACAGCCTCAATGCTAGCAATATACCCCATCAGGTCGACCTCCACGCGATTCCCCCTGGAAACCATAGTGGTTAATTCTTGTTCCATTGGTTACTATGGGCCAACTGACCTGCCTTAATCCTCGCCTGTCAGCCTTCACTGGTGTTCTGCTAGCGTATACCGATAGCGCAGATTCCATCTTCACTCATTAAAAAAAAACAGGCGACTACGGGAGGGCGAGGGTTGGGCAGCAGTGTCCCTTTTAAAACATCTCCAAAGCCTAACTGCGGTTGCCAACTCGCCTGCCAAATGTGGCAACTAGCAAAACTACTCGAGGAAGAGGCGTATGTTCAGTAGGGGACAGTTAAAGGCTGATATGATCCCAATTAGTAAGTATAAGATGACAGAGTGTAAGGCGCCTTCTTTCTCGATGTGTTCCCCAACTTAGAGCCCACGCCCTATAGGGGGGCAATATGATAGTTAAAGGAGGAGGGGGGGGTCGCAATTAAAAAATGGACTCAAAGCTATTTTAACCTTCTTGCTCCGGTACGATATATTGGTGTCAAATTTAACAAAAAAAGGTAAATTAAAAAAATGCTTATTAGGTATAATTTCGTTTGACGTTACTGGGCGTTTAATTTGGTTATCAACTGAGCGATTAGAGTAGTCGCAGTCAAGTAAACTTTGTCGAGAAAAAATATGTATGGGGGCATAAAAATTTTAGAAATGTTTAAGTGCAGAGGGTCGTATATTGTGGAAGGGATTAGCGAAAATGTATATCCAGCAGTAGATACATACAAGTTGAGTCGACGGTGACGATATTAAACACGCCTACATTTTTATAATTAGCAATAATGCATGCCCATTTACGTATGTGACTGCTAGGCGTCGTTCGTTTTCGGTTGAAACATAAAAATGCACAATATAGCAAAAGTTCGTCGTGTTAGTCCCGGCATAGAATAGGCCATCCCTTTCTTTCCCGTGGATGTCGTAAGAGGCAACTAAGGGAACTTCTAATAATTTCTCACCAGAGGGAGACTTTGTACAAAAGTCGATTATACTCTACCTACCTCTGTCCCATTCGTGTTTCAACCGTGAAGCAATTGTGTTTGCATGGCTGTGTTTCGGTTTGAAGGGTGGGATATAGCGTGAATTTACAGGGTACAGAGGAATAACACCTGAGTCCTTAGAAATGGCAACGCATGGGGGATATCATGGACGAAACAGTATACTCTGTTATGTCCATGGTACTGCTCATGTCTAACGGCGACGGTTACCACTTTCCATCTGGTGGACCTTCAGGTTTTTTGCCATTCTAAGTTGTATAAAAAAAAAAACTACTGGCAAAGCCCTCCAAGGGATATGTTCAGCAGTAAACAGTTAAAAGCTGATATGTTGATGATAATGTGGCTTTTTGTGCATGAAAAATAAAATGTACCTGTGTATGTGCTAATCTACGGTATTTTTTATTTGTAATCAATTTTCAATCATCCATTCAACCGCCCTCCGGGAAGCAATTGACGTTACTTGGTTAGTAATAATTGAACGTTAATTCTAAGTAATTATAAAGTGATGTGATACATGTCGCATCTATATTATTGTGGGGGAAAGGGATTATTAATAATAGGGATCAGAAACCAGGGACCAGGGACCAAGGACCAGGGACCAAGGACCAGGGACCAGGGACCAGGGTCCAGGGACCAGGGACCAGGGACCAGAGACCAGGGACCATGGACCAGAGACCAGGGACCAGGGATCAGGTGGACCACAAATCGGTTCCCCCTGAAAGCCGTCTTGGTTAATTCTTCTAGAATTCGTCACGATGGGCAGTTTCATAACCTGTTTCATCGTCAGTTATACTGATACTGATGCTCTGTCAGCTTATACTGATAGCGCAGGTACCCCACCAGGTACCATTCCAATATCACCAATTAAAAGAAACTACATTGTAGTATGACGAAAAATTGACGTATTCGAGTCAAAAGCCATTTAAAGTCGCTTAAATGAGAAAAAAATTATCGAAGCTGTCGAGTTGTTCAAGTAGGCATGGTAAGAATTACCTCGAATTTTTACTTCGAAATTTTGTTTAATATTATTTCTTAACTAGTATCTATTTAAATATGATGTAACAAGTATTAAAACATCTTCATAAACACATTCAAAATACAATATATTATTAGTGAGATTGTCTTTACTAGTTTTTACAATTAAAACACCAATATGTTAATCAACATAATAATTATATTCATTAATTTGTACAGAATAAACTTATTTAGGTACCTATAATTGTTTAGCGGCCTGCGACTACACTCACAATGTACAATTTTTGAGGCCGATTGGAAATATGTAGTTTTCTATATAGTTCAAATTCACTAGCTTTATAAATTAGACAGATAAGATTGACATTTCGTAAAACGGTACGACTATGATTAGGACTGTTTCTAAAGTATCCTTTTCTAAAATTATTTTTCAAAAATTAGTGTCGTTTCCAGAAAGAGATTTAGAGAATAATATTTTAGAACCGTCCTTATTATTTGTTCATAAATAAACAAGCAATTTACAGCGTAGATTATCAGTATAAAATAGAGTTTAAATTATGTTACTGTATATAATATATCAATCTGTACATGTTTTGAATAAGTACACCGCCTACCGTTATAAATAGAAGGAATATTAAATTTACATTAACTGTCAACTAAAACTAGCTATCTACAATACATAGACAAACCATAAATACTGAGATAGAATAGTAATATGTGGACAATATATTTTTTAATTATAACATTATTATTACAGCACAAATATATATGAATAAATAGTTGTGATGGATCGCATTTGGATCAAATCAAAAGGCGTCAAATAAAAGGGAAGGTAACGTCCATTTGACGTCTTTTCACCAGTTACCCAGCGGGTTATTGTTACAATTAAAATATAATTTGTCCTTATGAAACTTAACAATAATATATAAGAATGTTTGTTTGATCGTGGACTATTAATATGTAGGTAGGTATATACACTAATTTATTATCCTTTTGTATATAATTGCAGATTATTGATTATTTAGACATATTTTCAACTGCAGGTTACAGAACTTGTTTACTTTTTACAATTAGAGATAAATAAGCAATGTGAGTTAACTACTTGCTATAAGGTTTATTTTGCTGAAATAGGTGATGAGTTTTGACACAATCGATATGTAATTAAATCGACAAATGATATCCAATAGATGTCAAATGAGTGCAAGACAGTGCCCAATAAGATATTATTTCGTTACAGTTGAACGGACGGAATTAATAAAAAAAAACCTTTTAATCTCTTTTTAGTTCTTGATTTATGTTTACTGCGAAATAATTATAAGACCAGTTAGGTCTTATAATTGATAAATTGTTAGGTAAATAGAAGATACCAATCGCACTGTTTAGTACTTCAATAAATTGTGACTAATTGTAGAATTTTTTTTATTAACATCAATGTATGTATTTATTTCAAACCAGGATGTATTATCGAAGTATGTTTTTTCGTATGGGTAAATCATTTATTTACACTGCTAGGACACTCCTTTAAAAGAATTCTAATAGTTTGGATTTCACCCTGTATGTAAATAACTACATGCAGATATTTATAGTCCCAGCCAAAGAAACTAAAAGACCAGAAGTCACGCGAACAATGGATTACAACAATATAAAATATACATTTGGCACTACATCTATTTGACACGACTATAATAATTATATAAAAATCTAAGAAATCCTATATGGATTATATTAAGATAAAATCATGAATAAAGTTACGACATGACATATCACAGTTACTAGAAATAAATAAATTACTTTGTAACTTAACTTTTTACAATAAATAATAAAGGTCGGCTTAAATTATTAAGTTTATAATTTTATATTAGATTTAATTAAGTACTAATTATATACAGAATAATAAAAAATATATATATTAAAAAATGACTGTGTGTGATTTAGTAGACGCATATTGTTACACACATTACATTTGAAAAGCTGTAATCATTTCGTTGTAGTTACTTTTACATAAAATAAACAAAAAAAAAAAGAAGAATAAAACATAATATAGAGATGACCAGTAATATTTTTCAGAGGTCAAAGATCATTTACTCCCTTTTGTTATTATACGAAATATTGAAGCAATATTTTTCATTACGTCAACATTGGATATTACGAGCATATTAATGTAAAACATTATTTCATAGTTACAACTTCGTATAAAACCTCTAAATTCGTAGGACTGTAGGTTCCTACCACCAAGCACAGTTTTAAGACGCACTCACCTGTTTAGCGACGTAAACGACCTTTTAAAATGTACGTATAAATCAATTCCACAAAATCTGATTTCGCGGAATCAATAAAGTTGTACATAAAAGTAAAATGAGTTTTTACAAGAGATTTATAGTTCAAATTTAAAATGAGAAATTAAAGTTTAAAATGTGTGAACGATGGAAGAATTCGGGAAGGTTAAAAAGTAGTTTTACGCGTACCATAATACGATTCGCTTCGTATAATCCACTAATGAAAGTATACTAATTTGGTAATATTACGCCCTAAGAGCGAGGTGTCTATTAAATTCGGCGGATTATACACGACGTATTAGGCTTCGGATAAAACGACTTCTTTAACACTCTACATTATTATGAATTTAATACAAAACAATACGGAATCTTACACAACGACTGCCCTAATGTTCGCTCTCTATTTTAATTGAACATTTACGGTCTTACTACAAAAATATTGAAAGACACTGCCTCAATTTAAACAGTGTTTACAATTCTAACATTTTTTAGTCGGTGGTATAATGTTCATTTGTAATTTAATGTGGTCAAAATCTATAGATTATTATAGTAAAATTTATTTTTCTCAAACATGCTTGGAAATGTGAGCATTACTATGACAATTTTCTTAGAGATTACATGCGGGTAGCGGCCGGCAAAAGTTGTATGAAAATCCATATCTGTCGTGTTTTGCGGCCAGATAAATTACTATGTAAACTCATATCTGTCCTGTAATTTAAAAATGGAATGACCTTTTACTTCGAAACATGGCTACCAAGGAGCTAACTAGTAAAAGGTTTTATTTAAATTTCGAACTGGCTTGCAAATAGAAAGCTGTTTATTGAAAAAAAAAAAAAAACAAAGGAACATTATGGCGCGTAAAAAATTATTATTGTTCGTTATTCGTCATTGAATTTAAAAAGTAAAATTGTGTTTTTGATTTCCGCGCATTGTTTGAGAAAAGTATTATACAAGCCTTGGCCACAACTAGGCATTGATGGACTCACGTATGTGTGCCTCGGCTACGCCTCGGCCCACATTTGTACGTTCTTCCGTCAATGCTTCAGTTGCTGGCCGCTACAGTAATGTACTATATTTACATCTTTATTTTAAACACGACTTTCTTTTGTTTATTTTAAACACTCTTTCGTAGCAAAACGTCTAAGCACGTATTTAACACCTGTCTATCGCAAGCTAAACTTTTTGTGGGGGGAAGGGATTGTTAGTAATGCGGACCCCCAGTCCTATTGCTAGCAATATGCCTGGTCAACTCGATCTCCACGCGGTTCCCCTGGAAACCGTCGTGCTGAATTCTATGTGTGTTTATCACGATGGGCTAACTGACGTGCTTTTTCATTTTCACCCATCATCCCTCACTCGTGCCCCGCCGGTGTAAATCGATGGCGCGGGCGGATTTACCATTCCATTATCGTTAATAAAAAAAAACTTTTTGTGGTAAGACCAATGTAGTACATAGATGTAGCATGTAGTATAGTTAACATTCACAACATAGTGATATGCGTTATATAATTATATTAAACCTCTTTTATTCTAATAACGTATTTTGGCAAAATATTTACAGAACTAGTAACAGAACGCTGTTACAGGTTTTAAGCGCATTATTTTTAATTTAATTTCGTATGACACTAAAACATGTGGAATGTACTTAATGGATTGCATTTGAGTTATTACACTATCATATATACGGCTTATCCAAAGCCAGGGGACTACAGATATCTTAAAACGCGGGATATCGTTAAGGTAATACAAAGGATCTATGAAATGATGGTATAAGGCAGGGGGAAGCACAAAAAATCCCGATGGGTCGACGTGCAACGGCTTAGCTGACCCCATATGGGAATATAAGATAAGATAAGATCATATATATAGTCATAGTCGTATGAGATGTATTTAAGAAAGCGTGAAAACCCATATGTGATCTTACTGGATGAAGCCTTAAATTGCCGTGTACATAGAATAGATCACCCCTTTCCTTCCCGTGGGTGTCGTAAGAGGCGACTGAACCAATTTACGGTTGAAGGATAGGCAGCAAAATCTCTCTTAAAACATCACCAAGGCTTGCGGTTGCCAACCTGCCTGCTAAGAGGGAAAAGGGATTGTTAGCAATGGAGTTTGACGGCCCCATTGCTAGCAATATGCCTTATTAGGTCGACCACCACGTGACACCCCCTGGAAACCATCGTGAACAATTCTTGTTGAATTCGCCACGATGGGCTAACTGACCTGCTCCTTCACTGGTGCCCCGCCGGTGTATACCGATAGCGCGGGTGGGGTTACCATTCCATTATTATCCGTTAAAAAAAAACCCGCCTGCCAAGCGTGGCATCTACTGGCAAACTCCCCTTATGGGGAAGGCTTCTGTTCAGCAGTGGACAGTTAACGGCTGATCTAATAGTAATAATAAGCCTAAACCTATGATGCTAATGTACTGATTGAACTATATATGATCCTACATATATGACAGTGTAATAACCCCTACAGTCACTAGTCTACTAACTAAAAAATGTTATATATATCTCTCTTTTGCCTGCAACTTCGAACGCGTGGCTTTTGGAAGTACCTAATAAACTACTTTCAGATGACGTAATAAGATAAAGTATACGCCATATTTTGTGTGATATCTACGAAAAATTACAGAAAAACCGCATTGCAGCAATTGGAGCAGTAGTTTTTGTGTGATGCCGGAACAAACATACAGACAGACAAAATTTTAATTAAAATATTTTTGGCTTGTATTGCTCTTACTAAGACCTTCATATCAATTTTTCTGCAATATCCTATATGTATAGATATCGTCTAGTTACATATATTTTATTTTATAGTAACATGAGATGTTAAGTCTGTGACATTACAGATTAACACAAGCGCCATCTTGTATTTGTAATGTAAACTGTAGCAATGAACTGCATTAAGGGAGTACAAGCATTCTCCTTTGAAGCTTTGTATCAACAATTTAGTCCTATACACATACAACGGCGGTTAACCGCCAGCATCACCTAACTAACACGGACAACATTTTAAAGGAAACACGGTCTAAATTCCAAATTTTCCAATTTAAATAATATAATTGTATTAATATGGTGAAAAAAAAAAGTAAAATAGTTGGTTTAAACATTAATTCCCAATATATTAGTTAAAAACTTTCCATGTAATATAAAAAAAGGTGAAGAGAGGCGAGATAGAAAAAAAAACTATTTTATAAATATCAGTTAGGTGGTTTTGGCGGTTAACCGTGGACAAGTCAAATCAAATATTAATTGAAATCGCTTTTTACGTATGACTTACATATGTATAAGTCGAACGATCAGTGGAAACGTACTTACACTGACATTTATGGCATATACGGAACTTGATACATAGATACAATTGATTACATAGATACTTAATAAAGGTATAACGACGGTATTATAGAGTTGTACATATTTACACGTGCGAGGTGGCCGGACCGGCGGAGCTCACATCTCGCTCTGCATGCAATGAATCGACGAATCTTCCGACAGCTCGTCCATCGATGAGTCCGTGAATGAAGTGCCGTCTGCAAACGTACATTCATACTGTTTAATCGCTAAATACTCTTAAAATATGAAAATAAGAACGGAAGAATCATTTTTATTCAAGTAAATAACATACAATAGTAAGAAACAGTGTGATTAGAAAGCAGTGTGATTAGAGAGAAGTGTGGACTGAAAGACGATGTAGTGACAAAAATTGAAAAAGGAATGTTGCGTTGGTTTGGCCATTTGGAAAGGATGGATGAAAGAAGAATTACGAAAGAGATTTATCGAGCAAGAATGAATGGAGATGTCGGTAGGGGCCGCCCTAGACGGACGTATGTCGACCAAATAGGCGACGTGCTTAAGAAGAGCCAAATTAAAAGTACCCGTAACCGGCGAGCGTGTATGAAATGATTGATGAATGTGGAAGAAGCGAAAGAGGTTTGTTTAAATCGAAGCATTTGGCGTTCCATTGTTTCTGCCTACCCTAATGAGAGACAGGCGTGACAGATATGTATATATATATGTACAAAATATTAGTTTTTATAGTTTCCTAAACATTGGACAGACTTTGATTTATTAGTTTGGTTTATTTAGTTAATTTAGATTTAACTCTTCTTTGCATAATGGTGGAAATTTCCATCATAACATTGAATGCCCAAAAATTATACAAAAGAACAAGTTCACTTCAAGTCGATCGTGTCTGGATACCTTTTTAATGTCCATGGCAGAAAAAAAAGCATAGCTGTCAAATTTATTTTTTTAACCATTTTTCCTTTAATTTTGATCATGAACTATATCGCCTTGATTTATTTTACCCATAAAAAAAAATCATGCAATGAAAGGTTAAGCATTTTTTTCATTATCGCCCATTCGGAACGTAATTTCAGTCAAGTAAAACGGCCAAGAAACTCAGCTGTTGCTTTTTCAAAAAGTTTAATTATATAAATAATGAATTTGTGTGAATACAAACTATTAAGCAGTACCAGAACATAAAATTCGAAATATATGGCATATAATTAAAACAAATCAATAAAATAAAACAGTTGCAGTGACTAGAACAGACCAGTTCACAAGTATGACGGATGAATCAATCAGCATTGATATAAAAATATTTTAGGGAACTCAATAATCCGGCCCACCACGCCACCACCTGTCTGGACATTTTAGTGAGCATGATTTACTCAAGGCCCCCCTTCCAACCACGTCATAGTCAAATTTAAATAATTTCATACTACATAACATATACCACATCATACTCAGGCTTTTGGGAATTCCTTTACAGTTACATCCATTCGACTATGGAATAGTCTGCCATCCGAAATAAGGGAATCGGCAAGTGTAGGCATGTTTAGGCGTCGTCTAAGGGAGCATTACTTATCACTATGCTGACGTATTATGTATATGTGTATGTATATTTATATATGTTTATATGTGTATATATATGTATGTGTATATGTATGTTTGTGTAAATATATGTGTATGTTTACAGGGTATTTTATGTAATTTATAATGTGTAGTTTGTATTATTCTTTGTGTATACATAACTTATGCGTTTATGCAATATATGCAGATCGTATGACTGCCTATTTTTATTTATAAAATAACACATTAACATGGAAAGGTTTTGCTGGAAGAAATCTCTTATTAGAGATAAGCTCGCCTTTGTACATTATGTTTATAATGAATTGTAATTACCAGTATGTTTTGTGTACAATAAAGAATAAAGAACATATATAATGAGCCGTGTGGTCCCGGCATAGAATAAGCCACCCCTTCCTTTCCCGTGTGTGTCGTAAAAGGCGACTAAGGCAGAGCGTGGGATAGGCAGCAGTGTCTCTACAACATCTCCAAGGCCTGATTGCGGTTGCCAAACCGCCTGCCAAGCATGGCAATTATAGGCAAAACCACCCAAGGGCGAGGATTTTTTTTTTGGTGGATGAAAATGGAATGGTAACCCCGCCTGCGCTAACGGGATACGTTGGCGGAGCACCAGTGAAGGGTGATCGATGAGAATAAAAACCAGGCCAGTTAGCCCCTTAGGGGGGAAAGGGATTGTTAGTAATGGAGACTGAGAATCCCATTGCTAGCAATATACCCAACTAGGTCGATCTCCTCGCGGTTCCCCCTGGAAACTATCATGGTTAATTCCTGATTAATTCATCATGATGGGCTAACTGACCTGTTTTCATTCTCATCTATCACCCTTCACTGGTACTCCGCCAGCGTATCCCGTTAGCGTAGGCGGGGTTACCATATCGTTTTCATCCACCAAAAAAAAACCTTATTTAAACGGCATTAGCTTTTATTCCCAGTAGACTCATACGCATACATACATACATACATATCCGTCACGCCTGTCTCTCATTAGGGTAGGCAGAAACAATGGAACGCCAAATGCTTCGATTCAAACAAACCTCTTTCGCTTCTTCCACATTCATCAATCTTCTCATACATGCTCGCCGGTTGCGGGTACTTTTAATTTGGCCTTTCTTCAGCACGTCGCCTATTTGGTCAACATACGTCCGTCTAGGGCGGCCCCTACCGATATCTCCATTCATTCTTGCTCCATAAATCTCTTATCATACTACTCATACGCATACTTGCCAAAAAACACATTACAAGTTATACTTGCTACACGATCCTTAATAATGCCATTGAAAATCTATTCTTGATGATTATCCAAATGTATATAAAGTGTTAAACAATATAAAATTGTTCACAGATATACATATTCACACGACGTATTCAAATTATGCATCTTTAACATCCCATTTATCACCACCTTTACCAATTAAATCGAACTTTTAATTATTCAACCTTTAATTATCATTTCTGTATTCCGGTGATTAAAATTTCAATCCTCTATGTGGAATTATCTTTGAGATAAACCATGTGACAGAAGATGATTGCAAAGCTCTGTTTTTGTAAATTTGATGACGCAGCACGAATGGGACGTAAACTTTAAACTTTACTGTGTTATAATTGAATGTACCATCTATCAATCATACTAGATTCTCTGGAGAATTAAAATTTTACATAAATAAAATTTTTTTTGGATTCAAAAAAGTACTTATTTTAAGTATACTTTTTACTAAGTGCTTTAATTAAAATCCAATATTAGGTCCAGTAGTTTGTCAAATTATACGTGAATGAATGAACATCCCATTCAAGTTGAGTCAAGATTTTGAGGAATCAAAAGGTCTGTGATTGCTGGTTCTGACTACTTGACTACTCCTTAAGACAACAATATGTTGTCTAATCATAGATAAGTCATTGTAGGCTTCCCTTCCAATTAATACCCATACAGTAATCATACTAACCTATCGGGACAAAGGGCGGTTTGTTCTGGAACGAGTAGGTGAGGTGGAGGTTGATTGGCCGGCCAAACCCCACCGGGTCACTGTCCCTCGACATCACTGTGGACAACATGCCTGTTACACTTCAAGATCACTAATAGTTAGGAGACCATATCAGAAATACACCAAAAAATATGAATATGTACATTCGCAATAGCAATAGAACACAAAGATCAATTGCACTGAAAAACCAATCGCTAGCTGTAGATCGATTTGAAATGGATATATGTTTCAATTCTACTCGGATACTAACGCTGACTCTGCTTTCCTTTCCCAGTGTGCTGATGTTTCTTCTGCCTCGCTCGACTGTTCTGGAACCAGACTTGCGTCACCCGCTTGCTTAGGCCCGTGACCTGCGCGATTCGCTCCAGATCCTGTCCGTCGGGATTCGAGTCCAGTTGAAAATTTGCTTGAAGGACCTGCAGTTGTTCCTCGGTGAACGTTGTTCGAACGCGTTTCGCCTTACTCTTGTGATAGCCTTCCGAGTCACAGCCATCTGTCATTGAAACAAAATTTGTATAAAACTGTTCTGGATCCTTATAGTTTTTTGTCGGTTTCCAAAACAAGACTAGTACTTCAACGGTACAAGGGCAGGCAATTAGATATTAATACTTAAAGAAATACGAACGGGGATCAATGAATTTTTTAGTTGATAGATATATTCATAGAGATTATCACCATCAGAAGAAATCGATCCTCCGTCAAGCGTCTCCAAATAGTGAGGCTTGCAAAGGACTCTGTCTTCGTGGAGTGCAAACTGCTCCCCGGTAGATAGTTGTCGTCCACATGCATCACAAGCGAAGCACGCCAGGTGGTACACCTGCTCGCGCGCCTTCCGCACCCAGTCTGATGAGGAGATGCCCCGGCAGCACTTGGAACACTTCGCGCCGAAGCTCCTGCACATAAATAAGGAATCAAATCGCAACGTTGGCGAGGTCACGTTTAAAAATCAATATTAGCTAATCATTTTGAAAGTATTAGTGTATTAATCAACGAACAGTTTATGTGGCTCAAAATTATATTCTGTAGAGGTATACAAAACAATATAGATAGTTTAAAATAATTGTATGTGGAAGCACTTTGAACTTTCGTTGAAGTTGAAATAGAAATCATTAAAATGTTTAAAAAAAAGTATTATTTGTACCAGTACAACTGTAATTTTTCCCCAAAGATATCATAGATTTAAAAATTCCAAAAAAAAATGTACTCGTACATATTCCTATACAAATTTAAGAACAGCTAAATAGATTGTATACCTCTAAAAGAATTGTTTTGGGTTTTTCGATTCTAATTTGTTTGGGATACCTAAGTGTTCAGTTTCTAATAATATTTCTTTCAATGCTAATATTTCCGATTTCAGTCTGCAAGTCTACTGCCCTCCAAAAGACCTAGCTTCATTATTGCAGAAGTGGAATTGTCAATAAATTTCAACTAAGTAAATGGAATTTACGAAGCTCTTAATTGAAACTTTAATTCATGGTCTTCTAATGAAACTGTAATGAAATAATGATAAAATGGACTAGTGAGGTATAGTTTCGCTTTAGCCAGTATAAAGGAGCTGAAAATAAAAATTACAAACGAATGCCGTTCGCCGTGCATACAAAGGTTTTATTCGCATTGCTCTCTATGTAAAAAATAAATGAAAGTATGATGTAGGTAGGTAGCCGGTGAATAACGATTAGTTATTTGTAGGCAGGCCATGAGTTATGGCGGTAGCGCGGTGGTCAGTTTTTCCAATTACTTTGTTGTTACACATTTTATTGCATTTTTAATAAGCGCGCACGCCTTCTCGAAATTTATGATCCAACGGTCACCGGACACCAGACGGAGACGGCCGACGGTTTCTATAATGATTCCCTTTATTTATAATTATTATTAGGAATAGATTTAAATCATAACATATTCATAGAGCACAATCAATAATAAATAGTATATTAAGTAAAAACGAGACGTATTTACTTAATATACTATTTTAGGCGTTTGTTAGGTGTGTGCTTGTAGGATATCTGGGTTTCAAAAATAACAGAAAAACCTCAGTACCTGCAAGACTACTTAAGGACCACAGAGACATGACACTAGACTTTATTTTACATATCTGGTATACTTAATATGTTTTAACATGTAACCAATCCCTGACCAGTAGATGTCGTGTGTACTCATTAGCAGTTATTAAATAAATGGTTGTGAGATCCCAGCATAGAATTGGCCACCCAACTTCCTTTATTTTGGGTGTCGTAAGTGGCGATTAAAGGAGAGCGAGGGGTGGGCAGCAGCGTCCCTCTTAAAACATCTCTAAAGCCTGACTGCGGCTACCAATCCTGCTAAGCGTGGCAACTACTGGCAAAACCCCCCAAGGGGAGGCTTATGTTCATCAGTGGATAGTTAAAGGCTGATGATGATAAAATAATAATAACTGGTTATCAATAAACCAGTTGCTTAATTTAAATGTAGTTTAATCGTATTATTTATACCTAAATTATAGAATCCTCAGGTAGTTACGAACCTCTGTATCTGTAGTAGAATGGAGTTTAAAGAATTATGATTCCTTTCTCGTTGATCTAGAATCATGAAATCTGACAAAATACAAAATTGTAGTTATTTCCCAAAAAAAAAAAAAAAATTATACTTGATGATTTTGTACGGTTGTTAGACCGTTTTTTTTTTTTTAATAATTATCCTAAACTCACACATAGTTATAGTACGTTGCCTATTTGAAAGCAGCATTAGTAGATACCAGTAATGTGTAGTAACACAAACGCAGCTGCATCTCAAACGATATCTCATTACCATACCATTACAGACGGTTCAGATATTAAATTAATTAAACATATACACGCAACATTAAATGGCATAGTATCCTTGCACAGCGAACATCGTTCTACTCTTCGAATTTCTGGTCTTTAGCGTTCGCGTACTTGGCTTGCATAAATGTACCCACGAGCGAAGTGTCAGACATCGCATTAATTGGATCCCGAACTCGATTGTTCATATCTCTGTAGGTTATTAATAAAATGCTACTGTGTTTGTTCAAGGGAAACAAAAGTGTTAACATTTCGGAGGGATACAACCCTCAATATTATTTATATATTCATCGGTACATGTACGTGGACATGGCGGACTTATTCCTAAAAGCAGTCTCTTCCAATCAACATTAGGGAAGTGCCGGAATACTCGAATGCGGTACTAGTAATAATTGATATACATACACCCTCAAATATATATATATATATATATATATATTATACACGAAGGTACGAACAATAGTACTAATTGCTCGGATAAAGTACAAAATGAGCATAAACGTTTTTTTTTAAAGACGTCTTAGTCGAGTCTCGTGGTGGTATCAGGGAGCACGTCCCAGAGCCGTGAAGAATGTAAGACAAAAGATTTTGATACAAAACTTTATGGTTAGATGGGGTAGATGGTTGGGGAGAGTCACAGGAACGTAGGTTACGATCGTGTGTTTGAAAAAGGTACTGGAATTTGCTGCTTCCAGTAATTAAGAGATTACAGGTTTCGAAGAAGAGTAGAGGGTGATGAGGAAAAGAGTAAGGTTTCTGCGTAGACGAATAGGAAGCCATTTGAGTTGAGACCAAACTTACGAAGGTTGAAGATAAACCGAATGTCTTAGTTTACGAGACGGTCCAGCTTATCAAGAAGATCATTACTAACAATACACCCTGTCAGGTCGACCTCCTCGCGGTTCCTCCTAATCGAGTTAATTGTCCTAATTTTTCATCTTCACCTATCGTCCCTCACTGGGGGCCCGCCAGCGAATACCGTTGGCGCAGGTAGGGCTACCATTCCCTTACCGTCCATTAAAAAAAAATCATTTGTCTAGACTGACTATCAAATATGAGATAAGTATCCACTGAGAAGAGATTTTTGATAATTTCAATAACCTTCTATTTAATTTTATTATATTCAAAGAAGAAACATGATGTGGAAAGCCGCGGTCAACAGCTAGTATTGTTATAAATATGTATATTTATAAGCGGCTTCCAAAAGAGACGGTTATCAATTCCTCTGTATTCCTTTTAATTACTAAAATTACCTTTTTATAATTCTTTTTGCAATCGTTCTCGTATTAATTTGATGGCTCCCATATTAATTTTGTGACGATCGAAGCTGCCGTTTTTTTTTTTTTCTTTTATTTTTGTGAATTTTAAAACTGCTTATTGGGACATAAAGGACGTACGATTCCGCATTCTAAATTCAAATAAACGACATTCTAAATGTAACTTGTTTACAAAGCATTCTATTATCATATGTTTTTTTTATTTTTGATAGCTGTGTTGTGGTGAAAGAATTTTTAAAATCGAATGTGAATTCGATATTATATGAACAGTACCATGGACTGGTATTTGTTTGTTACTATAATTATGTTACATATTTTTCACCATACCTGCCCTTTATTCACTTTCTATTTTTACCTATACCTATGCCTAGAATGCCACGTGTACAAAGTTTTATTATGAAATAAATGTTATAGAAATATCAAATAAAGAGAAAACCAAACTTTTGTTTTATCTCCCTTTACAATATTAGCTTAGATTTAGCGAATAAAACAAAAACCACAAATGGTTTAGTACGCTGCCCGGCGCCGCCGCGCCGGTGGCGGAGTGCAAACTCGCGTGTTGCTAGCTGCATTATCAATTCAGCGTACAATCGTTATCAAACTTATCCACACCAATGTTTCAAAGTGCGATTTGCATTTCAAAACGCGGCGCACATTCGGCCGCGCGTTATCACCGCTTATTAACATTTTGTCGCCGGCTGAATCAATTAACTGACCCGCTCGCATAATAATTAAACTAAGTGACAGTTTAACAAGTTTTAACACTTGGGCGTAATGAAGATGTCGCGTAGCCCTGTGTGATAAACATCCAGCCGATGCCTATTCATGGCAGCTTGGGGTGGTCCGGCTACCGTTCCCTTGTACTGGGTTCAGTGGGCTCGTACCTCACTTCATTTGTACGAGACGATTCTATTTTTAATCGTTCTTCGTAATACAATTGCAAAATAGAAATATCAATTGTTTGAACGATCTAAGGTCTTTATGCAATAGGAACTAGTCAACAGTCCAGGTGATTAATTTTGTAGTTAATGAGGTATCGTTAAATTAATTTTAGACGATCAATTAAATTCGTAATATGTACAATACATAATGATGAACTTTAAAATCTTGTTAAAATTATTGTTTACTATACACCAATAATATTTGTTTTTTTTTGTAAATTTGACAATTGACACGGGGGGGGGGGGCAAACGAGCATGAGGCTCATCTGATGGTAAGCGATTCCCGGAGTGACGAATTACAAGTATGCTGAAGTCCTTTTAAAAAGTAACAGTTTTTTAATAGTTACAATGTCGTGTCGCTTCAGTAATACTGCTACTGGGAATTGTTTCTAAAGCGTAGATGGGTGGAAGACAGTGCTATATTTCACGGGTTGTAATATTTTTTTAACTTATTGTCCATACTAGTAGATTACATTCGAAACGCATTTGCGCTTTTACCTAGGCACCGCAGCAAACTGTGTCTACCAAACTATTCAAATAGCATGACGGTGACAGTGTCCGGTGTCCAGTGCCTGGTGTCCGGTGTCCGGTGTCCGGAGACCAGTGTCCGCGGGCCGGCGCGGGCCCATCGCGTACCACCGCGGGCGCCCGCCATAAATCCTCACTCGTTGATTGCTTTCCGCGGCGCGCGCGCACTCCGCACCCACTCCCTCCACCATTTTAATACCATTCAGTACGTCCGTTCGTCCGATGACATGATTTAAGTTATTTGTTTTAGATACAAGTCCAATCTGAGATTCATTGGAATATTATACGAGCGTTTGTTTGAACAATTTCGAGTCGGGGAGGGCCCGCGGGCGATTCGCTGACGAATGGT